TTAATAAGGGAAAACGCGTACAGCCGTACAGCTATACTGTTTTTTAAATTCAAAAAAATAGTATAGCCGAGTGGCCAAGCATATGAATGATCATAAAGTTCGGCCACTATATAATATTTCGATATATATTGTTTTTATTCAATAATATGTAAAATTGTGTGTATAATACATGAATTTTGTGTGTATTGTTGACAATTTTGTAAAAACACGTGTATTAAACATGAAAAATCCGCACGTAAGTGTATTGTACCTTTTCCTTGTGTACGGAAAATGGAAGTATTGTTGAAAAATACGTATGTATGTGCATAACATGATTATTAAACGGCAATATGCTATACTATTGATTATTTAAAATAAAAATGAAAACAAAATAGGCCCCCCAGTGAAATTAATTAAACTAATCTGAACTAATTAAAAAAAGAAAAAATAATTCTTAATTCGAAACTAAATAATTAATTTAAATCTTAAATGCCCAAGTGTCCCAAGGCCCAAGGCCATCTTTTTTGATAATTAAATATTAAATATTATATATTTAATGCCCAAGTTGAATTTGAAGCCCAATTGGCTTCCACTTGGCCCAATTCCCAATTACCTTGTGTGGGCCAACTTCCAATTACCTAGTGTGGCCCAACTTCCAAAAAAAATGTATTGCAATAGTATCGCCGTGCGGCTATCCTATTTTTCAAAGAAATTTTCAAAAAACTCCATATAGTCGTCTGGCTATACTATTTATTAAAAGAAAATTAGAAAGAGTACTGTTTCGGAAAACCAAAAAGGTCAAAACAAAAAAAATAGTATTTTAATCGTGCGGCTATACTATTTCTCAAAGAAATTTTCAAAAAACTCAGTCTAGCCGAGCGGCTATACTATTTATCAAAAGAAAATTAGCAAGAGTACTGTTTCGGAAAACAAAAAAGGTCAAAAAAATGTATTTTAATAGTATAGCCGATCGGCGATACTGTTTTTAAACAAATTTTCAAAAAACTCAGTATAGTCGTGCGGCTATACGATTTATCAAAAGAAAATTAGCAAGTGTACTGTTTCGGAAAACCAAAAAAGTAATAAAAAAAAATGTATTTAAACAGTATACCCATTCGGCTATACTATTTTTCAAAGAAATTTTCAAAAAACTCAGTATCGCCATGCGACTATACGATGTATTAAAAGAAAATTAGCAAGTGTACTGTTTCGGAAAACCAAAAAGGTAAACAAAATGTATTTTAATAGTATAGCCGTGCGGCTATACGATTTTTCAAAGAAATTTTCAAAAAACTCGGAATAGCCGTTCGGCGATACTATTTATTAAAAGAAAATTAGCAAGAGTACTGTTTCGGAAAACCAAAAGGTCAAAAAAAAAAAAGAATTTTAATAGTATAGCCGTTCGGCTATACTATTTTTCAAAGAAATTTTCAAAAAACTTAGTACAGCCGACCGGCTATCCTATTTATTAAAAGAAAATTAGCAAGAGTACTGTTTCGGAAAACAAAAAAGGTCAAAAAAATGTATTTTAATAGTGTAGCCGTGCGGCTATGAGATTTTTTAAAAGAAAATTACCAAGCGTACTGTTTCGGAAAACCAAAAAGGTAAAAAAAAATATGTATTTTAATAGTATAGCCGTTCGGCTATACGATTTTTCAAAGAAATTCTCAAAAAACTTAGTATAGCCGAGCGACTATGCTATTTATTAAAAGAAAATTAGCAAGAGTACTGTATATGGGGTTGATATTGATCCTAGTGCTGAAACCCATTGTGTAAGTGACCAGAGTGGATTTGGAGTGCTTGGTTTTTGTTCAAAAGATATATTTTCTTATATCTTCTTGGCCCTGTATTTAGGTCATGTTTACGTATCAGTAATGGAGAAACTAAGGAATCAAAGAATTTAGGAATCGGAGAACTACTGAATCGGTATGGAAAGAATCATTCTCATTAAACTGTTTACTAAACATATGGAATTAGCAATGGAATGGGATTGATTCCCATTGTTATTGTTTACTAATTTGCATGAATCAGAATCCAAATTAATTTTAGAATTATGGTAAAGTGATAAGGGTATTTTTGGAAGTTATTAAGAGAAAACAGGAATTGGAATCGTATTGACTACTCCCCCCTAGTTGATCTGATTCCTAGTTTTGAGGGAATGTAATTACGGATTTTGAGGTGAGGCCCACTTATTTTTTCATTCCTGATTGCAAGTAAACGCAGGAGAGTGACTTATGTGATTAAAGTTCAAAGTTCAAAATTAGTGATTGGTATTACATATTTAATTCTTGTAGATTTCTTCCTTTGTCAGAACAAAACTGGAACTTGGGGCTGATGGTGCATCTGTGGATTTAAGATCTCGATGTCTCTACTTCTATGAATTTGGATGCAAGATAGCACCGCTGTGAGTCTCTCTCCTACCCATTTCTTGTATACATAACTTCATCAGTGTGTTCTTTTTATGCTTTCTTTGAGTTATCTTCTAATAGGTGGATATTTCATATAAATGAACCCTAGTGTGGTAGAGGGTTGAGAAAATGGTATATGACAATGACTCCCATTCTGGATGAACTTTTTTCACTGTGAATTGTCATGATCTTGTTCTTTGTCAATTTGAAAATGAAAACTATCCCTGAAGTAGTTCAATTTCTCCAACATCATATGTTCATGCTATTGAAATTTCTGGTGAAGGGATATAAAGCCCTCAGTTTCTCCTATGAAAGCCAGGTCTATACAATAGATTAATGTGTATATCTGACACACAAAAGTAAATGAGAAAAACGCCAAAAGCGAAAATAGAAAAAGAAAATCCAATATGTATAACGTTGAGAATTGGACATTTATTGATTGGCTTGGCACTCTTGGTTTAACATTTGGACCTTCACTTTGTAGACTTGGCCTAGTGTGCTTTATGATCTGGTAGGAGGGTATTTAGTGTTGACTGATGTTTCTTGGCAATTGGTCGAATCGGGGGTGGGTATGTCATTCCCATTCCCATCCCTATCCCTGTTAAGCTTTCTTCCCCCGTCTCCACCTTCATACTTGCAATATTCATATTGAGGATTCCCCATCCCCACCTTCGTTGGGGAATGGGTTCCCCGACCCACCCCATTAGAGAAAAAAAAACCAATATATAACTACTTTGTTGAAAAAGAAAAAAAAAACGTACTAAGGCAAGATAATGAATATAAATAATACATACTTACAAGACAATAGAATAATGTTTATATATGTATTGGAAGTTAACTAAATAAATAAGTATCATGGCTTAAGATTTGTACAAATTATATAAGTATATAATATAATAATATAAAATATAAATTTAGTCAGTACAATCACTTTAATAGCATATTTATATATACTATAATATATTTATATACCTCATCCAAATATATATATATATATATATATATAGTCCCGATCTCTTGGATCACGGGAGTCCAAGAGATTTGTGATCACTCACCGTTGGATATTAATCCAATGGTTGAATTTACATCTAACGGTGAGTGACCACAAATCTCTTGGACCCTTGTAGTCCAAGAGATCAAGTCTGTATATATATATATATATATATATATTCTAAACGAGGAGAGTTCAGGTTGGGGATTAAAATATCATCCTCGCCCCTCCCCAAACACCATACTCAAAAAATTCCCCGTACCCATCCTCATACATGTTTTTGGTCCTTCATACTCGACCCATTAGGGTCGAAGACCTTTACCCACAGGGAAAATTGTCATCCAGAGAACGGTGAAACATTCAAAATACCAGAAAATGTCATTGGTTAATCCAAACATTAAGAATTGAAATTATTATTGAATGAGGATAATATTGTAAATTCACATTTTTTGTATTTTAAAAATTAAAAAAATAAAATAAAATCATATAATATGTCCTACTTTTGTGGAACACAACTACCAATTATCTTTTTTAATTATAAAATAAAATTTTAAATTAAAAAAAACCAGTTGGCGCGTGTGCTAAGGGGCTAGTGTATATTATATTTTTAATAAAGTAACCATTGGTGTTTTTTTTTTGGGGGGTAAGTTACCATGGTGTTGTGTTGTCATAAGATGCAAAAGTTACAAAAACAAAATAAAATAAATAGATTTTTAATATTCTAAAATTCACAACAACAAAAAAATCACAAAACCGGACCCAGCTTAAAATACCCGCCCCGATTGAATAAACCGAGCAAAACTCAATTGACGTTTCTCTCTCCCTCGTCTTTCATTCAAAGAAACTCTGGTTCTCTCTCCCTCGTTTGTAACTTATATCCAGATCCTTCACCGTTCTCTCACTCTTAAGCTAGCTGCCGTTGGATTCCTTTGTTGCCGATTCGCAAGTAAGCTTCAGATTCCGTTAAAAAGTTTCCATTTTTCGTAATTGTTGAAATTGTGGGATCAAGCATGGAAATATTAGTGAATTCTTGTAATTATGTGCAAATTACTGGTGTGTGTTTTGGTGGCTGGGATTTAGAGAATTGAAGTTCTAATTTTCTTTTCCTGGATTATTATTCTTGTTGTGAATCAATGGTTATGAACTCCACTTCTGTGGTTTTAGTTTTGGGGATCACCATGAAAGTGTTGGTGCTGAAAAAAATAGACCTTTTCTCCTATCCTTTGCCCTACAAAAATAATTTACCTGATTTTTGCCCCTCATTTTCTCCAATTGTCAACTAACAAGTCGGTTCTAGTTTCTACAATATTATGAGTCTAATCTCATATGAGAATTCAGAGAAAATCAGCTTCAGATATTCCTGAGTTTACCAATAATGAATTAGGACTTTCTGGTTGAAAAAAAAAAAAAAAAAAAAAAAAAAAAAAAAAAAAAAATAAATTATTCTTTTACTGCTTCTCTAGGGTTTACCTCAATCTCTCTGCTTCCCTAGGGTTTCTAATTGAACTTTCGATGTTTTTTAGCTAATATAAGCAGCATCCAGCTAAGCTTTCGGAGTTTTTTGAAGCCCTCGAGAAACTGGGAATTGAGGAAACTTTGGGTTGGGGTTCCAATTGTAAAGAATGTCCAAAGTCCGGGATAGGATGGAAGATTTCAAAGATGCTGTGCGCCACTCTGCTCTCTCTTTGGGTTACAGTGAGGTTCGCAAATTAATTCCATTGCTCTCTAATTTATTGAAATTATGGTTTTTCTTGTGAATCAATGTCTTTTATCTGCAAATTTACAGTCCAAATTGGCAGCCATTATGGCAAAATTTATTATACATGCACCCCGCCAGAGGTCACCTTTCACCAGAGCCGCTCTCAAGACGGTACTTACACATTTGCTACTCCGCTTCTTCTTCTTCCTTTGTAATCTCTTGTGTTTTAATTCATTTCCTTTAATAAATGAATCAGATGGAAAGCATTGGAGCTCTGGAACAGTTTATGTTGAAACATAGAAAAGATTATGTGGATATGCATCGGACCACTGAACAGGAGAGAGATAGCATTGAGCATGAAGTAAGTTATCAATTGACTATAATTTACATCCCTTTTGTCTCTGTAGAAATTTTGAGTTTCCACAACTTTGTTGGATTGTCAGTGGATAAGTAAATTCTAGTAAGTTTATTTTACTAATTATTAGTATTGTTTGTGTTGACGAAATTGATTCATTAGGCAACTCTTCAGAAATATATATGTTACAAACTCTACGACTTCGTCTATGCTGTTCAATTTGGTTCTAAAGTGCGTAAATGTGCATGTGTAAGAACAAATTATTCTGTAAAATTATAGCTTGTTTCTTTATCATATATCTGTTTCAGTCTTGTGTATTCACTTGCATATATTTGTAAAAACCATGTTTGGTAAATGCTGTGGATTATGATATAATTTGGTTAAGCTGTATGGTTTTGTATTATGCTTATCTTTCCATGTGTCATGATATGCAGGTAAGTGCTTTTATCAAAGCATGTCAAGAACAAATTGATGTTCTCAAAAATAGCATTAACGATGACGAGGCAAACTCAAAGGGATGGCTTGGCATTAGGACTGATTACTCTAATGCTGATACTATAGCACACAAACATGGTGTGGTATGATTATTTCTCATATTGTATTAAGTGTGTCCATTGATGTTATATTCTGTCCTCATAAGCCTATGATCTCTAAGGCAGGAACCCTGCATTTCTCCACCTTGGCTTTGTTGAACATGGGACCTCTTGTGCCTTTTAGTTCTTATGGGTGACTGTTAATATTCAATCAAGTTAATTAGGAATTTTATATTCCTCATTGTAAACATATTTGCATGAAATCAATGGCATATTTGGTAATTAATTGTCTAATGCTTACTCTTAAACCGCAGGTTTTGATTTTAAGTGAGAGACTCCATTCAGTCACTTCACAGTTTGATAAGCTAAGAGCCATACGCTTCCAAGATACCATTAATAGAGCAACACCTAGAAGAAAACTTAAGCGGATTGCAAATTCAGAACCTGCAGATGCTTCTAACTCCAACAATTTGGAGCTCAGGGAACCTAATGAACTTCAACCTGAGCCTCTAACAGTCCAACAGCAACTCTTGGACGATGAAACACGTGCCCTTCAGGTCATCAGAATCTTGGCTCTCTATTGGTTTTTTATTTTCTTGTTGTTCCATTATGTAGAACCCTGAAAATGGATAAAGTTGCTTACTGCTGTTCTTGGTATGCAATGCAGGTGGAGCTGACTAACCTTCTTGATGCAGTTCAGCAAACTGAAACTAAGATGGTGGAAATGTCTGCGCTGAATCACCTTATGTCCACACACGTGCTGCAACAAGCTCAACAGATAGAGCAACTCTATGATCAGGTGACTAGATATATGATATATGTTGGTCCATACATAGGTCTTGTTTATTATCTGCTCCCTCTAATTTGCCTTTGAATTGGTGGTATATGTTTAAATCATACACAAAGTCTTAAGTATACATTCCAAAGACCTACTGCTAATTATCTCTGTTCTCTTTGACAGGCAGTCGAAGCAACGAAGAATGTAGAGCTTGGAAACAAAGAGATCTCAAAAGCAATCCAGCGGAATAGCGGCAGCAGGACGTTTCTTTTGCTTTTCATCGTTTTATTAACTTTTTCGGTTCTCTTTCTCGATTGGTATAATTGAATGTACTCATCTTTGTATAATTTTGATTCTATACTTGTTAAAGAGAAATGCATGTTCACCAAACTTTAGCAGAGGTAACCGAGAAAAAAATTCGAAAGTTGAGATTTTTCTTTCTCATCTTCGGTCCCAAGTTATGGAAAGTATTTACAAATGTTGTATTTTTTATTTCTAAGACAAGGAACAAAACTTGAGTCCTAGCTATTTACCAACTTGTTCCTGTAAAGACCTTCCCAATTTTATGATAGTTGGGTCAACAACGATTTGATTTAGTTTAGGCTGGAAGAGAATTAAATTCCCAAAACTTTCCTCTATATTTTTCTTTTTCCTGCTGTGTCTGAAGGTGAACAGAACACGTCTGTTGGTAAAACAAATAATTTATGAAGGGCTTAATTGTAATTATCAGCAAAGAAAACTTGGTGTCCAAATAGAACCGCCATAAAAATAAAATAAAATAGACCACTCAAATAAATAAATAAATAAATATATATATATATATATGAATTCCTTGATTCAATTAATTTATGTCATTTTAAATTTCTTCATTTATAAATTCTTTAGTACTTTCAAATTTATGTCATTTTAAATTTCTTCATTTATAAATTCTTTAGTACTTTCAAATTTCTTTATCCAAACGCAAAAATGTGTTTCATAATATACTTTTATATTTAATTTCTATTTTCTGATAGTTATACTCAATAATCTTATGGATTACTGAATTTATATTGTTGATTTGCAAGTTTTTTTAAAAAATATGAGGTCTAAATTCAATTAACCTTAATTTCTCAACAACAACAAAAATTCAATTACCCTTATATAATTCTTCTCATTAATATTCCAAATAAGCTTTGACCAAAAAAGAAAAAACGAAAGCCTCCTAAAACCAACATCAGCCCTCATACACACGCCCAATTCCTTCTCTCTCTTTCCTTCTGTCAGCAGCTATGCCCAGTCAAAGCTGAAGGCTTGATCTGACGATTGCTACCAAAGCTTGATTTGTTCAAGTCTTCATCAACCCCGTCACATCCAGATCCTTCGCCGTTCTCTCACTCATCCCTCTGCTCTCTCACTCTTGAGGTAGCTGTCGTTCGATTCCTTCGTTGCCCATCTGCAGGTAAGATTCAGATTCCGTAGTTTTTGAAATTTTGGGATCAAGCATGGAAATTTTACTGAGTTCTTGTAATTATGTGCAAATTACTGGTGAGTTTTGGTTCCTGGGATTTAGAGAATTGTAGTTCTGATTTTCTTTTGCTGGGTTATTGTTCTTGTTGTGAATCAATGGTGGCTGCCCATCTTATGAGTTGGAAGAATTTGCTTGTAATCCAGTTTTTTTTTAAGTCTTGTCCTTTAATATTAATATTATGCAGGAAACACACAATCAACTTGTTTTCATTGTTTGTTTTTTTTTTTTTTTTTTTTTTTTTTTTTTTTAAAAAAAATTATATGATTTTCTTGATTTTTAATTAGATGGGCTTGATTTAGACCTGACCAACAGTATTATTGTGCTTTCTCAACAAACAAAAAAAACCATCATTTGTGATTCAAATCCTGGCCAGTCGAAGAGAAGTTTTAATCCTATCTGATCTAGCCTAGGCTTCATGCCATTTCAAGGTACTGGTATGACTTTAAAATCTTACTGTATGACAGTTTGAGCATGCAATGTGTGTTACATGATGGTGAGCAGCAATGACAATACCCGAGATCTCTCCCATTTTTAGATTTGTATCCACGAAATGAAGTCATTTTATATGTAAACTTGGAAGAACTTGACAATGGCAGATAAAATCTTTATGATTTCTTTAAAATTTTGATATATTTCTGTGGGAAATTTCATTAACTTGAATTTAGTTGGTACAGAACTAGTAACCGAAACAACATGAGAACAATGGCAGCAGCAACGACTTCGCAGCTCTCATGCTTCTCTGCTATGAATCGCAACCTCAACCTCCCCAGACGTTCGCTCCTTTGCCCAACCATTTTTCGTCCCAAGTACTTGTCAACTACTGTTATGAGTCTTGAAGGCGGTTCCAAGACCAAGACTAGTTTAAGTTACACAAGCGATGCACCAAAAGCAAAGTCAGATCCCATTTTAGATGATGAACAAATTGCTGAACCGAAAAGAGCGGCCAAGATTCATGATTTCTGTTTCGGCATTCCATTTGGCGGGATTGTTCTAAGTGGTGGACTTATTGGTTTCATCTTTTCTAGAAATCCTGCCACTTTGTTCACTGGCGTCCTGTATGGAGCGGCATTGCTAGCCCTTAGTACCTTCAGCTTGAAGATTTGGAGGCAAGGAAAATCCAGTTTACCCTTCATTCTAGGGCAAGCAGCTTTGGCGGCAGTCCTCCTGTGGAAGCACGTTCAGACCTACTCATTGACAAAGAAAGTATTTCCAACAGGCTTCTATGCTGTCATCAGTGCAGCAATGTTATGCTTCTATTCATATGTCGTCCTGTCTGGAGGAAACCCACCACCGAAGAAGTTGAAGCCATCTGCAAGTGTTGCATCGTGATAGAAAGCCTAAAGGTCTGATTAGGTATAAAGGTTACAAAGTTTGTATGACTGAATGTTGTTTTGTTTATATGAATTATAGAGGACTTTGCTCTTGAATAATGTCACTGTTAAACTTCAAATGGAGCATAAAAGGTCAACTTCAATGGTGAGGCGAAACACAACATGAAATTTGAGCGAGTCTGATATGTCTTTTTTGTACTTTTATGTTGTTGGTCTTAATCAACATGGTTGTCTTTCTTCTTCTCTGTTTCATGACAGATTTGTTTCTCTTGGAACCCTGCTATTTTGGTGAAACAGGGGCTTGAAATGTCTATTTGAAAAGTTTCAGTGTGATTTGTTTTTCTTGTGGTCTCCCTCCCAGCTCTCTTTCTTTGATTTTAAAAAGAAAAAAGGCAAGAACAAAAGGTTATCAGACAAACATTGTTTTTTAATTTAAATATTTTTCTATTAAATTTCATCACATATCGATCCACGCACTTCTTTTGGATTATGATAACAACAATTAACCCTTCTTTTTTTAATGGCTTGGGAACCATCCATCTTTTTCAATGTATTTTTATAAGAGCAACTACTGTAATATTGTGACAAGGATTGTGTAATAAGTTGGTGTCTGTAGTATTATTATTTTTATAATTTTCTTCGTCGACCGGAAAAAGTTAAACCTAGAAAGAGACACATAAAATCTTATAAAATCTGTATAACTTTTCTTGAACATAATTCAGTGATTTATAACACCACATTAATATAATAATGTAGAATTTTCATGGAAAAAAGCATGCAAGCAAAGAGGCAAAATGAAAGCTATAATATATGAAAAATATAAAGATAGGGGAAGTTAAAAATTAGGTCTAAAGAGTAAATTTACAATTCTCTTGGTAAAGTAAAATACCAAGTTGGGGTTGCATCTAATGCGCCCATCTTCATCCTCATCACCGTCACATTTCCATTTTCTGCACCCCGACAACCCCCCAAAACAAAAACAAAAAAATTGAAAAAAGAAAAAAGAAAGAAAAGGGTAAACACTAAACGGGCCCCACAATTCTTCTGATAGAGATGGAAGGTGCCCCACAAGAAAGAGCACCTACGAAGCCGACACCTGTCGGCATTTCCATCGGACCCATCCAACCTCGATGGGGACCACCACACGCGAAGGCCGCCTTGGTAATGGTGCTTTTGAACGGTCCAGCTGGAGGGCCCCCACACTCTTGGGCCCCGCTCCCACCATCACATGGACAGTGAGATGACGTGGGCCCCGCGTTTTATATTAAAATATAGCTCTTACAAGTCTTACCCACCACCCCGCGACCCACACGGTGCACAGAACAAACCCTAAAACCCACTCTACCCCACCATCACCCGTGTGGTCCCCACCTCCCGCCTAATCCAACCCCACTTCACACGTGCATTGCCTTAAACCCCTCCCTCACGTGACCACGTGCTTCCCCTTTCCCTGTCCAAAAACAAAACAAAAAAAAACTCAAAACCCAACGCTGAGGAAGACAAAGCTAAGCAGATAGCCGTACAAAAACCGTCAAGATTTCGCCGCCAAAATCTGAAATCCCAGAAAAAGCGCTTTCTGGGTTTTTCTGGGTTTTGGGCTTGTCAATGGTTTGAAGAGCCAGACATGAATTGAAGCTCCTTCTTGTCGTAAATTTCCAAAGAGAAGTCTCTGAGCGTCTGAGGGGCAGTGGAAGCGGCCATATGGGTCGTTGCAGAAGCCGAACTGGGGCCCACGAAAGAGGATATGGGTCGGGCCGAAATGTTGATAAACGGAGCGGCGGCAACGGTGGTTGGAAATGTAAATATGTGAGGCTGGGTCGAAGCGGAAGGGACCATGAAGAAAGCTCCGGGAACGACGCCGTTTGACGGTATGGCCCACATGGGGAGCACGCCTTGAGGTACCACCGCTTGCACCGCTGCTGTCGGTGGCTGTTGGTGATGTCGTTCCGTTGTTAAAGGGGCTAAACCCGCCGAAGCCGAAACGCCGTCGTTCAAGTCCACGTACTCGCTGTTTGAGTTCCGCTTGCGCTTTTTCTTGTCGGGCGGCTCCTCGCCGGGTCTCGGGTCTGGAGCGGACGTGGGGATTTTGAGCGCCCCATTCACGGACATCGCGATCGCAGGCACGGTTCCGGTGCCGGTGGCGGCGATGATGGCCGGCTCGGCGTGCTCCAAGAGCCACCGGATGGTCTCGCCGTCGGACTTGTGCCCTAGCTCCCGGGTCAGCTGGAAGATCCGAGCCGCGCACGTGGCGGGCATTCGGATCCTCCGGCCCCGTCCCTCCACTTTCGTGTGCCGGTCCTTCGTCGACGCTCTCTTCGGCGCGTGCACCGCCACAGGCATAGCTACGTCCCGCTCGTCCTTGGGCGCGAGCATGAGAGCTTGGGATGGGCCGGCGGGCTCTTCTGAGTCGGATTCTTCTCCGCCGTTGATTCTGAGATCGACGGACGTTGTGGCTTGGTCTGGTTCAAGTTCTCGTTTCTCAGTCATGGTCATGTTGAAGCCGAAAATCAACGAAGACCCAATTGAGAAGGAGCAAAACCCAGATAGAATCACACAAGAAATTCGAAATTCGAAAGAAAAAAACGAAAATTTCGCTGCGGACTAAAAAAAATAGTTGCAGAGTTCAAGTGGAGCGCAGAGACTGGAGGGAAAGCTTGAAAATGAAGCGTTTTCTCTATGCGCTTAAACAACACGTTGAGGAGGATATTCTCTGTAATTTATATACAAATCAATATCATGGGGAGGAGGGATGGGGAGTGTAATTTGATTATTAAATTTTTTACGGTTATTATTAGGAGGAAACAATGGAAGAAATCTACGGTTCGCTGCCCATCACATATCAAGTTAGACCCACAGGTGATGACACATGGCGGGGCCCATTGTAATTGGGTTTATCTGTTCAGTTGAGTCAAAGGTGGTGATGGGTCCAATGAGAAATGCACTATAAAATCGTTTTAGCTGTTTTGATTTATTTCTATACGTTGCGAATTTGTGAGTGTTTATGCTTACGATATTCTTTTCTTTTATTTTGTGTCATTTTGAGGAAAATTGGGCTTATGAGATTAATTCTTAATTCTTTCTTGTTGTATTGTATGGAATATAACGACATGTTATAATATAGGTGGATCGCATGGTCGATATTTTTTGTTTCTAAATATGTATATAAGTAAGTGCTCATATACGGAACTATAATTACTCGTATTGTAGTCAAATTTCTTCGTCATATCTTTCATCTAGCATGATATCATCTGCCTCTCTAATCAATGAATAAAACGAATGAAAAGGAATATATAAAGGAGGGACCAAGTCAAGCATTGAAAAGGAATATGCCCTGAGATGAATGAGCTAACTTTCCTTATCATTTCACAGTTCCACAATGCCAATAAGTTGTATCCGGAAGGGCCATAGCTCATACTGCATGGACCCAACTCTATCTTCATTTCATATATGAAAAAACACATTCATCCACAAGTGAGACAACCCTAATTTTTCCTTATTACGAAGGGAATGTCATTGTCCTTATTTTGGACACACAAAACAAAGAAATAGAAGATAGAAAAGACTCTGCGAGCTGATACTTGATAAAAATACAGAACACAAGCAAGATATTTTATGGTGCCCCTTAAAATGGAGTTCACAATATCAAAATGGAGTTACATCGGAGAATATGAGAAACTAAACATGAATCAAAAAGGTAAGCGTCGTCGTAATAGATTTATAGTTCAAGTAGTTGAGGACAATTACTCATGTACTCAATTTCTCAATCACTCCAATATGGAATTAACTAAGAGCATCCACAATGAGCTCCTTAAACCACTTTTTTAAACAAATTTTAGGGAGGAATTGGAAAAATATAATTCCAACCTTGCTCTCTATCCACCTTCTAAAATAGAGAGACCCATAGGAGCTCCTAAATCTGAAAAGAGATAAACGACTCCTAGTAACTCCCTATAATTTAATTCTGCTTTATTTTATGCATAGTTTAAACTTTTAATTAATGCTAACTAGTTTTTCATATTATTTTGCATAGAGATGGACCAATCATAATGAATTCAAAACAACTATAGTATTTATGACTCTCTAAACTATGGAATATGATTAGAGTTCAAATTTTATAAAGAACTCTAAAAATAACTTTTGTGTATTTATAGCTAAATTTTAACTAAAGAATAGGGAGCATGATTGTAGCTACTCTAACTTACCCCAACTTTCCAACATGTCGCGTTAAAATTGTGCTTCAATATCAAAATATACAGTGCATTTAGATATCTTTTTTGGACCATATATTCCAATCACTTTCATTTCTTATGCTTGGATTAGGCGAATTGTACTTGCAAAGAAGTTTAGGCCTATTTTCTGACTAGTTAGTTACACATATTAATCCTCCCTCGTTGTCCAATAGCCACATACTAGAAGTAAGGTAACAACAACTAATGGCAACATAAAGAGAGTTGAAAACTAGTATTACTAGTACTTGTGAAAATGGCGTTTATTAATGGGGTTACCAATTTCAAATGGCCCATTAATGTGCTACAAGGTCATTCCTAGGTGTGTGGACCAAACACCTTTGTTGTGCTGGTGCTTGAAGAGACCTACCAATTCGACAAGGATTCAATATCATTTTTGTCCTTGTATTTTGCTCCAAACTTTTATTTTCGTTCTATGTTTTGAATTTAATCAATTTCATCCTTGTGTTTTATATTGTTGACAATTTTAGTTTGTATTTCCTAATTTAACGTTGATTTATCATGGTAAGGGACTTGTAGTTCAAGTAGAGAGCATTTACTTATGCACCTAAAGTCATGGGTTCAACACCCCCCTCTTCCAATAGTGCTTTGATAAAAACGTTAATTTATTATAATGTGTGAGTCTTTGTGAGTGTTATGTTGTCACAAAACCAATCCATTATCAGACAACACGAAAAGATAACAAATTTGCACCAATCGACTTTTCTCTTCCATAAAAAGAGCAAATACACTGCAAAAGGATAGATCTATTATAGATTTACGCCATAAACTAGTCAATGAAACAGAGAAGGAGACGATGCCAAGGGGGAAGCAAAGAGGATGGGAATGGAATGAGGTGGAGAGGAAAGGAAAAAAAGAGGAAGATGAGAGGAAAAGCACGGTAGTCCCCAAAACAGTTAACAAATTAAGACGCATGAAATAGATTAAAATGTTATTTTCAAAATAAATAAAAAAATCTCTGATGGGATTCACTATCACAATTTTATTTTATTTTATTTTTGTCAACCACACAATTACTGTGAAATGTGTAGGCACATCTTCTAAACTGGTGGGGTCCAACCAATTTGTCAATCCAACCGTTGGATCCGACCACCTATGGTGGACCTTACCTCATTGGCCTAAAAGTTTTCTTATAAAGTGGGCCTACTGCACACGCACTTAAGACGAGGACCAGCGAATTGCCGCTCGCTGGGGTTCGGTCTGGGATGGGACCCACCGGTTCTACACTAATATTAGTGATGGGCCTCACAGCTTGCGTAGGCCACAATGGGTTATGGCTGAGACAGAGAGAGACCCACTGGCTCAAAACTGGTCCCTGTTTACTTTCTAGATGGGGACCCCTCCTTTTGGGGGCCCCATTTGTTTTTCCTTTCCTTTTTATGCCATATGTGGACCCCAATTACAGCCTTGCCAAAAGACACATGAACAAATGGTATATCGACACGTGTCTTTAATGGATTTTTAGATATAAATGGAATTACAGTAAGACATATATTAATAAATCAGAGTGGCGCAGCGGAAGCGTGGTGGGCCCATAACCCACAGGTCCCAGGATCGAAACCTGGCTCTGATAAAAAAGAGTGGCTTCCAATTATTTTTTTGTTTTTTTAGACCTTTTACTTTCAATTCAATCTCCAAGTGATTAGCAGGTATGAGATGAACAAATGGTATCTCGACATATGTTTTTAATGAATTTGTAGATATAAATGGAATTACAATAATAAATATATTAATAAATCAAAGTGGCGCAGCGGAAGCGTGGTGGGCCCATAACCCACAGGTCCCAGGATCGAAACCTGGCTTTGATAAAAAAGAGTGGCTTCCAATTATTTTTTTGTTTTTTTAGACCTTTTACTTTCAATTCAATCTCCAAGTGATTAGCAGGTATGAGATGAACAAATGGTATCTCGACATGTGTTTTTAATGAATTTGTAGATATAAGTGGAATTACAATAATAAATATATTAATAAATCAGAGTGGCGCAGCGGAAGCGTGGTGGGCCCATAACCCACAGGTCCCAGGATCGAAACCTGGCTCTGATAAAAAAGAGTGACTTCTAATTTTTTTTGTTCTTTTAGACCTTTTACTTTCAATTCAATCTCCAAGTGATTAACATGTATGAGATGAACAAATGGTATCTCGACATGTGTTTTTAATGAATTTGTCGATATAAATGGAATTACAATAATAAATATATTAATAAATCAGAGTGGCGCAGCGGAAGCGTGGTGGGCCCATAACCCACAGGTCCCAGGATCGAAACCTGGCTCTGATAAAAAAGAGTGACTTCCAATTTTTTTTTGTTCTTTTAGACCTTTTACTTTCAATTCAATCTCCAAGTGATTAACATGTATGAGATGAACAAATGGTATCTCGACATGTGTTTTTAATGAATTTGTCGATATAAATGGAATTACAATAATAAATATATTAATAAATCAGAGTGGCGCAGCGGAAGCGTGGTGGGCCCATAACCCACAGGTCCCAGGATCGAAACCTGGCTCTGATAAAATAGAGTGGCTTCTAATTAATTTTTTTTAATTTTTTGCTTCTAATTAATTTTTTTCACTACTATACTTAAGTCCTATTGCCCTCTAACCTTAATCAATACTTGTCAAAATCGTACTATATTTTAAAGAAAAACCACTAATTTTGTTGAGGCCCAAAAAACACATGTTGAGATACCATTTGTCCACAACGTAGAAAGGTCAAAACGAGCCCATAAAACGCACTGGCTCTGTGAACCCACACTTACTGACCTGTTCAGTGCCACCTGGCCCAATCATAGCCTATTCAACCCAGCAAACACACCATCCAGGAGTGCGACCAAGCTTTCGTTGAGCAACTGAAAATTTACTCAAGACACCCCATTCTCTATTTCCATCTCTCCCTATCTTCCTTAGTCAAAATCCCCCCAAACTTCTCTCCCCTTACTCTAAACCTTTGCTTCCATAAAAAATCCTTTTTCTCTCTACTGCTAAACTCGTGAAGACTTAGCTCCTATGCCACAAGTTTCTCAAGCCAAGCCATATTGCTAATCCGTCACAACCGTTTGATTCATTGGTGAAAGGGATCCAAAGTGTTTTCTAAGGCTCCACGAACCTTTCAAAACACTCTTGGGGCTTGGTTCTCGAACTCATGCACAGGGGCAACTCTATCTGTTTTTTCTTTAGGCAACCCAAGCCTATTTGTCAGGCTGTTAGAACAAAAAGACCTTTATAAATTTCAATCTAGTACTCTTGGAGTTAATAATTTACACTAAAAGTGAACATAATGTATATGGTTAAGCTTTATGTTTTACATTTTGTACCCTCCTAAAATATAAAATTTTCACTCCCCTCCTCCTCCTGTATACTTATAAAACTCTAGAAATTCGTATATATATATATATATATATTTTTTAAAGGCTTAAGGTGTATGAAACTATCAGATTGCATCCTTATTGTTTTTATGTGTCATTTGTGGTCCTTAAGAATAGTACGTGTGCTCACAAATGGTCTTTGCCATTAGATTCCGTCAAAAAACTCAGTTAGTTTGCTGACGTGGCATATATATTTCATAAAACATCCCTGAGATTCATGCACTTATCACAAATGGTCCATACATTTTTTAAATTATTTTTTCATTAAAATTCATAAAACTTTGGTTTTAAAAAAAATATATTTAAAAAAATATATTGTATTTCAAATACACGTTACACTATATTATTGGAGATGTGGACTCCACATATATGCCACATTAACAAATTAGTGGAGTTTTTTTTAAAAAATAATTTAAAATTCATAAAATTTAAAAATGAAAAAACCATTTATAGAAGGATTTTAACCTTGAGGACCATTAATGAACCCTAAACCCTTGGTTTTTTTTTCATTTTTAAAAGAAAACCAAAATTTTATGAATTTTAAATCAAAAAATCAAAAAATTTCGCGGGACCATTTTTGATAAGTGTGTGAACCTTAGGGATGTTTTGTGATATATATATATATATATATATGCCACGTCTGCAATCTAACGGAATTTTTGACGGAACATAATGGCAGATACTATTTGTGAGCACACATACTAATCTTGAGGACCACGAATGGCACAAAAAAACATTAAGAATGCAATATAATAGTTTCGTAAACTTTAGAGACATTTTGTGATATTAAAGAGTAATTATAATTTTGGTCACAAAAGCCCTAGAAATTCTTATCGGAAAATAAGCGCCTAAAAATTATCTTGTTTAATAACTTTTATGATAAAAGCTTATCTTCTGGCATCATAGTGTTGTCACATAAGGGATGTCAACATAGTATTCTCATTGAAAAACAAAAACAAAGAAAGAAGAAATTCTCATACCCACAAAGAAGAAAACCCGACCCAATTATAATAACCCAGCAAACTCAGTTAGTGTTTCTCTCTCTCGCTCTCTCCCTCGTTTAACTCTGATTCTCCTCATAGAGCGAGAACAAAGCTTCGTTGTCGCTAGCAATTACACCATTAGGTATGTCAAATTTTCAGGTTTCTTTCAATCTTTCTTCAATTTTGTTGTTTGGGATGCTTATTCAGTGGAAGGTTTTACCCAGTTTTGGAATTTCTTTTTGGGTTTAGAAAGATTTTCGTATTGTTTTCAATGGATCATTTCTAGTTTCTTGTGATTTTTGTACATCTTTCTGTATAGTTTTTGTTCAACTTTAAAACATGATATGAGATTCCAGAAACCTTGGGTTATAGTTTTGTTATAATTTCTTGCTGCCGATCTGCAACTGAGCTTTCATGAATTCCACTTCTGTGATTGTTGAAATTTTGGGGCTACACATCGAAATATTACTGAATTATTGAAATTATGTTGTTAGTTAAAGCCCCTTATTTTGGTGTGCTTGCTGCCCATATATGTAGATATTTGGTGTAATACGATGAATTTTGAGTTTTTTGTTTTGCTAATTATGAAGCTAAGTCATGGCCACATTGGATTCTGATGTGCCGATGGTACCGGTAGGCGAGGCTTCAAGCAGCGCTGGTCCTTCTTCGACCAAGAGGCCCAAGCGGTTCGAGATCAAGAAGTGGAATGCTGTAGCTCTCTGGGCTTGGGGTAACCACTCTAACCCTAACCCTAATTTATCTGATTTCCTCATGGTTTAGAATTTTAACTAACTTGGTGTTTAAGTCGGGTACTGATGTTGTTTTGCTTTGTTATATGCAGATATTGTGGTTGATAACTGTGCCATTTGCAGGAACCATATCATGGATCTCTGTGAGTGTTTTTCGTATAATTTTATAGTTTGATTTTTCTTGATTGTTTTATTGAGTTATTGATTTTTTGTTTGGTGGTGAGTAGGCATCGAGTGCCAAGCGAACCAGGCAAGTGCCACAAGTGAGGAGTGTACGGTTGCTTGGGGTATGCTTCAGCTTTCAAACCCTACTTTCCTCAAGTTTATGCGTATGCTAATCATTTAAGACTACTATAGTTGATATGCCCTTGGTAGCTAATCACATTTATGATATTTCACCATTAATCTGGCTCATAGGTAGCTTAAAAGTTCACTAGTATTTAATATTTTAATAAATTTTTTGGATACCTGCCTTGTTTTTTATTTCTCATGTTTTCTACCCCCATACATTCTACATAATTGGCAAGGCCGTTCTTTGTAATTCTGTATCTTTGAAGTGTAATAGAGGAAAGGGAAAGAATTATGTATCTTAGATCGTGCGAAGATGGTGGTTAAGACTTTTTCTTAGTGTGGTTAGTATCTCTGTTAGGTGCTTAAATATAAAGAAAAAGAACGGAAAACTTCATTGAAATGGAGATTTTTTCATAGAAAGAAAAAAGGAGATTCTTGAAGTCGTATTGCAGAACTGTTCATTATATTTTCTCTGGCATATCAGCTTGCTTGAATTCCTCTTTATGCATTCTATGTGTCCTCAAAGCTGTATTTTATAGTCTTAGCACTCATTCACCCTATATCGTTGCTTGAAATTGATCGCTTATATCATATTTGATCTATCTGGGTTAATGCTTGAAACAGATGTTGGTAATGATAGTCTTCTTCTGTGTGTGGGCACCTTGGTTATCATTGCTTATTCTAAAATTAGTCAGTCAAAATTTACTACATCTTCATTAAGCATCTGGTGTTTCTTTGTCTGAATCTCTGTAGGGGTCTGTAACCATGCATTCCACTTCCATTGCATAAGCCGATGGCTGAAAACCCGCCAAGTGTGTCCGTTGGGTAAGATTTATGCCTTACTCATCTCCTTCCCATTCTTATATTATATTTCCTTTCCCTGCTGCTTCTGTCTTTATAGCACGACATTGTCTTATTTCCTAATTTTTTGTTGTGCTTGTCTGGTTAACCCAGATAACAGCGAGTGGGAGTTTCAGAAGTACGGTCACTAGAACCTTCATGTGGTCGAGTGTAGGATCTTCTATGCACTTAGTCGAGTGTTGGATCTTCTGTGCACTTTCTACGCTGGAGGTGTCGAGGAGGGTCTTAACCCCTTTATGTCTATCATCTTTTCTTTGTGCTTATTTTCTTCTCAACTTTAAATCAACCGAGCCCGTATATTTTTGTTTAGCATTCAGCTGCTCAAGTGCGTGATATGGATTTGCTACAGTAAAAGTTATAATTGCCTTGCCCCGTTATTATCATTAAGAATGAACTATAAATTTTCAACTATATCTATTTTTCCGGCATGGTTTTCTTTTGGATTTAGTGATGTTTATTTATTTTTAACCCCAACCATCATTTGCCGCATGTTTGATTGTGTCGAGTCTGGTGACTCAGACAAATGACACACACCTTTTGGCTTAAGGATATACATGTGTGTTTTGCCCGACGGCGTGCTTAAAATGCATGATCTTGTTCTCAATGACATGAATAAAATGTCGTTTAATGTTAAAACCTCTTTATCTTTGTTTACAATCAGAATTAAAATGCATGATCTTGCTGTTGGTCGCATACGTAGTGAAAATGAGATCTAAGTGCATCTATTTGTTGTAAGATGGCTCCTTCCCTATCTGCGAGGAGCAGGCTTATTTTGGGGCGTTGGAAATGAAGGCTTCAATTTAAACAGTGAAGAAAAGCATAAGTAATCTTCATCGAACCATACTAAAAAAGGCAGCTCTATTTGACATATTTGTTCCAAGGCATTTGTTCCACAGTGAACAAGGAGCAGTTTGAGAAAGCTCTCAATCGAGCCTGGCGAACCGCATCTTGATTTAAGACCTCTACTCAAATATATTTTCCATACATGGGCTCCTTTTCATCAAACTAAACACGGACTTTCCACAAAAAAAATTATGAAAGACGGGGGCACAGCCCCAGCACCAGAAACCTGAACAGACTCAGCAACCAGCAATCTGTCTTGCGTGACACCTAACATGTCGTCACTTTCCACACAATATTTGACGCGCTAAAATCAACATAAAACCTTTTCCCTTTTTCATTTTGGAGAATGTAAGAGACTTGATACAGCCATTTGACACATTGGTCAGTTTTTAAGAAACACATCATACAGCTGGGGGACTTGCTTCACCTACAAGAAATGTGAAAACTCTAATAACCATAACTCTCATTGCAGCCTCCACCTTATGATCCTGACATGTAAGTATACCTCGTCTGAGCTCCTACAATGAGCTCGACAAGTTTTGCTGCACAGACCAAAGATTTTGTTTTTGAAAAATCAGATCATGAATACATCAGAAACTCGGCTTGAAAAAAGCAGTAGGGCAACATAAAATGAAAAGGAAAAAGAAAGAAAAGTAAACCAACCTGTAAGAAACCCAACAATAGGAACAGGTTCCAACACTTTCTCGGTGCTTTCGAGTTTTTGCCTGAAATGTTTGACAACAGACGTAACCAGACACATGAATTATTCTTCCTTAGAAAATTAGCAACCTATTACTAAATTTAATTCAGAGTAGTGGCGCTGTTGTCACATAACACTTTACTTAACCAAACCTCTATTTTAAAATATTTAATTATAAGTTTTGTCTTTCTACAAAATTACTTAAGACAACCCTTTAAGAAAAAATGAATTGCCCAAATACTGCCATAACTGCTCCCATGGCCCACGAAGATGGTCCTGATTCCCAGGTAGACCGAGTCATACTTTTTCTTTTAAAGAAAAATTGTGAGGGTAGGAAAAACATGTGTTGGGTTAGTGGTTTGAAGGGTGGCAATTTACAACTACATTCTGAAATTCAGCATTACCTGGTATACTTGCTAAAAATGGATCTCTCATGAGGTAAAGTGCCCATAACATCTTTCGTCTTTTAACCTGCACCCATGCCATATTATAAAGAGCTATTCATAACCAGCTGTGATGACAGACTAAATACTGACAAAGGGGCTAATTTTAAAGATGACAGATTAGCACACTCAAGTAAATAAGCCAGGTTCTCAAGGTCTACAAGGTAAGAATTTTGGAAAACCTAACCTCATTCTTTTCAGAGTCAGAAAGATGAAACTGCTGCTCGGTACCACCCCTTGTCGAAGTAATTCGTGAAAGAATGCCCATCCCAGTGAAGTCCACAGCCACGAAAGAAACCAAGGAATCCACGAGCGAACTCCATATTTTCGAATAAATAAAACATAGATAAGTGGTCTTGTTATAAATAGCGCTTCCCCAATCAAATAAAATGCCCCATGAAGACCCCTTTTGGACAATATGGTGGAAAGAGTCGGCCTCTTAACCACTGGAGCTGTAAGAAAACAATATCAATATTAAATGTTGTAATTACATATGCTACCCAGTCTGTAAATTATATATTAATTGTTACTTGGAGGCTCCATAATTGCATGCTGGTGTTGAACTCTACGCAACCATACTGGTTCTGAAACCATCCTAGCATTCTCTCCAAACCTACTCAGTGCAGATAGTGCTCTTCCTTCTAAATTCCATGCGTCCTGTCCATTATTATTTCTTAAGTACCCAAGCCCAAGCTGCCCTCCAGGCTTTGTAAAACCATTACGTTGAGGAGTTGATGCAGCCAAATGCTTTTCATCATTTGGTGTCTCTCCTCCATGCAGAAGCATCTTATATCCACTGTTCCGGAATAAAGCTAACCTAACTAGCACCCTGATAATAATGAAATCCATAATGAGTCAATGAACAGAAAACTACACACAATAAATGCTTGGAAATAATGTGTGATTATGCTAAGTAACAAATGATCCTTACTTGATAGCCTCCATAGCAGCAATGAAATTCCATTTTTTCTCATCACCAAAATACTGTTGAGCCACAACTTCAACCAACGTTTCCAAGTCCTTTAGTGCAGATATACACAATGCATAGGGAAAAGAATAATGCTCAGCAGAGCCAACATGCATTGGAGGTGGAGCTGTTTCAATGATATGTTCATTGATAGCAGTTATTACTCCAAAGAGAGCAGTTACTGCAGAAGTCATATTAAACCAAAAATTACCAATTTCTTCATTGCATTGATATGTATACGATCAAGATAAGTACAAATCAGAATGACACATTAGTTATATGTTATTCAATTGACAAGATAAATGTTAGCAAATTTAAATATGCTGTCAAGATTGTTCATTATTCAGAAAACAGAAAAGCAAACGACATGCTCTCATCATAAGTCTCCTAAGAATCTAAGATTGTTCATTACGTGTGAATTTCAATTTTTTTGTTGTTGTAAATTTTGATAACTTTCATTCATTTTCTTAGCAACCAAAGTTACTTTTATAAAGGTATAATTACTCCAGAGAAAATCATATAATTACTATGTAAAAGAAAGAATCCCTGCCAATTTCTAAGCTATAACAAGAAGTAGCCAAATGTTACCAAAATTTCAAAAAACCTGCTTCAGGTCCTATCTCTGACTCAGAAAACCGTTCGGGTAGAAGCCATGTGAATCCCTGTACAAATTTTCAACATTCAGATAAGATAACAAAATTTTAAAATATAACACAATTGAAGGGCAGTCATTCCATGAATTTTCTCCAATTATGAGTTACCATTGCAGATAAAGAAAACCCACACATGGATAATATAAAGAAGAAGAAGAAGAAGAAAACCAAAAGGACAGACAGTAAAATTAACAATACAAAAGACTATACAGGAGTACAAAATAATTGCGAGTGATTCTTCTAAGATCATTGGAAACCCAGTTAACCATTTCACCCCAAAAAACCCAGTTAACCGAACGGCATAGACAAACCAATAAACAAGAAAAAGCGAACCATATGCCGTTAAACTCACATAAATTGATAATCATCAAGAAATAAAGTAGTGAAATTTATAGAAATTGAGATAGCTCACATTGGCCAGAGACTCCAACGATGCACATAGTCCTTGTTCTCCCTAACCCATTCTTATAAGCCTCCATAGCCTTCCAATCTCTCTCGAAAACCGAGATACAGATGCAAAAACTCCACCTTTCCAACTGTAGAACCCAAAACTTCGCTAAACAAAGCCTCGTACTCAGCCTCTGCGCGTTTTAGACAAGACCCAGAATACCAAAGATGCCAAGAGAGAAGCCCTTTTAGGTAATTTGGATTTGGACTTTCTCAGCTGCCGAATGCTGTTGCGAAGTTGCAAAATGCACAGTGAGGTCTCAATGAGGTGTGGATTTTCAGTTTCTGCTGAAAAATGGGTAGTTTTTACCTGGACCGTTGATCGGTCAGATTTCTCCGATACTGATGGAATTTAAAGGGTTTAATGTTGGCCTACACGATTATGTGTATATACTTCATACAGTAGACAGCTGGACGGTGTGAATCTGATGGTGTCTCTCCCATTTCTATGGCTGATATCCCATGGACTCATAAAGATTATAGGCTGCATAGCAGATATAAAAAAAATTATATTATATATATATATATATTTTTTTTTTTTTCAGTTACAAGATAATCAAATAATTGACGATGGGTTTTGCTCACACCAATGAATGCCTTCGTAAGCGCAGACCATAGGATCTAGGAAATCAGACGGAAACGATCAGGTGAGGTGTTTTTGTTTTGTGTTATTACCACAATTTTAAGAAAGTTTTGGTAGTTTTGATGCTCAAAATATTAGCCCATTCCCCCACCAAAAAACAAAGTACCAATATTGTTTGGTATTTTAAGGCTAAATTGGAATACGTGCAAGACTTGAAGAATCAAAATTACTCAAAAACGAGTAAGAGGATCAAAATAACATTATGGTAGAAGTTCACCATTGCAGTTAAAACCCTAAAAAATAATGTTATTCCCACTTATGATTTTAAATGTCAATCATGCACTCATTTAGTTGACTCCCTTATTTTTGAACTTATATAGAGTACAAAAGGTAGGTCGTCAGGATAAGGTAATAATGCATGCCCCCTTTCATTAGAGATTCGAACTTCTTTTTCCGCACATTAGAATTGTTTGGAATCGTTATTCTAAAAAAGTGTCAAGAAATTTTTTTTTTTTTTTTAGGGTTTGTACTCATTTATGCACTACTTATCAGGATAAATATAATCTTTAACTGCTTTTTGGTGTTGATTTTGTGTTTTGAATAGAAATTTTAATTTTAATTTTTTGAAAAAGTAGACAATGATGCCTACTTTTTCTTCCCAAGCAAATGTTCTCATAAAAAGATGGAGATCAGGGAAGGGCCCAATATATTGACCCCTGACCAAGAGCTTTTCCAGAACTGGCCCCGGAAGCCTTATGTCTCCGTTGATGGGCTCATCGACCCAACAACCCCATATCATACAGAGACTGAACACTAGTGAAATTGACTTGGGTAGAGAAGAGCTTTATCCAGGTTTGCTTTCTTTCTTGGGTTACTTATGAACAGCAGATACTGATAATTTCACGTTAAATGCACAAGGGAAATTGATTTTGTAATCCACTTTTTCGATTTAGCATTTTTTTCGAAAATGATGTCGCGCGACACATTCCTGAGACGCGGATCTTCTCCTCCTTTTAGGTAACCAATCTCATTCTTTGCATTCTTTTTTTTTAATTGTCAAGGATTTGGAATTTTAAAACCCTAGGGCTGTGTGTTTGGTTCCCTATAAATTGTGAAATCAAGGAAGGAAATTGCTGAACTCTTCTGCTGTTAATATATCTCTCTATGGAATGCTGAAACACTGCAATGTTGTTCGTTTTGTTTTGGGTTGCTAGGAAATTTGGTTTCAGTGTTCTTGGTGCTTGGATGGTTCACGCGTTATAGTAATAGATTAGTGAAAATATAGATACCAAGGCTCAGATGAAAACTACTTTACCTAGCACATTGTAACTGGGTTGGTTGAGTATGAGGAACTATTGTGAATTTTTTTGGTTGGCAAGAGCTGCCCTGGGTTGGCAAAATGTTTAAAATCAGAAAATAGTGATGAGAATTGCATTTGGTGTGAGGTTCTCTCTGTGGTTAGGTTCCTCGGTTAAAGGAATTATAATTTCACGTTTGTAATACTAATAAGGAGCCATTAAAATAACTGTCTAGTACAGAAGCTGTCCTCAGGAGCAAGGTTCAATGTTGAAGGAAGACGTGTATTGTTGCTGGATGGCCTGTTTTCAGTTTGGGTGTTGGTGGAATTAAAATTCCTTTCATACCCTTCCACCCAAATTTAAAAAAACCCCATAAATAGAAGGATTTCTGAAGTCCCTGGGCTTTATCATTTGTACCTATATGTCACGTGTAAAGCACAATATTTTTATTTTTTATTTTGGGCAATATGCTTTTTCGTGTGTTTTTTACTTCGTTGTTCTTTTTGAGCGCAACTAATATACCAATGATCTTACTTCAAGGAGGCACCCCCCCTTGCAAATAATCCATATGCTCGGCAATTTCTTAGATATGGTCAATTTACTCCCTGTATCGCTACTTATCTGAAACGGGATCTTCAGTTGTACTTTTCCCTCCTTCCGTGTCTGATCCCAGCTCCATCTATTTCTAATTTTGCAAAAGCCCTTGGAAGGGCAAAAGGCCCCCCCCCCACTCTCCAACACACAGGTTCCGTGATAGTTTTTCTGTTATTATAAAATACATGCAAAAGCCTCAACAGATTTTATTTATGTGATCCCCTTCATATCGTCTTGGTGTTCCAGTTTTTTTCAGGTAGTGCCTTCTATACTCATGGGTGGCATACACTTTATCTTTTGTTTTATGGGGAAAAGGCCTCAAAGCATGTGGACCTCTTAAGGTAGTTTGGCTTAATACTAGCACTTCCACTGCTGTTTATTATAAAGTTTCCATTTAATAACAATCTCAGTACTACGCACTTACAAATGCGTATCTCACCCTCCTTATGTATATGCTGGCTACGATATGCTCCGTACTGATGGGGTTAGGAAACTATTCATCCATTAGCGGGTTTGGAGAAGCATATGGCTAACGTCGTCTATCAATTACCCTAATTTGAGACAAATAGTATTTCTTTGGTTATTATAACTGATTTTTCTTTCTCTTACATATTAGGTAGAGCTGTATTAGCGAATATCTGGTTCTGTCCTTGGGGTTACTGTCTGGAGTATTTGTATTGTCGCAAAGAGCCACAGGTATTGGAAAAAGGTCGCTTGTTTGAGGTGATGCTGACGTCGTTTTGCTTAGATGTTTTCCTTATATCAATATCTACCATTATCTCCGAGCAAATACAAAGGTTTATGTTAGCATGTTTCTCTTAAAGGAGGCCTTCAGTCAACGTCCTAGGTCATTTTCCCTTCCCTCATTTCATTATCAGATTGCCACATGTTTTTTTTAGCTATATAAAAGCGATAGTTATAGGAAGGACTTCTTCACTGTCCTAGGCGGTTGGTGTATGGACTTTTCTGTGTTCAAGTTTAGGAAAGATTTATAATCCGAGGCAGAGAAGTATCAATCTAAGTATTTGGTGGCCTTAATATCAATTCTTTTTAATGCAAAATAGAGAACAACTAATTCTTGTTACTCACAATGGATGTTTCTTCTTCTTCTTCAATCTCTTTTCCAGGTAGTGGGGCTGTATGTTGCAAGGGTGGCATCTTTCTACTTCTTATCTCAAGGTGGGCCCTGCAACATATTCCTCCATTCTATTCCTCTCTTAAAATCGAAACTGTTGTTTCTGTTCACTACTTGTACTAGGTTAGTTACTGGTGTTTTATTATTATTATTAGTATTTCTATCACTCCCATTCTTCCATATCTTTTTTTCCTCGTCTTTGTTTTGTGTGCGTCCTCTTTTGGACACAGGGGAACAAAGGATAATTTTATTTAAGCGTATTTAATGTGACTTAACCGGACATTACCATTTCAAGATAGCCTCGATGATGAGGTTCGACAGAAAACTGGTTGGGTATAAGAATGGGTACTTCCATCTTTGGCTGGAATACTTATCAGCACTGAGAAGGGTGATGCGCGTCGTGTTTACTCAAGGTGGATGAATTGCTGAGATTCGTCCATCTTCTTTATCTTGGTTCATATTCTTTTTGCTGCTAAGCATACCAAGTATAATTGCTCGTTTTATTTTTCCATTGATTAAAACAGTAAAAAATCATTGCTGCTGCCGGATTGTACCCTTCCTGTGCTTTCAGAATCAACTTAAAGGGAGACTTAAAGGCAATCACTATTGCTTCTTCTGCAAAACATGTGTCCTGTTCCCTTGGCCAGTGTGACATGATACATAAGTACGTTATATGACATGATAAGCAGTCCTAAGGCCCGAATTATGGATAGATTTTACATTTTTGGAGTGACTCTAGTTTGATTTTCTGGGCTTTGCCTTGTTTAATGTCTGATTTGTTCTTCTATTTGCCCCCCTACTCACTTTTTGCTTTCCACGTAGTCATTTTTTCCTGTTGGTTTTTTTGGAGCACTTAGGATCACCCCCCCTTTTCAATTACCAGCCGCTAAGTGTGCCATTTTCCACTTGGGCTTTTTTTAGCAGCACCATTCTTTGGGAGTAATCTTTGATATTCTATGTTTGATAGTATCGCGAAGAGAAAAAGGTTATATATCAAACTTTTCACTATGCAGTTTTGTCTACCCTTGGAAATTTTTGCTTAATAGTTTTTAGAATCATTATATATACTTCATTGATCATTATTTCTCGTCAAGTGTTTTGTAGAATTACACATGGTTTCTGTTCTCCAAGGGCATTTAATGGTAAGCTTGGAGGATCATACTCGTCATGGAGATTGTGTACAATAATGGAACTTTCGCGTCCAGGCTTCCTAAGTTGCGGCTTAATTTTGGGCTTTTGGGGTATGGTGTGTAGTATGTATTTTTTTGCCAATGTCCATGTTGTGATTTGAAGATTGTGATCAACGTTAGACTCATCCTATATTGTTCTCATGTCTTCCGTACAGATTTACTGAAACTAAAGATGTGTAATTATGCTTCTTATTGATGCCGATTATTATTTATTGATTAATCTTTTTTAATTGATTCTTTAATTTTTGCACATCTCATATATATTAATAATGATTTTATGTTCTATTTTTCATTATATTTTGCATACCCTTGTGTATAAATTTGAAATAACACCTTGTAGGGATATATTGGAGGCAAACTGCTTTTGGACTTGGTATAAAGATCTTTTCAAACTTCGATCTATCAAATGGATTGTATGGGGGACGAAATCAAATGTCTTCTTTCGCTTCCAACTTGCAGTATGTTACTTTTTTGACTAAAGTCGGTTGTATTTATGGTTTGTTAGTTATTTGTCCTGTCTATTTGCAAACAGTAGCACATGTTGTCAGATGGTAGTCCTTGAAGTAATAGGCATATCTAATATGTTCGTTTCCCATTATTGAGAATTTCAAGATTTTAGCATAGTTAGAAATCCTGATCAGTTGAGGGGTTTGAAACAAGGAGTTGACATAATAATAACGAAGACTACATCCCAACCCCAAAAAGACCAGAACATAACATGCGGTGTGACCTACTATTGCAATAACAACACACATGGTGCCCAATGTCTTAGTAAAATATTTCGCTTAGTAGTATTTACATTATAACAAACACCAGTAATTTTAGCGTAGCTAGGTAGTTTTGCATTCCTGGAGAGTTTTTCAAGTTGAATGGGGTTGGAAATTACCCTCCCTATTCAGTCCCCTTCCACCCAGTGTAAGCTACGCGCATATGATCTATCCCTCTGTCTTTTCTCAGCTGCCTTTTTTTCTTTTCCTTTGCTTGATTACTTCATCGTGCATCTGCAATTGTGTGTTAATGTACATCAGAGCACTTTCGTTGGCAGCAAGTTGCTGATAGACGTTGGTTCGTTAGAGTCGATGTTATAAACCCTTCCAGCAGGAAAGGGAAAAACACTCGTTTGCAACACATCCGTGCAAATTCTTGATTGTTGAACTGATATGATAACTCCTGCGAAATTTGTTGGCCCGTCGATCTCGTCTAGGCACCTTGGAGAGCATCCCATGTTGATCCTTGAATTCCATTATCAGTCGCGAAATGTGGCGTACAATTCTAACTGTTCATATTTACCAATCTGCTAAACAAATATCCGTGACTAACTTTTGAGGAGTTTAATGCCGGGTTTTTTATAGATGATCTTTCTCCTCTCTTACAATTGTTTTTTTCAAGGCAAATGTTGGACCATGTTTTAACTAGTCCTATAATTATGAATCATATAGACTCCAGAACCCAGTTATTTTTCCGAGGATTCTAGTGCTTCCTATATGTCTTTCCGTGGTTAATCCTAATATATAGTCGCAGCATATTTTTACAGGCTACGCTTTATTTTTTCTCGGTCACAATCCAGTCTTTTAATTTTGCACAAAGTTGAATGGGTTCGATGTTTCCTCCCCCGCATCCCAATATAAAAATATTGTGTTGTTTAAGGAAATTGTTTTCTTTAAGCACCAAAAAATAAAAATTGTGATTGGTCGCACTGGATCACAATTTTTGATTCAATTTATGGTATATTAAACAAAGAAAAAAATATTTGTAACAACCCGGTGGCTGTGCACATAAGTTTCCATCATGCACATGTTTTCTACGTGACCTTTACATTGCATCAAACACGTATAGGGAGCTATTCAGTCCAAAGATTGTGAAATCATTTCTTTAAAAGCACCACGACGCCAACATACTAAATTCTTTCAAGAAAGAAAAAAAATTGTCCAGCTCTCTCTTCAACCCCATACTACATCAAACCTACTCACATAGCCCGAATTAGTGAGGGTAGCAATTGTGGATCTAATGAGCATCACATCCCCTAGATATTAATCATCGGATTATATTCTCATCACGGGTAAAACTGTTACATTGATGAATTCATGTACATCTTGACGATACGTGTGGCAGCCCCATGTATGTGGTCAGAGTTCTGAGTTATAATGACCGGTATGGAATTACTCGCGTATAGTCTCTAGGTCAACGCTCATGACAAAACAACCATACCCCCATAACGACGACTTAATTCACCTCAAGCTCATACGTTGATTTGAAATACCAAGCCGTACATGCAGAAAACAATCGGGGCGGACAGAACAGTCTTTGGCCACCATATAGAGCGAAGTGCCAGCCCCACACATTGTGAATACTTCCTGCACACACACTCGGTGTAGAACATGGTCTGCAACTCGTGATTGTCTTTTCCACCATGTATCGGCATTTTCACTTATTTTTCGAAGAAAAAAGGAAAAAAACTATTCAATTAACGTGTTTTCAATTAGGACTCCTACTAATAGTAATTGACACTATGGCTAGAATAGTGATACTTGATTGATGCCCTCCAAGCATAATGTTGCACTACTATTGTTAATCCATATAGTTAACCGTGAACAAGATTCGAATCATACGACTATGCTAGCACACACAGAATAGTGTAGACTTTATTTATTTAGCCAAGGGTAACCAATAATAGTTGCACACTATTTGTTTATCCATATACTGTGACCACTTCGACACATTCACATAGGTTGTGGTTTAGCACCGACGGCAACCTCAGCCTGGTTTCAACAACCCAATACAAGTTGGAATATCTGTAATTATGGCTGATCGTGCTCACACACGAAGTGTGCTTCTCAGTTATCACGAAAAACTTGGTCACTTAGCAAACTTTAAGATTCTTTACAAACCAGCTTACTTTTAGCAAGAAAATCAGAGGCAACCATTATAAGTTTTCGTCCATAATATATCCGTATAGCGGCAAACAAATAGTAACTTTCAAAAGCCAGGGATCTGAAACCAAGTTCTTTCTCAAGGAAATGGGTTGCCTTCCCCGTACCTGTCCTGCCTAGGCATTCAACTCCAAAAGAGCATCTTTACTACCGGCGTTTATTTAGAACAGAAACCCGATTTAGAGTTTACATAGTAGAGCACAATCAACTGGTTTAAAATAGTATTTTGAAGGATCACTCCCATGGTTCAAATGTGAAATTGTAAAGCAAATGTATCGTGCAGGCATTATCTCACCTAGCAAAAAGATTACCTTTCCATAAAATGCATGCCAATTCCATATTCCACATGTGACGCATCCATGTAACAACTTAGAATCCATTTACTATCTTTCCAAACAAAATTTGCTGCATAATCTGACATACTATCAGGACAGCCAAAAGAAAAAGTCCTCTCCTATAAATTGTTCATTTCGGCCAACAACTTAAATGAATAAATTCCATTATTGTGAGACATGTCAGTTTTCATGATCTAAGATTATAAGAGGGCCAAAAAGAATTCACAAATAAAGTAAACACTTTGAAGGCACGCACACTTCTCCTGGAGCCCACAGGTGGAGATGATGCCATCTGACTAAACTAGAAAGCGGAGTGCAATGGATGATTAACCTTTTGTGTTTCCCTTTTCCTTCGTGTTGCTAGTTGTCTTCGCATCTGTTCACTTGCTGCCTTAGAGTGATTACCCTTGCTCTAATGCTTCCCCTGGCTTTCGCTGGTGGAAGGTTGATACGGTGTCAAAAATGCGTGAAAATGCTTTTATACTTCAACTCAACTCTCCGGTAACCTACAAATGCCACATTAATCAAAGGAGAGAATAATAAGCACCAATGACTAACAAGTTGGATTTAATCATAGCACACCTCAACAAACATTAGACTCTTTGAGAGTTTCCTCCCCTCCTCTCCGAAATGTTCTCCCATTGAAATAGAGACCATACCAAATATTGAATAATCAAAGAACTATAGAGCCTTAACGATCGTAGTTGGATAGTCTAAAAACCAAAACAAATAGCCAAACTTTTGACTCAAATAACTAAACAAACAGATTAAGCACACCTAATAAATAACTGTGAGAAATTAAAACCACATAAGGATTTCCAAAGACCTACAGAGAACAAAAGGAAATCGTAGGTGGTGAAATCATGGAAATTCCATCATCTATAGCCCTCTACCTCTCTAGATGGTCACACGTTGCTAACATTTTAGTTAGAATGGATTATTGAAAGTAAACTTAATACTAATCAAATCCACTCAATGGAATACAGGGACGACACTGAAAAGTAGACCGATCATCACAACCCTGCCTTCCCAGAATAAGAATCCACATTTCACAAATTTTGGCACTCATAGGTTTTTACAACCTCTTCCGCAAGCAATGGCAGCTTGGTGATGGTTAAAGTCATATACACATGTAGAACTGTCAAGGTACTTTTTTGGTTTGCATTCAAGTTCCGCATTCTTGCTTTGATAATAACTTTGATTCTGATCCTACAACACAGAAATTTACCGTGGATGGTTAAACCCTGCTCAGCAGAGCATTTACAACACAAAACACTGTAAAAGGCCACGATGGGACTAGGTAGGCATACCTTCTTCGCATAAATACTTGGTTAATGATCTATTGTGGTGTATCTATCTCCAATTTGGTGATTCCCCTGCCCAGTCTCTCTGTTTCATAGAGATAGAGGAACTCTTGAATGCAACGAGACAAGGTTTTCAAGTCCGGTCCAAAAGTGAGATATGAGTGCAATCCACAAATGCCTATAACTTGGTCGACATTCATTTGGTTTGCAAGCAAGATTGATACGTTTGGCAAGTCACCTTAAGATTTCGAAATGATACTAAATTATCGTCTCTTTCCAAACTGACTCTGGTAAAAGTACTCTAAAAGATGTATAATAAAGAAAGGAACACATTTTAGCTTCTCCCTAAATAAGTGGAAAAAATATTTTCCTTCTTTTAGAACCAAAAACCACAAAGGAAATACTTTATTCTCTCTTCTTTAATTATTACTATGTTGCCCGAGCTTTAAATAAACCAAAAAAAAAATTTAAAACCCTGATCAAAACCTATTTGTGTTAACGTACAAATAGTCCCATTCCTCACCAACCTCAACATAAGTCAACAGAAAAAAGCAATGAAATGGGAAGACTTACTGGGTTCTGAATTGCCTGTTCACTTGTCAATCACATCTTCTGCCCTCGAGCTTTCCCCCCAAATTGCAATCCTCTCCAAATTCATCAATCACAAGCCAAGAGCGGGTCATCTGCCCCGATTCAATTTTTCACACACATTGATACACCAATCACATAGAAACAGTTGTAAACTGAACAATTATAAGCTCCTAACAAGAACTCGACAAGAAAGTCTGAGACAAAAAGTACGATATCCAACGCGTGTCTTAACTCATAAATGTTTGCTGCAAAGGAAGATACCACAAAAGGTTCAACGATAAATACCTGACTCTTAAAACCGCAATTTATTTTCAAAGACAGGCCCTTTTGCCAGCCACTTTTCTCAAGGTTGCTGGAACCCTGCAACAGCGAAGTGTTGGCCAGTTGGTGCAGTGCAAAGATACTAACCGAATCATAATCCATGGTTTGGAACCAATCTCGCCCCAGGCAGCTCAATTGACCAGCACGCTGATTCGGACCGAGTTTCGGTAAAAATATAAAACATAAGTAGCATACACAATGGAAACTCTACCCCAGATGTAAAGACAAGTGTGAATTCAAAGAAACAAACATAAAGGATATGAATCTTACTTGAGCATCCTGCAAAGCTCATGGCCTTCATCAATTCTGGAATGGCATTTGCTAGCTCAGAAAAACAAATTGTCCATTCCATCTGTACCCACTCTTCATGTCAACAGTAGGATCCACTTCCTACGGAGGATCATAACCAAATAATGAGACTGAAAATAATGAATACACACACACAACACACACATGAAAGCATATCGAGATTTTTAATAATAATACAAATATAAACCATGGATAAAGGAGGAAAAGATTCAGCAAGGCAATGACGACTGGGCCTACTTTCGAAAACAAATCAAATTCAAAAACAAATTGTTCCAGAACTGAAAGAAAACAACGACGAACCTATGAACTGTTTTGCCCACACGTCATCAAACAGAACCAATTCTAAAATATCCATCTAACCATCAACCAATAATAATCCCAACACCTGGTAATTTCCCACAATTCATCAAAACCCAAAATTCAACAAAAAAAAATCACCGAAAACAACAACAATTAACAGTACAATAATAGAGAAGAGACAAAATTGTGATCAAAAAGCGTACCAATAGCATACAGATTGGTGACCCATTAACCAAAGTTGGAGTCTTGGTGAACTTCTGTTGAAAAAGCATCGCTGAGATGTGAGCAGGTCGGTTGAGATGATCAAAACATAGGATCTGACCCTGGAGAGAAGGATCGAGAGAATTGAGCTACAGGTCGTTTTGCCTACACCACCTTCCCACCACAAAACCCACTTGAGCTGTCTTGTTTCCAGTACGTTCTGAAGAGTTCCCCGCCGGAAAATCAGCTGCCGCCATTTATTCACAGAGCAGTTTACTCTCTCTCTATCTTTGATAAAGACTAACAGTTGGAACCCAGAAATCTCAGAGAGAGAAAAGACCAGTTTCGACAGTGAAAGAGTCGAACTCAAGGACGTACTACCGTCTAATTTTGGGTCGGGTTTTGACCCCCTTTCCTCTTAAAAACCTTGTGTTTGCTGACAAGGCACACAAACACTCATAAACCTCAGTAAAATAAAGAGAAAAAAAAAAAAAAAAAAAAAATTTTTTTTTCTGGTGGTAAATAAGAGTGGTGTGTGTTAATATATGAATTATTTGGAGTGAATTGTGAACACTGACTTATTTCTCTTTAGAATTTTTTTCTTAAGACTAACCATCGTATTTAGGTAAAAAAATTATTTGATTATAGTATCCAGTTATGCTGGAACTTTGAATATTACGTTGTGTTTTTTGTTTGAACTTCAGCTACGTGCGTAGAACACTATTCGTCATGTGATGTGAATGCAACTTATTATAGACGTTACACACTGGAACAATTGACATATAACACTGCTGACTGCGTTCATGGCCTTAATGTCCGGTATAAACATTATAACCACTAGGTTTGGCCGAACCCTAATCCTTAGGATAGCGGTTAAGACTCGTTATACATTTTTGACGGAAGAAAAACGCTCTCATGGTTCAGGTCCAAAATTCTCACAAAAATATATCTGCATTCTTGCTATGACATCAAATTGGTAACGTTGTATTTTGTTGATGTTCTAATCAATTTGTGTTTTAACACTTCCCCATCGAAATTCTGTAATGGCCTTGGTAATGCCAAATGAAACCCGGAAAATTTTAGGCTATCTAAAGTTGCCTGTGTACTACATTGCAAAAGGCTCAAGTTATCATTTTTCATTGAATGACTGGAAAACCAGCAAGGAAAAAAGATGTTGGATTATTTATATTGAGCAGTCTGTTTATTGGCAACACTCTAAAAAAGAGAAGGAATGAAAATCAGTAGAGAGAGAGGTTGTAGGGGAAGCAGGGTGGCAAAAGGATGGACGCAGATGAACAATGGCAGGAATAGGGTGGTATTCAAGAGCGCTCTCACCCAAAACCCAGCTAGTGTAATTGTTCCATCTGCAATTACTCGAGCTAGGGTCCTGCTTCGGTTGAAAAGCAGTCCGCCATTGTAGTCCCCGAGAAAGCCTCGATGACATGACTCGAGATAGGAGTGATAAGTTTACACCTGGATCAGTACAGAAACTGTCATCTTTTCATGTTGGGTAAGCAAATCAAAAAAGTTGAGCACAAAATTTGATATATGTAACTTAAAATACGGAGAAAAAAAATGTGGCTTTCAGGAGCTAAACTTTCAAATGCTTAAAAAGATATACAAGAAGTTAATTGTCCTCCCACAATATATATTGAATTACCTTCAAGGACTTCAGCTGACACGAATGTTATAAGGGCTGAGCGACATACTGAGGCACAGAGTAAGGGATCAATAAGTGGAAGCTTAGTAGTATACCTATGCATACCAGAATTTCAGATGCCAGTAGAACTTGCCTGCAATAGGTCAGCAAAGAGAAGAAATATGCATCAGCTGGTGAGTTAATAGATAGCGATAATATAGTGAATTTCATACTTGAAAGGTCCACCTTTCTTCAAACATGTTGCTGATGTAGCTTCCAACAACACGTTGACTGGAAGCACCGTTAGCCCGAGACATGCAAGAAAGATTGCCACACTGCTAGTCGACCAAATAAAGTAATATCCAGTGATGACGCTGGATTTCAGCAAGTACAATCTCCATGCATATTTCAGCATAAAATAGATATACAGTTGAACTGTGAGAATTAGCAAGATTCAAGTAAGATGTCATGAAGATGCAGGAAAAAGTTCGAATGAGATGAAAGATCTAAAACACAGTAATAGATGGTCCTAACTAAAGCAAAGCAGAGCTGGAGAGGAAAAAAAAAAAAAAAGGGGGGGAATGGATGAGCGCAGCTAAGAAAATCGGAGTGAAATGTGCTGAGATGATGTAAGAGTGTACAGTTACACCATCATAGTGCTATATTCTATTCATAAAACCTAAACAGATTGCTTCCAAATATACAAAATACCTTAACCATGTGAACCTACATAGTACATATAATTTTCAGATTTTATTTTTTGGGTAACGATATAATTTTCTAATTTCAGCGATGTCGATGATATAATGGGTTCTCTTAATGAATTATCTTAATTTTATTCCCATGGTTTTAGAGAACCGATATGCAATCTAGTGCCACCCACAACACCCAGTCATCTAAAGTGTATTTATCCCTTGATGGATGAAGACTTCAACTACAAGTAAGAGACTGCTGTGCTCAAAGTGTTGGTGTGTAAATTTCAAAAGGTGGATCTGATAGAGACTTTTTGATTTTGTATAAAAATATTAGATTCTTACGAAATAATCTATACCTTCACTGAGGGGTTAGTATCTATATGCTGACACAATTGAATTGACTGGTTTTTGGATTTCCACAGGATCTTCTTCAGCCATCATCACAATCAGTGTCTCCATCTCCATCTTTTGCTTAGCTTTGGAGTTTGACAGCAATGGTTGTGTAGGACCATTCTCCACAGAAATATTTACAATTTTCCCTGTTTCAAACAAAACTCCACATGAATAATGAAGAAATTGTGTGCCATAAGAGGTGACAAGATGGAACATTAGTGTGAAAGGACTAAGAAAAGAACTAAGAAATCTTGTTTACAAACCAGAATTAGATTCCCGTGGCACAATATTTTCTGTTGTCACACGAGAAGGCTCTTTAAAAGAAATCGACAACCACAGCAAATAGATTAGCCATGCGAGAGCCATTAATCCAACCAGGTAATGTGTCTTCGTTGAATGTCAATTTGTAAATCTTGAAATATGTTTGGAGTAGACTAGCAAGAGCAGGCCACATGCCATTTCCAAGTGCACGGCACTGACAAAACCAGCAGAAGCCTGCTTCGCAATTTAAGGGGTACGCAGTCACTGATATAACGCTATTAAACTGCTCTTGCAGAACCTAAACCTGCAAATTTGACAAGATGAATGTCATATTAATAGGTAAACGAACATACTAAATCCAAAGATAGGAATATTAAACTTTGTACTAATGCGGAACTGCACCACAAGATATATTATAAGGACAAGCACCAATACACACTCACACAATTGAAAACAAGTATATGCAGATTTGGGAGTAAAGCAAAACTATGTTTTCAATAGATCGGGGATGTGAAACCAAGAAGCATCACTTTTAGAACACAAAAAAGGTGAAATTTTACAGGACCTATATTAAAATAGTGGTCTTCTAGAGTTTTGAAATCTGGTGTTGCATTGCCACTGTCATAGTGGCACATATCTTAAACAGTCTACTTGTACAATATTTGAAACTTCTACAATTCATGATGACAATTGTCATGCATGTCAAACCTAATAGTAGAACCCGACCCAAAAAAAAAGACCCTAATAGTAGAGATTCCAATTCTTTATTTTCAAGAAAACAGGGCATTTCATTGTAGTTGCAATTTCTAAAAAGCTGCCTCAATCTCCATCAGGCTACCTTTCTCAAACTGTGCTATATGCTATTAATATTCAGAATGGAATTTGACAACAATCAGTATTTACGCCATCGCCATTAAATTAAAAAGGATAACAAAAGGTCAAGTTAAGAAATCCTGAAAAGCACAAGGAAAATGAACAAATATACCCTAACCATTACAATATAGGACTATTCACTACTTCTAAGTTCTGACATGAAACAGAGACTCTGCATCAAATATTCTATAATATCAATCAGTATTAAGTTTGGCAGCAAAAGTAATCAGTAATTATACAACCAAATGTAAGTCTCACAATAAAAGAGTCACTTACCCGCAGAATAGTCGACCATCAGAAGTATGATATTGAATAAGATCATAAGCCAATGCAACAAAGTATTTCCCACAAGAAGATGATGCGCTAAATACCAGTGGTCTCATGGATGATCTATTTGACCATGCACTGAAATAAACTGAAGAGAACCCTGGCACCGCCATTGATCCAATCACAACACCGCAGACGGGTGCTGCAGCTCAAGGGTCATGGAGTAATTGTCAGCTGTTGGGACAATTATATATGTATTAACCATATACAGAAATGTGTTTGCCAAGTTCAAGAGGATGTGACATGAATGATCTTCCGTCATCAGCATGATCCCCAGATGGGCTTTGTAAATCATCCCCCATAAGAGTGCATGTTTTCCCAAATAATGAAGGAAACTTGTTGAGTTGATACCTGTTTACTGCTGCCCTGATAGAAATCAAGGACGGGATCCTGTAAAATCAGATTCATTAGATATTTAGATATCAGTTGTAATGTACAAAAGTGAATCAGCTAAAAATTGCCTGCAACTATTATGTGGAATACTAAACAAGATGAACAACTTGAGTCACAAAATTTTCAATGTTTAAACTCAACAACATAGATAAGTACATGGTGAGAGAGAGAGAGAGAGAGAGAGAGAGAGTTGAAGTATCAATTTTTGAATCCTTAAATTCAACTCAGCTTGATAGAGGCGGATATGTGTGAGGGTAAATAAATCTTCTAAGCTAACGCCTCTAAATTAAAGTGCTTTTTCATACCAATGCACTGCTCACACAGACACATTATTAAAATGTAGTTGCAGAAGATCATAAAAAATCGTATTCTATTCTAAAAGCGGGATTGACATTATGAATGAATCTATCAGAATATATTTTCCCCAATATTCATTTCTAAAAAACTATTAACATATTGCAAAGGCAGCCATTATCAAATGTTATGCCTTGCGAATTTCAAGCAAATAAAATTCAACTGCTAGCACAAACATTATGAAATTCAATCAGATGGATTAGAGGAGAGTGTTGATGTTGTATATAATACTTCAATGGATATTAGAGTAACCGGGTGGGAAAAGCAGCTGATCATAATTGTATGTAGTTTCCCACAATGTTGTTGAAAATCTTGAAGGTCCGCCAGTTCGAGATATGGGCTCCAACAACGGCACCACACACCCTGCCTATTAGCTTTTAGCTGATGGCTGCTTGATTCAATTATAAGTGGTAGAAGCTACTTTTTGTACTGCTATTATATTGTGCCAAAAAAAATCGTATGTGCGGCTAGAGGGAGAAGAAAAAGAATGAGAACAAGTTTAGCCCCTTACCTTGCTTGCAAACTTGCGTACTGGGAATCCGGATGATGATTTTGCACGCTTTTTGCGTAAGTAGTCAGTACATCTATAACCAACCGCTTGTCAATTCTTCAATATCTTAAGTCGCAGCCGTAGCATTCATCTCAACAAAAAGAGAGGATTCTTAACAAGACATCTCGTCCAACCATCTATATGCTTCTTTGTATTTCCGGTATTTTTTTTGCGCCATCTACTGCTGTACGACGCATCATTACTGTCTCCCAGAGTCAATAACTTTGCTTGTCATAGAACTCCTTAGTTGTTTGCGCAGAACCATGACTCATCTTTTTCACTCGGAAAAGTCAAGCAACATAACAGAAAAATAAAACATTATGATGTGCAAAACACCAAAAGTCTCCATGAATGTACAGTAATTGCTACGGCAAAATCTGGTGCTTCCGACCTCAATGAATACAACACTATTAATGGCGATCCCACCAAAAAAACCAAGGAAAAGGAAGCTTGGGACGTGTATACATGTTTTTTGGACCATCTTGAAACAGATATGAGAATAACAACTACATGCATAAAAACTCTTCACATCATACCATCCATACATGCCCTTTTCAGTTATTAAATGAGATCGTTTTTATCTTGACCGTCCCTCCTGTAGTACATTTAAGGCAGAAGCCTAAAAACTGCATGAACTCAGTTTCTAAAACATCACAAATTGAGATGCGGACATATGAGACGCCTAAAAAATGAAATTTCAAAATCCCCCGGTGATTTATCCGTCTGCACATGATAGGAGTGTCAAATAACAGAACAACTGAGGCATTCAACTGCGTGATTGAGATAAATCAAATCAAATTTCGTCGAAACTGCGGAACGGGACGCCTCTGGTCTCACCTCACTCACACGAAAACACATACAAAATAGGCAGGGGAGTATTGAGAAGTCCTTAAGAACAGTGGCGATTTTGTGTCCAACTTCAATTTGTTGTGTATATCGTATGAGCTTCTTCTTCATTACACTTGTGTCAAGAGAGTATCTAGAACAGAAACACAATAACAGTGCATAGTGGGGAGGGAGTGTGGGTCACGCACCAAAAGACGAGTGCCGCAAACCATACACATCCTTTTGAAGAGCTTATCAAGCCAAAACACAAAACGTAACTCACGACAACATCGCACGACCCGATTGGGCCGTTCGCGCTGTGTGCGACACTTGTGTGGTTGGGTTCGGGCGGTGGGTGTGGGGTGGGATTGCCCTTAACTTCTTCCCGAGGCACCCAGCTTTTCAAGTGCGGAAAGCTACTGGAAGAAGAGTACGGCAACACAAGTGTCGGCACACTTATGATCACGTGGACCAAGCAGCATAGCAAATTGAGGTCAAATCAGGACAAGTACATGTGTAAGTGCGGGTTTATCACCGTGCGGCTCTTACTGTTAGTTATCGTTCGTTGAACTACACACGTAAAGAAAAGATCTCATATAATAGAATTTGTCCAAGGTGGATTTGGGAACTCAATAGTGCGGTCAACCTGAGGAAACTGAGTTAAAGATTGGAGACAATTTCACACTCTGACGTCAAAATGGAAGAAAAGGGGGAGAAAGCAGTGACTCAAAACGACCAAATAGTCTATAAACGCGAAGGTCAACACCAAATTAAAATCTGTGTTTGCCCCTTTTCTGAGCACTTGCACTTTCCTTCTGGGACACCTTTCAAAAGATGTTCCGAAATTACTCTGAAGTTCAGGTAAATTGTGTGATTTCTTGAAAGAACAATCAATTTTCGCAACAAAGGGTTTAAATTTCACCAATACAATAATAAAAGAACAAACACAGACACATACCTCCAAAAAAAAATCCCCGTTAACCTAACCCAACACATGGCTATTCTACACCCGACACAGAGGACCGGCCTAAATAAACACGAGGCCGAATTTCATGAGAGAGCGATAAAGAGAGAGAGCGGGTAAGGCCGAAAAGAGGGGTTGCGGGGGCCAACTGATGAAACCGTATGGTTCATGCGTCTACGCGGAGAGGGTAGGGGGTGGCCGTGGAGGTGTTGTCATGGCGGTGGGGGGGACAACCGTGTTGATGACACGGTGGGGCTGTTATTTCGCTGTTTTTTGGAAAGGACGTGTTTGTAGATCGGTTATGGGACACCACTAACCTTGGGTGTGGGGGGACGGGGGCGTACACAGGAAAACCCTTCATCGAAGAGGTGTAAAGTTTATGTGGCCAGTGGGAAGTCCACCTAGACAACGTCTGGTACGGTGAGCGCTCGGTCCGGGTCGGAAACGAGCCTCTGTAATACATCTGCTTGTCGAGGAGCGAATTAGAATGAACTAGGGGGGGCGGAGTGTGGGGAGGGAAAAACAAAAGAAAATCTCTACATATTCTAACGAAAGAAACGTCGAGTGCAAAGCTGTCAGAAAGAGCGCTGGCCGCTCTCAGCTGTTGACAAAATGTGAAAATATCACATCCATCGACGGCCTCCCGGAGGGACGGAGGAGGCATCGGCCAATGAGACCCCTCCACACAAAGGGAAGACGCGGGAAATGGTTTGTTTGGTGTTGGGGATTCCAGGAAGGTACATGTAGCGCGAGAACCGGGGATATTTTATTTTGCGCCAATATATGTCAACCGAAAACAAAGTTGCACCAAAATTGACGTGGTAGACCGTAAAAGCCCGTCATAATGGTGATGAAAATGATCGTTGATCAAGTAAAATTGGGTTTTGATTTGAATAGGAGTATAGCTGTTGTCTTAGTTGGGAGTGTGGTGCGTTTGGCATTAAACAGCATCGCCGCCACGCATCGGGTGGGTATGGTACTTTGAGAGTTGCTTCGCTACAACTACTCTGGGTTTGATTGTGCGGTTCATAGCTGTCTGGAATATTGTTCATGCACGATAGACACCAGATACAATGGATAGTGGTGTTATATGGATCTTTGTGCACATATCAGTGAACTCGGAATTCAAAATGAGACATTGCGCGCAGCTCATGACGAAAGGACTTCAATAGCTTATAATTAAAGAAAGAACAGAGTTGGTAGATAAGACACTTAAGAGGGAAGTTCATAGAGGCTACAACGAGATAAGGAACTATTTTACCTGCTTCCCCCCCGATTAAAGAGCTAGTGATTTTGGGATTTACTTATTGAAAGTGATGTCAGTTCGTTTTGGTGATATCTGCTGCGCACCTTACAATGTATGTGTAACGGGAATGGATGAAGTTTGTCCTTGTTTGGGTAATCTTACCCAAGATAATGTATAGCTATAATATCACGTTTTTTCTCGTATGGCGCTATTGGAGGTAGCTAGATTTCTTACTCAAAAGCTTGTGTTGTATAACTCTGACTCTTTTGAAGCGTGAGAAAAATTTGAAATGGGCGAAAGCGGGAGGAAAACTGAAACACAAGCGTCTATTTAGAAATTTATGGATGTCCAAGATATGAACGCAATATGTACGTAATATATGCCGGGAAAATTAATCCCTTGAAAGCTGTATGCAACTATATATCTCCTCACATGTGATTTATAAATTTATTTTCCGCTAGGGCATAAACTAAGAATGCAAATCAGTAATACCATAACAAGGTAATTAAAGTTACTAAGAACGGAATTCCTTATTTGGCAGTGATATTTTGAGGGGAAAACATCCAAGAAACAAAACCCACCGCACTAACGTTTAAAATTAATCTCTGGCCTAGGCTGTAGTAAAATGGAGACCCAAACAAAAGAAAAAAAACAAAGGAGAAGAAGAAGAAGGAAGAACACCCTGAGAAAGATGAGCCATCTGATTGTTGGACTACTTGTATAAAGATAACAAGACGTGACAAAACGAATCTAGTTTTAGAGCTATAGCCAGCTATTAAAAGCATGCGATCGAAACCAGAGTGCACTTACTGTCGTTTCAAGACCGTCCGCTATGAAACCTGTTGCCCTACTTTCACTGCAAAGCTATATGTGGTGGTAGAGTGACCACAAATCCCGTGGGGGAGCGAGAGAGAGGGAAAAACAGGAGAGAGAGAGCAGTTTATTACCTTGAGGGTTTGAAGTAATATGATTTCATGGAACAAAACAAGACCTCGCCCCAAACTAAACCAACGTTTCTGTACCCTTAATGAGAATCGCGTAATTAAACTGATTAACTAGTTTTTATTTTTGATTGATCTTAGATTTTTAGAAAAACATTAACTCAGAAATGGATGAGTCCTGTTTGTCCTAAGCATGCAAACCTGTATTTTGTCTCAGAAGTTCATCAACCAGAATCGTAGGTTTTCAAGTGAGAGGTCTCAAAGTCTCGTGGATCCTTGCCCGTGTCGATAGTTCAGTACAAAGGTCGTGCGTGTTGTGGTAAATCTAAATTTAACTTTCTTTTGTTTTTGTTCAATAATATAAATAATAAGTCGTGGTTAAACCTCGGAGGAAAAAAACAAAAACCCCATCACTGTGGACCTAAGTTTCAGGCGTGTTGGATGAAGCTTTAAACCTGGCTCATAATTTAGGCTTTGTTTGCCCGAAAATTTTATTTGCCATATTGTGGCTATTATATGAAGATAGTAGACCTTGTGCCTAACTTAATTTGACATTCATTGAGAGTGGTGTCTAAAGGGTACCAACCTCCCCAAAATGGGTGGTTTTTTTTGCTTCATAATACTGCACTTTAAAGCAGAGTGTTAAAACGTTATGCCCTGGAGGCATCAGACCACATATGATTGCTCTCCAGACACGTGCACCGTAAAAACCACTTGAGATTATGGCGTCGAGAATGGTGCTCATACAGAAAAAAGGGGTTGCCTTCTTTGCCTAGTCAAATCCTCCAACGAAACGTTAGTGCAGTATTACACTCCACATAGCCAATAAAACAAGGCGGGGTCCGCATATACCGCCTGGACAAAATTAGCACTTGTTAAAGTTCAAACGTGGGTTTCAAGTTGCTCATCCACAATACGAGGTACGAGAAACCGATAGAAGGGAGGGAACGAAAAAATTAGTATAACACATAAATGCTATAGGTGGGGTTCTGCAACTCGTGAATCATACTCTAGAGTGAAAGGCACCTCCAGAAGGGGGGTATGTAAAAAAACCAAAAACAAAAAGTTAACAAACCAAGAAATTCCACATATGTTGGTCGTGTATTGCGTTGCATCCATTAATACCTAGAACTATATACCGACACTGGGAAAGAAACTAGTGTTCCAGTTGATAGTGCATGTGACGATAGCGGGAGGCACCGAAATCTGTTTGTGTAGGACATACGGGCGGCGAGGGGCACTCGTCCCCGACCACCCGACTAGTCTTGAGGCGTAGGGTACAGCGAATCAGTGTGAAAAAAAAGCAAATTAATAAGGGTCACAGGTGGTCGTGAGGTCCGTGTGACAAAGCGCTCGTGTACGTCGAGCATTTCCAACCTACTGTGGAGTAGCATACGAAGCAGCAACACAAGAAGACGGGTTAGAACAAGCTATCCGGTAAACACATCTCCACATACTTACCTCTACGAAATGGTGGGTTACACAATCGGAGGGGTATAAAAGTGGACGGGGGAACATTGATTAGAGTAGAACAGCACTCGGGACCAAAGATAGGACAGCGTGAGGTTTCAACAGGGAATGCGCTTTGGCTTAAGGGGAGTATTGCCTTGGTCTACGGGTCAATGTGTACTTAATTTCGAATGGAAGCGGAGCAACGGTTACAACATGTAGCCAGGCACGAGAATGGGGGGCCAATAGGCGGGTTGGTGTCAAGGGTGTGTAAGACCACAATGGCCAAAGGCAGCCAGATCCCAAGTTTAACGTGTGAACGTTTGGGTGGTGTGGTGAACATCTCGCGCTCACAGTGAGCAGGTATCCACGAGGGAATAAATAGTCAAGAAAACGAGGCGTCGCCCGGAGAGGAAACATTTAACGAGCTAGGACAAGCACAGCTAGAACATCCACCGTCTACGCTTCTGACGCAGCGTTGAAAATTCGTCTGAGGAGGGACTCGTGGGTAGATGTTAATTTATAGCCGTTAATGCGAAGTGGTGGCATGTGGACATATCTTTGGAGAGCGGCTCTATAGAGGAAGCGAAAGAATCCAGAAAAAAAGGGGTCGGGGGAAGGGGGAAAGGAAAAGGGGAGACTCAAATACCACACGTCAATTTAACATTTGCTGGCGATGTGGCAATTTGACACTTAACACAACTTTACAACTCCACCCTATATGCCAAATTAATTATTATATTTTACATTTTCGTGTTGGATTCATGTTTAATTAAAGAAATAAAAGAAAACATCAAAAATCTCGTTGACATCTGCCTTTTTTGGGATTCAAAAATGACCTTTCCAACCTCCCACTGAATGGGTCATCCACAAATCAGCCTTGTACACATGGTTGGCGTGATGGTGGTAATGTTTTCTTTTATTGTAGCGGTTAATGTCCTATTGACATGTGTTTAACTAAGGGTTGGAAATGGACCTGAGACATACGAGAAAGAAAGTAAACGCCCAGGACCAATTGACCTATTTTATTTTCTGTCCTAGTAAGTTAATGGGCCGTGGAAGATGGATCCGAACAAAAAGATTGTTGCATATAACCCAGACAATGAACAGGTTTCCTTTCCCCAATATAATATATTAGAATATATATTATGTGGCCACAGCACTACATCACCAAACAGCGTGTAAAATTTTTCTGGTTTGTTAACTTTTTGTGTTTTTTGGTTTATTAAATCTTATGAGGTGCCCACACCTTTGAATTATTATATTTAAACATTTTTTTTTCCCATCTCTGTAGGTGTAACTTGTTTTTTGGATTGAGAATTTGAACACGAACTTTCACAAGTTGGCCCTAATAATTTGTTTTTCCCTGGGATAATGATTAGTTGTATTTATTTTTTTTATTGGGTTTGAGGTGTAATCCCTGCCATCAAGTTTCCGTTTGAGAGTATTTCCTGAAAATATGCAAAGAAACGCTTTTTTAAAATAGGGAACCACCGTGTGTCTTCCAAATAATCACTTCCTCAGTGGTTTTTTTAAGTTGATTTTAATGGGAAAAGAACCATGATAGTGGTTATTTTCTGCCCCGAGACTAAATACAAGTCGCTTAAAGTGATTATATGAAGAAAAAAAACATGGGAGGTGCGGTTATTTAGAATTCACCTCCATGCGCTCTATATTTAGTTGTATTTTCGCTCACAAGGTATATCGTCAATAATCGCCAATAATGCCACAACTTTTTTGGCCATAACACAACCCCCCCCTTAAATTTATTAGATGCCAGTTTTAAGTCCTTGTCCATCCCAAGCCTAAAACTTAGGTTCCCACAAGATTTTTTTTTTTTTGTGTTCTCCATGTTTAAATTTATATTTAATTCATTTGAACCCAACACACAAGAATGTTGAATTTTAATTAGTTTACCACACCTCATTTTTATCCACGACCGTGGGGTGGCTAAAAGGATTCACCGAGACTTTGAGAACCATCCTTCACCTGAAAACTACGATTTCGTGGGTTATGAGACTTATGAAAGCCACAATAAAGGTTTGGCATTGCTTTATGACCCCCCACATGAATTTCCCCCCCCTTTCTGAGTTTTATTAATTTTTTTTTTCTAACAAATAGACATATCCACTAAATTAAACAACTAGTTAATCCAGGTTTGACAAATTACAGATTTCTTTCAATTCAATGGTTAACAGTAAAAGTTTGCGTTTTTAGTTTTTTTGTTTTTGGTGGCAGGATCCCTTGGTGTTCCCTGTAAATTCATAAATTCTAATTACACCCCAAGGAAAAACTCTCTCTCTCTCTCTCTCTCTCTCTCTCTCCTCCCTGATTGTGTTCTTCTTTAAATACTCTGCTTTGTCATTGGCAAGTATGGCAACAGGTTCTCAGCGGACCCGAGTTGGGGAGGGGGTCTTTTGAAACGTGAGCTGTAATGGTGCAACTCTTTTTTCGTTCCTGCATGCTTTAAAATCTTGCTCATATAGCTTCCTAAAAGCTAGCTTCGAGATTTTCAGTTTTGATTATCTCTCTATTAAACATTAACAAATCAAGATGGCTTCATCGTCTTCTCAGAAATGTTTTCCCTTCTTCTACTTCTGTCGTTCGCCTTCTGTTTTTTTTGGGTTCTTTTTGTGTTTGGCTCCTTTATTACCTACAGCCTAGGCCCAGCCACCTTCATTTCGTGGGGAGGTCCCTTTCTTTCTTATTGAGTTGAGTTTTTTGTTTCTTGGAGTTTTCCCCGCATAATTCAATGCCCTAATTAAATTCCGTCCTTAGTACTTTTGAATACCTTGTCTGTAATTACTTGATTTTTCATTCTGTATCTTTTGTCCCCTAGCGGAAATAAAGAATCACATGTGAGTGAGCCTAGATATTTTTGCAGAGTGCGACACATTGTCAAGTGGATATTTCCCGGCATATATTATGTACATATTTCTCATCCATTTGGAATCCAAAATTCTAATAGAGTCATGGGTTGTTAATCAGGTTTTTCCACTCCACGGCTCTTCGCCCATTTCTCAAATTTGTCTCCACGGCTTCAACGAGCCCACATTTGATCTCAAAACAAGCTATTGATGTAAGAAATATAGCTACAACTAGCGTCCATTCAAGAAACAAACTGTGTATCCTACTACTCTGACGTAAATTATCTTTGGGTTTTATTAGATTTTTACCCAACCAGTAAAACTTCATCCATTTCCGTTACAACAGTACCCATCTTTGTAAGCGTTGGGCATTCTATAATATCACCAAACGAACTGAATCCCTTCCACTACTTAAATCCAATCCTCCAATATGCCTGAATCGACGTGGGTGAGCCGTGCTAAACTAGGTGTTACTTTCTTGTTTGTAGGCCCTCTTATTGATCGTCACTCTTTAAGGGGGTCTTCTCATGCACCAACCTGCTTTCCTTTCCTTATTATAAGCATGAATTCCTTTTCGTTCAATGCTGTGCGGCGGTGGGGGGCAATATCTCACTTGCAATTTACGAGTGACTGTTCTATGGCCACATTACATATCACCACCACCTATATACTCACATTATTCGCTTACTCCGTGCATTAGACACCACATACAGTATACTATGGATGACCGGCCAATTCAACTTCAGTAGTGTTGTCATGTCTTGTAGGCGACACTCTCTCAATGTACCTTCCCTTACCCAAAAGACGATTTGCGTTGCGTTGAGACTGCATGCTATAGATGCCAACCTCACAACTACAATACTAGAACAAACAACAATCTCACCTTATCAAAATCAAAATCCTAGTTTACTTATCCAATTGATATTTTAATAATTTAAAAATATTTTGACGGGTGACGGTGTATAAAAACCAAGTCCTTCATTTTTGTTGCATTACTTTTTGGTTTTTTTTATTTTGTTTGCCAAAGGGCGAAAAAATGCGTGTTGCGAGGTCATATATATGTATTTCCTACCCTGCGCTGGAAGTTACGGCCACAAAACCATTTTCGCGCGACAATTGAGTGAACTGATTAAGTCATGACAGACTCTCCTCTCACCTCTCCTTGAGTTGAAGAGCCAATACACTGAGAGCGACAGAGCTCTTTTATTTCCTTTTTTCTTCATTTGTTTTGTTCGCATTGTTTTCTTATTTGCTTTTTTTTTTATTAATTAAGAAAAATAAATTAGGAATCCGTTTCCTGGAAGCTGACAAATGTTTTGTTGCTGATTCCAGGATATTCCCACATCCGATATTTTTCGTTGCATAACAACCGTTCATTCAAAAACAAAACTCATTTCAGCTTGTTTCCACCGAACATCCTCCCGAGTAGAAGATACGGTCCTAGGACGGATTTCCACGTTTGGATTTGGTAATTCTCTCTTTTCTATAAGCTCTTATAAAATTCTGGTTTTTATTTATTTTAGCTCTGCTTAGTTAGGTGTAGAATTACATTTGTTAACTGGATGGGGAATTCATGTTTTTTTGTGTTTGTTTATCTTTTATTTATTTATTTAAATTTAAAACCCTTTTGTTGGAAAATGGTTTCTTCTCAAAGAATCAAGAATTATTAAAATATACAGAACTTCAGAGTTAAAAATTTCTGCATTTGGAGTTTTCCCAGAGGCAAGTGAATTGAAAATGGCCACTCAAAGATTTTATTTGGTTGTCTGATTGCAGTGGTTCTCCCATTTATATTTCCATTTGACTGGTCATTAGTAAATAAATTTTCGCCAATCTTTCCCTCAGTTTTTCATCAGTCGATATTGAGTTGAACCAAAACTAAATGAAAAATTTTAATTATATGAGATCTTTTCTTTAATTTTGTAGTCCAACGAGCATATACTTCACATTTTCAGAGGAGGTACAACTTACCCATGTACTTGTTTGATTTCCAATTTGCTGCTTTCGTCAAACTCTGATAAAAAATGCTAGTGCAGAAACTTATGGTTGGCCGAAGCTCTCGTGCACGAGTAGCATGATCTGAACACATGATGGGGTTGGCTTGCCTCTCGGTGAATAAGGTCTAATCGGACATCACCGTAATTCCAGAGTGGCAAGGTACGTCTTGAGAGGGTACTGTGTATGCGACCACAAATGCTCTCTGCTATGACTTTAATTTGTTTGTTTTTTGTTCAGATACTCCTCTTGCTCCAAGTTAATGAAAAGAAGTCAATCGATATACGTCACCATTTGAAAGATTGGAACACAAAATCGCCACCTTGTTTCTAAGGCTTGTCTAACTAGTGACATAGAGTAATTGCGGTAACCAGTTTTTACCTTACTGTTTGACATCCTATGGTCTTTTATATCCCATTTTATGCAGTGTCCTTTTATAACGACACCATTACAGTCAAGCATGTGCATACGACTAATCACCACGTATGGGCTATATCTCAATTTCATTTTTTAGCTTTCCATAGCTTGCCATCTCAAGGTTTGTGATGTTTAATGAAACTAGCGAAGTGACAATCAGTTTTTTTTAGGGCTTCGGCTAAATGCTCGTACCTGGGATCGGGAGCAGTCTATAACAACGCCGCTCATTGTAAAAATGAAAAGGGCATGTGTGGATGGATGATGGCTGAAGGTTTTATGCACAAGGGTGGTATGTCTTGTAGTACAGTAGAGAATTGGAGAGCCTGTTCTCATTATCTGTTTCAAGAGGAGGTGCCAGAGAACAATGTATACACTGTCCAAGCTTCCTATTTCCTTTTTTTTTGGTGAGGATTCCCTTCATATAGTTGTATATTTGAGGTCGGCACAGATTTTTGCCATAGCAATACATTTACATTCACTGGATAACCTTGGTGGTGATCATAATCTTTATTTTTCTGCGTGTGAAGGGTGTGGAATCTAGGTGGGGGGGGGGGGATGCGTAGTGAGCGTTTCCGATAGTGGACAAGGATCGGTACATAGTTTCTGCTCACAGCAAGGAGTTTCTTGCAGCAAGTTAATTGAATTCTTGAGAACAGTATGATTCTGTCTTACACAGGTAGATTGGGAGCAAAATAACCTGAACTGCCACAAGAAGATAGTAGTGAGTCAGTTGGACGAGCAGTCTTTGAAGAATCCTCTCATTATGTTGAATGACTGCTATCGCTTCGTGCGTAAGAGTATTGAGAATTTTGACAAGCGGTTTGGTTATAGGATTTACCTGCACTACTACGTCAACGGTCGTGGAAGAGAAAGGGCGGCAAGGCTCAGTTGGCCTGTATCCCAGTTTACTCGTCAAGTATCTGCAAGCAAGTGTGTATTGGCTAAACTTGTTGCTGCATTTCTTTTTGGCTTCTCCTCTTAGCCGCCCCTTCCGACATTTTTTTGGCACACCTATAATATCATGACAAAAAAAGTAGCTTCTACCCTCTTTATACTTGAATCAAGCATCATCAGCTAAAAAGCTTAATATCAGGGTGGTTGGCCTGCTATGTTGGAGCCATATCTCGAACCTGGGCGTAACCTTCAAGATTTTCAACAACAGTGGGAACTCATACATGTATGCTGCCCTCCTTCTCCCCCCCCGGTTACTCTAATATCCTTAGGATATTATATATACAAAACATCAAACACCTGCCCCTTCTAAACTAGGGCTGCACTCTGAGTGGTGAATTAGGGGCTCAATGTTGTTTGGGCTAGCACGTTGAACATTTTATTATGCTTGAAATTCGCAAGGCATAACATTTGTATAATGGCTGCCCTGCAATCTGTTAATAGTGGGTTTTAGAAATGCATATATGGACAATTAATATTTCTGGGATTGCATTCTAATGTCCATCCGCTTTTAGCAGAGAAGGTACGAATTAATATTAATGATCTTACGTGGCAGACTACAGTTATTGTAGGTTGTGCTTTTCCTGTGTGGCCGAAGTGCCTTGGTCATGCCAAAAGCAGCTTTACTTTCAAGAGGCGTTTAGCTTAGAAAGATTTTTTACCCTACACCAACAATCTCCGCCCATATCAGCTGAGATTTTTGAAGGTTTTAAGGATTCAAAAATTGATACATTCAACTCTCTCTCCTCTCTCTCTCGTTCTCTTAAAAAAAAAAAAAAAAAAAAAAAAAAAAAAAAAAAAAAAAAAAAAAAAAAAAAAAAAAAAAAAAAAAAAAAAAAAAAAAAAAAAAAAAAAAAAAAAAAAAAAAAAAAAAAAAAAAAAAAAAAAAAAAAAAAAAAAAAAAAAAAAAAAAAAAAAAAAAAAAAAAAAAAAAAAAAAAAAAAAAAAAAAAAAAAAAAAAAAAAAAAAAAAAAAAAAAAAAAAAAAAAAAAAAAAAAAAAAAAAAAAAAAAAAAAAAAAAAAAAAAAAAAAAAAAAAAAAAAAAAAAAAAAAAAAAAAAAAAAAAAAAAAAAAAAAAAAAAAAAAAAAAAAAAAAAAAAAAAAAAAAAAAAAAAAAAAAAAAAAAAAAAAAAAAAAAAAAAAAAAAAAAAAACAGCTTTTACAGAAACGGCCCGGAAAGCCTTTGTCTCGTTGATGGGCTCTCGACCCAAACAACCCCATCTTCATACAGAGGACTGAACAACTCAGGCAAAGGAAACTGGGTAGAGAAGAGCTTTATCCAGGTTTGCTTTCTTCTTGGACTTATGAAGCCGCAGAGTACTGATATTATCAGCGATTAAATGCACAAAGTGATGAATTGGTAATCAACCTTTTCGATTAAGCATTCTGTTCGAAAATGGGTCCCGAGACAAATCCTGAAATCGGGAATCTTTCAGCCATTTTAGGTAAGCCACTCTCATTCATTGCATTTTTTTGTTTTAATTTTCAAGGATATTTGAATTTTTGAACCCTAGGGCTGTGTTTGGTTCCATAGAAAACATTGTGGAAATTAAAATGAAGGAAAATTGCATGAAATTTATGCTCGTTAAAATATCTCTCTATGGGGAATTCATGAAAACTGGCAATGTTTGGTTTGTTTGGGTTGCTAGAAATTTGTGGTTCGTGTTCTTGTGCTGAAGTTCACGAGTAGAGTAATAGATTAAGTGACGAAATATAGTAACAAGGATAAGATAGAAGAAACACTAAATTTAGCCTCGTAAAATGTTTAAGTGGGGTTGGTTGAGTATGATGAACCGAGTGTGAATTTTTTGGTTGGCAAGTAGCTTGCCTGGTGTGGCAAAGGTTTAAATCAGAAAATAGTGATGAGACTTGCATTTGGGTGGAGGTTCTCTTGTGGTGAGGGTAGGTTAGGAGTTATAAGTTTTCACTTTGTACTAACTAATAAGGAGCATAAAATAATGGGATAGTTAAGAAAGCTGTCATCAGGAGTAAGGTGGTTCGCAACGTTGAAGGAAGACAAAGAGGTGTAGTTGTGGATGGCCCTAGGTTTTCAGTTGGGTTGTATGGGGAAATAAAATTCTTTTCTCCCTTCCACCCAAATTTAAAAAAAACCCAGTAGGAAAGATTTTATGAAGTCCGGGACTTTATCATTGTACCTAATTGTCAGCGTGTAAGCACAATATTTTTATTTGTATTTTGGGCAAGATGATTATTTCGTGTGTTTTTCTTCGTTGGTCTTTTGGAGCGCAATAAGTAACCAATGATCTTACTTCAATGTGGCCCACACCCTTGCAAATAATCCATATCGGCAATTCGTCAGAAATAGGGCAATGTACTCCTGTATCGTAAGTATGGAAAGGGAGCTTAACAGTTGTTACTTGTCTCGTCAGCGTGTCTGATACCACGCGAATCCATCTAATGTTAAAGAGTATTGCAAAAGCCTTGAAGGGAAAGGCCGACTCTCAACACCACAGGTCCGTGAATTTTCTTGTATTAGAAAATACATGAAAAAAGGAATCAAAATATTTAGGTATGTGCATTCCCCAGTTATTAGACTTCTGAGTCAGGTTTCAGTGTTTTCAGGTAGTGCCTTCTAAATAAATGGTGGCAAACACGCGTACTTTGTTTATGGGGACAACGGCGTCACTCATGTGGACCTCTAGGGAGGTTTGGCTGAATACTACGCACTTCCCAATGACGTTTATATAAGTTCCATGTATAAACAAATCTAATACTAAAGCAATTACAAATGCGTGACTCCCCTCATTATTATATATGGCACGATATGCTTCCTACGAATTTCGAAGAAACTTCAGCCAGTAGCAATAAGCTATGGCGAAATATCAGAGAAACCCTAATTTGAGCCAAATATATTTATTTTGTTAAGGTATCAAAGCTTTCTTTATCTTTACCTATGATGTTAGCGCTTATATTAGCGGACACTTCTGGTGGCGAGTCCTACTGGGTACTGTCTGGAGTATGTATGGGCGCAAAGGGCCACATTTGGAAAAGGACTAGCTTGTTAGATGCTTGGTCCTTTGTAGATCTGAGAAGTTTTCTGCATATCAAATTAATATACCATGTATCTCCGAAGAAAATAAGCAACGGTTTAGTTAGCATTTTCTCTTTAAAGAAAAGGCACTTCAGTAAAGTCTAGGGCATTTCTCATTTCATTTAAAGATGCCACAATGGTTTAGTTCGCTATATTAAATAGTGGTGTTAGGAAAAGGACTTCACTGTCTAGGGGTTGGTGTATGGTACGTTCCTGTGTTTCAAGCTTTAGGAAGATTTATCCGCGGAATAGCCAGGATCAGACTAAAGTATGGTGAATTATATCAATTATTTTAATGGAAAAATAGGAGAAAAACTAATTCTTGCTTACACTACATGGATGTTTCTTCATGCTTTGCCAGGTAGGTTGGGTTATGCACTGGTGGCATCTTCTACTTCTCTCTCAAGGGGGGGCCATGGCAACAATTCTCATTCTATATCGTTATTATCGAAACTGTTGTTCTTTCATACTGTATAGGCTTAGTTATGGTGTTTTATTATTTATATTAGGATTCCTTCATCCATTTTTCAATCTTTTCTCGTCTTTGTTTTGTGTGGGTCTCCTTATTGGAAAAGTGTAATTTTTTAAGCGTTATTGTGATAACCAGGAAATTAACATTTAAAGATAGCGCGATGATGAGGTTCAGACAGAAAACTGTATGGGTAGAAAAGAAGGGGGGGATTTTGGGTACTTCCAATCTTGCTGGAATCTATATACGCATGAGAGGGGCGATGCAGCGGTTGTTCACTCAAGGTGATGAATGCTGATTATTCGCCATCTTCATTTATCTGTTCCCTATCTTTTGCTCTAAGCATTACCAAGTAATAAATTGTGTGTTATTTGGCAATTGATTAAAAACAGTTTAAAAAAATCATTGTGCTGATTGTACCCTTCGTGCTTCAGAATCAACTTAAGGAGACTTAAGCAATATACTGCTTGCTGAACTGTTTTGTTTCCCGTTGGCCATGTGGGACATGACGCATCGTAAGTTATATGAACTGATAAGCAGTCCGAGGGCGAATGTGAGTAGATTTACATTTTTGGAGTGACTTAGTTGATGTATGGGCTTGTTTAATGTCTGCTTTGTTCTTTTATTTGCCCCTCTCACTTTGGTTTCTCCACTTGTTACTTTTTCCTGTTGGTTTTTTTTGGAGAACTTAGGGTATCACCTTCAAAGTACCAGCGATAAGTTGGCCAGTTTCCACTGGGCTTTTTTGTGAGCAACCATCTTTTTGGAGTATATTGAGATTCTATGTTGATAGTATGCGGAAGAGAGGTGATATACAAGACATGTTTCTATGCAGTTTTGTCCGTAAACATGGAAAATTGATTTGCTTAAATGTTTTTAGAACATTTCATATACTGCAAAGTTTGATCATATTGCTTCAAGTGTTGTAGAATTACACAGTTTATTTTTCAAAGGCATTTAATGTAGTGGAGGACTGCATATATTCGCATGGAGATTGTGTACAATAGGACTTTTCTCTTCCAGGCTTCTAATTGCTGATTGAATTTGGGCATTGGTCGTGTGTAGTAGCTAGTATTCGCCAATGTCAATGTTGTGATGAGATTGGGATCACCGTTATACTCATCTTTTATTGTCAGTCTTCCGTAAAAAATTTACTGAAAAATCGAAGATGTGTAGAACTGCTTTCAGGATGCATTATTTATTATTGGATTAATCTGTTCATTTAATCATTAATTTTGAAATTGGCACTTATTAATTAAAGATTTTTATGTTCTATTTTTAATTATAAGTTGCATACTTGTGTTAAATTTGAACACCACTTGTAGGGTATATGAGGCCACTTCTTTGGAAGTGTAGAAAAGCTTCTGTTCAAAACTTTCAGAATCTATCAACTGGCGAGTTGGGGGACGAAATTCAGATGTCTTGATTCCAACTTGAGTATGGTAATTTTTGACTAAAATCGTTGATTTAGGGTTTGCTTAGTTATTTGTCATGCTATTGGCTATAACAGTAGCACATGTTGCGCTGGTATAGTCTGACCGTATGGATAGCATAATCTAATATGTTCGTGCAAATTATGTGAGAATTTAAAGATTTTAGCAGAGTTATGAATCCTGATCAGTAGAGGGTTGGAAACAAGGAAGGTGAATAATAATAACGAAGATCTACATCCCACCAAATACCAGAACACCCGTCGGGGGGGAACTAATATTGGCAAATAATACAACAGGGTGCCCAATGTTCTAGTTACAAAAATATTTAGCTTATTAGTTTTATATAAAACCAGCTTTAGAAGTAGCAGGTAGTTTTGATCATGGAAGTTTCAAGTTGAAGGGGGGAATACCTCCCCTAGTAAGTCCCCTTCCAACCCAGTGGAAGAGCAGGCTATTATCTATCTCTTCTCTCGGCCTTTTTTCTTTTTTGTGATTATACTTCATCGTGCCGCTGCAAATTGGGGTTAAGTACATCCGTAGCAATTCGTTGGCAGCAAGTGCTGCAAGACGTTGGTAGTTAGTCGTGTTATAAACCATAAACCAGCAGAAGGGAAAAAAACACTCGTTGCAAAACTCGTGCAAATTCGTGATTGTTGAAATGATAGGTACTCCTGAGAAATTTGTTGGCGTCGATTCGCGATTTGGCACCATGGGAGATCAGGCAAGGTGGAATCCGTTGAATCATGATACTAGTCGGAAAAGTGCACACATTCTACGTGTTCATGTACCTCTGCTAAAACAAATAATTGACTAACTTGGAGGAGTTGTTTAAGCCGGGTTTATAGATGCTTTCTCTCTCGTACAATTGTTTTTCGCAGGAATGGTTGGACATGTTATAAATAGTCTATAATATGATATCATATAGCTCCAGAAACCCATATTGTCATCGAGGAATTCTTAGGAGTTCATATGTCATTCCGGTGCGATTATCATAGATAAGTTCCGCAGCATATTTCACAGGCTACGCTTCATTTTTTCGGTCCAATCCTTTCTTTTATTTGCACAAAGTGAATGGGTCTCGATTGTCTCCGCATCCAAATATAAAAGAGTGTTTGTTTAAGGAAATTGTTCTTTTAGCAACCACAACAGATAAAAATTGTGTTGGTAGCCTATCAATTGATTCAATTAATGTAATTTAACAAAGAAAAAATATGTGGTAAAAAACCGGTGGATTGCCCAAATAACATTTGTTTTTTTTTTCAAAATTCCACCAGCAAACGTGTCATACCGTGAACGTTACATTCATAAAACCTACGATAGGGAGGATCACAGTTCCAAAGATGTGAATCATTTCTAACCACAACGCCACATATGGAGTCTGTCACGAAAAGAAAAAAATTGCAGCATTTTCTTCAACCCCATCTCATAAACCTCCATAGCGGAAACTATAGGCGGGTAACCAATTGTGGAAATCTAGATGGGCATTCATCTCCCTATGATTAAATCAATGGATGATATTTATCATAGTAAACTGTTGACATTGATGAATTCTGTAAATATTAGATTAAGCTGGGCTAGCCCATGTATGTTGGTCAGAGTTCTGAGTGTAATGGAAACTTATGGAAATTACTCGTCTCTAGGTCTCTCAGGTTCAAACAAAAGACAAAACACCATAACCATACCTCGTTAATTCCCTCCAATAGCTCAACGTTTATTGAAAATACCAAGCCTTACATTCATAAAAAAATATTTTTGCGGTCCATAAAATCTTTTGCACATATATAAGAGTGATATTGCAGTCCCAAACAATTGTGAATACTCTGCAACCACTTTGTAGAAAAACATGTCATGCAAACATAGTGAATCGTCTTCACCATGTGATCCGCCCATTTCTTTATTTTTAGAAAGAAAAAAAAAAAAAAAATGAGGAAACAAAAAAAAAAATGCATGACAGTGTTTTCAAATTAGGATATACTATAGTAAATGCATATGGATAGAATATGATACTTTATTTATGCCATCCAAGAATAGTTGGCCAATTGGTACCATATATAGTTAACGTGAACAATATCGAATATATCGATATGTAGCACACAGAATGATTGATTACTTTAGTTATGCCATACAAGAATATGGTGCACTAATTTGGTATCCATTAATCGTTGAACAATATCGACTCATACGAATAGTTAGACACGGCAACTCAGCCTTCACAACCCGAATAAGAGTTGGAATTCAGTTAAGTATGGTGATATGTGCCCACACAACGAAGTGATGCTTCTAATTTATAACAGAAAAACTTGTTCACATTACAAAAACTTGTAAGGATATTATACAACCAGCTTAATTAGCAAGAAAATCAGGCAACCATTATAAGTTTTCGTCATATCTATCCGGATAGCGGCAAACAAATAAGTGAACTTTCAAAGCCAGGATCTGAACCAGTTCTTCTCAAGGAAATGGGTTTCCTCCATTACCTGTCCTGCTAGGCATTCTAACTACAAAAAGATCATCTTAATACCGGCGTTTTATAGAACAGAAACCAGATTTAGAAGGTACATAGTAGAGCACATCAAATTGTTTAACATAGATTTTGCAAGGATCATCACCATGGTTCAATTGTGAAATTGTAAAAGCAATTGTATGTGAGGCATGATCTCACCTAAGCAAAAGATTAAATTTCCATAAAATGCCAATTCATATTCCACAGTGGTGACAGAATCAATGTATACAAGCTTAGAATCCATTACTATCTTTCCAGAACAAAATTGCTGCATAATCTGACATACTATCAGGACAGCAAAAAGAAAAAAGTCTCTCCTATAAATGTTCATTGCGGAAACAACTTAAATGAATAAATTACATTAATGTGGAAGACATGTCAGTTTTCATGATCTAAGATTATAAGAGGACAGAAAAGAATTCATCAAATAAAGTAAACAACTTGAAGCATCAATCACTTCTCCTGGTAGCCCAAAGGTGGGAGATGATGCCATCTGATGCTAACTAGAAAGCGGAGTGATGGAATTATTAGACCTTTTGCTTCCCTTTCTTAGTTTTTCTAGTTGTGCTTCAGCATCTTTCAACTGCTGCCTTAGAGTGGATACCCTTTGCTCTAATGCTTCCCACTGTGCTTTCGCTGGTGGAAGGTTGATACGGTGTCAGAAAATGACGTGAAAATGCTTTATAGCTTCAACTCCGGTAACCTACAAATTCCACATTAATCAAAGGATTGATGAATAATAAGCAACCAATGACTTAACAGAGTTGGATTTAATCATAGCATACACCTCAACAAAAAATTAGACTCATTTGCAGAGTTCCTCCGAAATGTTCTCCCATTGAATAAGAATACAATACCAAATTTGAATAAATCAAAGACTAAAGAGGCCTTAAAGATCTGTAGTTGTATATTCTACCAAAAATATCCAAAATTTGACTACAAAATAACTAAACAAAAAGATTAAGCACACCTAATAACTGTGAAGAAAATAAAACCCAAAATAAGGATTAATCTAAAGAACTACAGAGAACAAAAGGAATCGTAGGTGGGTGAATCATGGGAAAATTCCATCATCTATAGCCCTCTTTCTAGCTAGATGGGTCACAGTTGCTACAATTTTAGTAGAAAGGGGATATATTGAAGTAAACTTAATACTATCATCACTCAAATGGAAGTACAGGGAAGCACACTGTAAAAGTAGACGATCATCAACCCCTGCCTTCCCAGAATAAGAAGACAACATTTTCACAAATTTGGCACTCTATGGTTTTACCTCTTCCGGCAGCAATGGCAGCTTGGTGATGTTAAAGTCATCATACAACATGTAGAATGGTCAAGGTACTTGTGTTGCATTCGCATTCTTGCTTTGAGTAATTGGATTCGAGCCTACAACAACAGAATTACCGATAGATGGTTAAACCCTGCTCAGAGCAGTTACACACAAAAACATGTAAAAGGACACGATGGACATAGTAGGCATACCTTCTTCGTCATAAAGTACTTGGTTAATGATAATATTGTGTGTATCTATCTCAAATTGGTGAGTTCCGCACCAGTCTCTCTGTTTCATAGAGAGAGAGGAACTCTGGAATGCAAACGCAGACAAAGGTTGTCAAGTCCTGCCAAAAAGTGAGATATGAGTGCATCCACAAATGCCTATAACTTGGGACATTCAATTTGGTTTGCAAGCAAGATTGATGAAGTTTGGCAAGTCACTTAAGATTCTGAAATGTACTACAATTTCTTCTCCTTTCCAAACTGACTCTGGTAAAAGTACTCTAGATTATAATAAAGAAGGAAACAAAAGGGTTTAGCTTCTACCTAAATACGTGGAAAAAATATTTTCCTTCTTTTAAGAACCAAAACCACAAACAAGGAAATACTTTATCTTCTTTCTTTAATTATTTACTTGTTGCCGCTTTACCCTGATCCAAAACATATTTGTTACCGTACAATAGTCATCCTCACCAAAATCAACAATACAGTCAACGAAAAAGGCAAATGAATGGGGAGACTTACTGGGTCTTTGAATTGCCTGTTAACTTGTTCAATCACATCTTTCATGCCCTCGAGCTTTCCCAGAATTGCATCCTCTCCAAATTCATCATCAACACCAAAGAGGCGGGTCATCTGCCCCGATCAATTTTCAAACACTTGATACCATCAGCATAGAAACAGTTGTAACTGAACAATTATAAGCTTACAGAACTCGGACAAGAAAGTCTGAGACAAAAGTAAAGATTCCACGCGTGTCTTAACTCATAAATGTTTGCATGCAAAAGGAAGATACAACAAAAGGGTCAACGATAAATACCTGACTCATAAACCGCCAAATTTATTTTTCAAAGACATCACTTTTGCCAGACCTTTCTCCAAGGTTGATGGAAACTGCAACAGCCGAAGTGTATGGCCAGTTGGGGCAGTGTCAAATACTATAACCGAATAATCCATTGTTTGGACCAATCTGCAGGGAATAATTTACATAAATGATTTAGAACGATGGTTGGTAAAATATAAAATAAGTAGCATACACAAGGAACTCTACCCAGATAGTAAAGAACAAGTGTGAATTGCAAAGAAACAAACATAAAGGAATATGAATCTTACTTGAGCATCTCTGCAAAGCTCATGGCTTCATCAATTCCTGGAATGGCATTTGCTAGCTCAGAAAACAAATTGTCCATTCCATCTGTACCCACGTCTTCATGCTCAACAGTAGGATCCACTTCCTACGGAGGATCATAACCAAATAATGAGACTGCAAATAATGAAATACACACACACACACACACATGAAAGCATATCGAGATTTTAATAATAAATACAAATATCAACCATGGATAAAGAGGAAAGATTCAGCAAGGCAATGACGAATTGGCTCTACTTTCAGAAAACAAATCAAATTCAAAAACAAATTGTTCACAGAACTGAAAGAAAACACAGAACCTATGAACTGGGAATCCCTAACGTCATCAAACAGAACCAAATTCTAAGAAATATCCATCATAACCAATCAAAACCAATATATCCAACAACTGGTAATCCCAAATTCATCAAAAACCCCAAATTCCAACAGAAAAAAACCAAAAAATCACCGAAAAACAACAACAATTAACCAGTACAAAAATAGAGAAGAGACAAAATTGTGAATCAAAAAGCGTACCATAGCATACAGATTGGTGAACCATAACCAAGTTGGAGTCTTGGTGAACTTCTGTTGAAAAAGCATCGCTGAGATGTGAGCAGGGCGGTTGAGATGATCAAAACAGGGATCTGACCCTGGAGAGAAGGATCGAGAGAATTGAGCTACAGGTCGTTTGCCTACACACCTTTCCACCAACAAAACCCACTTGAGGCTGTCTGTTCCGTACGTTCTGAAGAGTCCCCTCCGGTAAATCAGCTGCCGCCATTTATTCACAGAGCACCGTTTACTCTCTCTCTATCTTTCTCTAAAGACTAAACAGTTGGAACCCAGAAATATAGAGAGAGAGAAAAGAAACAGTTCGACAGTGAAAGAGTCGAACTCAAGGACGTACTACCGTGCTAATTTTGGGGGGTTTGAGCCCACGTCCTCAAAAACCTTGTTTGTTTGCTTGCTAAAAAAAAACAGAAAAAAAAAAAAATTTACTCTACTTAGTTAGAAGAAAAAAAAGGAACAATTATGCTTATCTGTACCTCTCCTCACTTGAGGTGTATATGAATTATAATTGAGTGAATTGGTGACACTGACATTATTCTCTTTACGAATTTTTTCTTATATACTAACCATCGTATTAGGTAAAAAATATTCTTGATTATAGTATCAGTTATGCTTGAAATTATTGAATATACGTGTGTTTTGCTTTTGAACATTCATTTACGTGCGTATGAACAATTATTAGTCATTGATGTGAATGCAACTTATTATAGACGTTACACACCTGAACAATTGACAATATAATTCACAGGCATGACATGAAGTTAATGGCCTTAATGTCCGGTAAAACTTATTAACCACTAGAGTTGGCCGAACCCTAATCCCTAGATATGCTGGTTAGACTCGTTAATTTTTTTGAAGGAGAAAAACGCTCTCATTTGTCAGGTCCAAAATTCTCACAAAACTATATCTGCATTATTGCTATGACATCAAATTGGTAACGTTTGTAATTTTGTTGACTGTTCTAATCAATTTTTGATTCTTAACAAACTTCCCCATCGAAATTCTGTAATGGCTTGGTGAATGCCAAATGAAACCATGAAAATTTAGGCATATCTAAAGTCTGCCGTGTTACTAAATTGCAAAAGGCTCAAGTTCTCATTTTCATTGAAATGATCTGAAAACCAGCAAGGAAAAAGCATGTTGGCATGATTTATATTGAGCGAGTCTAGTTTCACTTGGCAACACTCTACACAGAGAAGGAATGAAAATCAGTAGAGAGAGTTGTAGGTGAAGCAGGTGGCAACAATGGATGAGACGCAGATGAACAATGCAGGAATCAGGGTGGTATTCAAGAGCTTGCTCTCACCCCAAAACCCAGCTAGTGTAATTGTTCCATCTGCAATTACTCGAGCTAGGGTCCCTGCTTCGGTTGAAAGCAGTCCGCCATTGTATGTCCCACGAGAAAGCCTCGATGACATGACTCGAGATAGGAGTGATAAGTTTACACCTGGATCAGTACAGAAACTGTCATCTTTTCATGTTGGGTAAGCAAATCAAAAGTTGAGCACAAAATTTGATATATGTAACTTAAAATACGGAGAAAAAAAATGTGGCTTCAGAGCTAAACTTTCAATGCTTAAAAAGATATACAAGAAGTTAATTGTCCTCCCACAATATATATTGAATTACCTTCAAGGACTTCAGCTGACACGAATGTTATAAGGGCTGAGTGACATACTGAGGCACAGAGTAAGGGATCAATACGTGGAAGCTTAGTAGTATACCTATGCATACCAGAATTTCAGATGCCAGTAGAACTTGCCTGCAATCAGGTCAGCAAAGAGAAGAAATATGCATCGCTGGTGAGTTAATAGATAGCAGATAATATAGTGAATTTCATACTTGAAGGTCCACCTTCTTCAAACATGTTGCTGATGTAGCTTCCAACAACAACGTTGACTGGAAGCACCGTTAGCCCGAGACATGCAAGAAAGATTGCCACACTGCTAGTCGACCAAATAAAGTAATATCCAGTGATGACGCTGGATTCAGCAAGTACCATCTCCATTGCATATTTCAGCATAAAATAGATATACAGTTGAACCTGGTGAGAATTAGCAAGATTCAAGTAAGATGTCATGAAGAATGCAGGAACAAGTTCGAATGAGATGAAAGATCTAAACACCAGTAATAGATGGTCCTACTAACTAAAGCAAACTGAGAGCTGGAAAAAAAGGGGAATGGATGAAGCGCAGCTAAGAAAATCGGAGTGAATGTGCTGAGATGATGTAAGAGTGTACAGTTACAACATCATAGTGCTATATTCTATTCATAAACCTAAACAGATTGCTTCCAAATATACAAAATACCTTAACCATGTGAACCTACATAGTACATATAATTTCAGATTTATTTTTTGGGTAACGATATAATTTTCTAATTTCAGCGATGTCGATGATATAATGGGTTCTCTTAATGAATTATCTTAATTTTATTCCCATGGTTTAGAGAACCGATATGCAATCTAGTGCCACCCACAACAACCAGTCATCTAAAGTGTATTATCCCTTGATGGATGAAGACTTCAACTACAAGTAGAGACTGCTTTGTCTCTAAAGTGTTGGTGTGTAAATTTCAAAGGTGGGATCTGATAGAGAACTTTTTGATTTCTGTATAAAAATATTAGATTCTTACGAAATAATCTATACTTCACTGATGGGGTTAGTAATCTATATGCTGACACAATTGAATTGACTGGTTTTTGGATTTCCACAGGATCTTCTTCAGCATCATCACAATCAGTGTCTCCATCTCCATCTTTTTGCTTAGCTTTGGAGTTTGACAGCAATGGTTGTGTAGGACCATTCTCCACAGAAATATTTACAATTTTCCCTGTTTCAAACAAACTCCACATGAATAATGAAGAAATTGTGTGCCATAAGAGGTGACAAGAATGAACATTAGTGTGAAAGGACTAAGAAAAGAACTAAGAAATCTTGTTTACAAACCAGAATTAGATTCCCGTGGCACAATATTTTCTGTTGTCACACGAGAAGGCTCTTTAAAAGAAATCGACAACCACAGCAAATAGATTAGCCATGCGAGAGCCATAATCCAACCAGGTAATGTGTCTTCGTTGAATGTCAATTTGTAAATCTTGAAATTAGTTTGGAGTAGACTAGCAAGAGCAGGCCCACATGCCATTCCAAGTGCACCGGCACTGACAAAACCAGCAGAAGCCTGCATTCGCAATTTAAGGGGTACGCAGTCACTGATATAACGCCTATTAACTGCTCTTGCAGAACCTAACCTGCAAATTTGACAAGATGAATGTCCATATTAATAGGTAAAACGAACATACTAAATCCAAAGATAGGAATATTAAACTTTGTACTAATGCAGGAACTGCACCACAAGATATATTAGGACAAGCACCAATACACACTCACACAATTGAAAACAAGTCCATATGCAGATTTGGAGTAAAGCAAAACTATGTTTTCAATAGATTCGGGGATGGGAAACCAAGAAGCATCACTTTTAGAACACAAAAAAGGTGAAATTTTACAGGACCTATATTAAAATAGTGGTCTTCTAGAGTTTGAAATCTGGTGTTGCATTGCCACTGTCATAGTGGCCACATATCTTAAACAGTATACTTGTACTAATATTTGAAACTTCTTACAATTCATGATACAATTTCATGCATGTCAAACCTAATAGTAGAACCCGACCCAAAAAAAAGACCCTAATAGTAGAGATTCCAATTCTTTATTTTCAAGAAAACAGGGCATTTCATTGTAGTGCAATTTCTAAAAAGCTGCCTCAATCTCCATTCAGGCTACCCTTTCTCAAACTGTGCTTATATGCTTATTAATATTCAGAATGGAATTTGACAACAATCAGTATTTACGCCAGTCGCCAGTAAATTAAAAAGGATAACAAAAGGTCAAGCTTAAGAAAATCCACTGAAAAGCACAAGGAAAATGAACAAATATACCCTAACCACTTACAATATAGACTATTCACTACTTCTAAGTTCTGACATGAAAACAGAGACTCTGCATAAAATATTCTATAATATCACTCAGTATTAAGTTTGGCATGCAAAAGTATCAGCTAATCTATACAACCAAATGTAAGTCTCACAATAAAAGAGTCACTTACCCGCAGAATAGTCGACCAATCAGAAGTACTGATATTGAATTAAGATCATAAGCCAATGCATACAAAGTATTTCCCACAAGAAGAATGATGCTGCTAAATACCAGTGGTCTCATGTATGATCTATTTGACCATGCACTGAAATAAACTGAAGAGAACACCTGAGCAACAGCCATTGATCCAATCACAACACCGCAGACGGTTGCTGCAGCTCCAAGGGTCATGGAGTAATTGTCAGCTGTTGGGACAATATATATGTATTAACCATATACAGAAATGTGTTTGCCAAGTTCAAGAGGAGTGACATGAAATGATATCTTCCGTCATCAGCATGATCCCCAGATGGGCTTTGTAAATCATCCCCATAAGAAGTGCATGTTTTCCCAAATAATGAAGGAAACTTGTTGAGTTTGATAACCTGTTTACTGCTGCCCTGATAGAATCAAGGACGGGATCCTGTAAAATCAGATTCATTAGATATTTAGATATCAGTTGTAATGTACAAAGTGAATCAGCTAAAATGCCTGCAACTATTATGTGAAATACTAAACAAGATGAACAACTTGAGTCACAAAATTTCAATGTTTAAACTTCAACAACATAGATAAGTACATGGTTGAGAGAGAGAGAGAGAGAGAGAGAGAGAGTTGAAGTATCAATTTTTTGAATCCTTAAATTCAAACTCAGCTTGATAGAGGCGGATATTGTGTGAGGGTAAATAAATCTTCTAAGCTAACGCCTCTAAATTAAAGTGCTTTTTCATACCAATGCACTTGCTCACACAGAAAACACATTATTAAACTGTAGTTGCAGAAGATCATAAAAAATCGTATTCTCTTCTAAAAGCGGATTGACATTATGAATGAATCCTATCAGAATATTAATTTTCCCCAATATTCATTTCTAAAAACTATTAACATATTGCAAAGGCAGCCATTATCAAATGTTATGCCTTGCGAATTTCAAGCATAATAAAATTCAACTGCTAGCACAAACATTATGAAATTCAATCAGATGGATTAGAAGGAGAGTGTTGATGTTGTATATAATACTTCAATGGATATTAGAGTAAACCGGGTGGGAAAAGGCAGGCTGATCATAAATTGATATGTAGTTCCCACAATGTTGTTGAAAATCTTGAAGGTCCGCCAGGTTTCGAGATATGGCTCCAACAACGGCCCCAACACCCTGCATATTAAGCTTTTAGCTGATGATGCTTGTATTCAATTATAAAGATGGTAGAAGCTACTTTTTGTACTGATATTATAGTGTGCCAAAAAATTCGTAAGGTGCGGCTAAGAGGGAGAAGAAAAAAGAAATGAGAACAAGTTTAGCCCTTACCACTTGCTTGCAAACTTGGCGTAACTGGGAATAAGGATGATTTGCACGAGTTTTGACGTAGTAGTCAGTAAATCTATAACCAAACCGCTTGTCAAACTTCTTCAATATCTTACGCAGACCGATAGCATTCATCTCAACAAAAGAGAGGATTCTTAAAAGATCTCGTCCAACTGATCTATATGCTTCTTGTAGTTCAGGTATTTTTGCTCCATCTACCTGCTGTAAGACAGAATCATACTGTTCTCCAAGATTCAATAACTTGCTTGCAAGAACTCCTTGTTGTTGCAGCAGAAACATGACCATCTTTTCAATCTGAAGTCAACAACAATAACAGAAAATAAAATTATGATTCAACACCAAAAGTATCCATGAATGTAAATGTATTTGCTACTGGCAAAAATCTGTGCTCCGACCTCAATGAATACAACAATATGAAGGCGATCCTCACCAAAAAACAAAGGAAAAGGAAGCTTGGGAAGTGTATACATTTTTTTTGGACCATCTTGAAACAGATAATGAGAATGAACAACATACAATGATAAAACTTCAGCATCATCCATCCATACATGCCCTTTTCATTTATTAAATGAGATGCGTTGTTATATTGACCTCCCATCCCATGTAGTACAATTTAGCAGAAGCATAAAAAACTGCATGACTTGCAGTTTCATAAAACATCACAAATTGAGATGGCAAGATATGGAAGCTAAAAAATGAAATTTAGAAATCCCACGGGTGATTTATCAGTCTGCACATGATAATGGTGTATAACAGACACTGCATTAAACTTGTGAATAAAAGACATAATTCCAATAATGCAACACTGGTTACCTCACTATCTAGCAATATTGAGAAGTCCTTAAGAACAAGGTGGCGATTTTGTGTTCCAACTTCAATTTGTTGTGTATATCGATTGAGCTTCTTCTTCATTAACTTGTAGTCAAGATAGTATCTGAAAAAGAAACAAACAAATTAAAAGTCATAGCAGAGAGCATTTTTGGTTCGAAACGTACTCCAACGTACCCTTGCCACTCTTGAATTTGTGATTCCCTTAACTTCTTCCCGAAGGCAACCATCTTTCAGAATCAATGCTACTGTAAGAAGAGTATCGGCAACACATAAGTTTTCTGCACTACTTTATTTATCAGAGTTGACAAAGCAGCAAATTGAAATCAACAAGTACATGGTAAGTTTTACCTTCCTCTTAAATGTTAAGTATATGCTTCGTTGACTACAAAATTAAAGAAAAGATCTCATAATAATATAAAATTTTCCATTTAGTTTGTAACTCATATCTAACCTGATGAAACTGAGGGAAAGATTGGAGAAAATTTCACTCTGACAGTCAAAATGGAAATAAAATGGGAAACACTGCTAATTCAGACAACCAAATTAAAATCTTTGATTTGCCCATTTTCTCAACTTCACTTTCCTTCTGGGAAAACTTCAAAATTCAGAAATTTTAACTCTGAAGTTCTGTAAAAAATTATTATTTTTGAAAGAACATCAATTTTCCAACAAAGGGTTTAAATTTAAATAAATAAATAAAAGAACAAACACAAAAACATAATCCCATCCCATGTTAACCAAAATGTAATTCTACACCCTACAGCAGAGCTAAAAATAAATAAAAACCCAGAATTTATAAGAGCTTAAGAAAGAGAGAATTACCAAATCCAAACTGGAAACCGTATTGTTCATCTTCTACGCGAGGTAGGTATGTTCGGTGGAAACAATATGAAAATGAGTTTTGTTTTGAAAGAACGGTTTTTTTGCAAGAAAATATGTATGTGGGAATGGAATTCCAAAAATCTTGTAAGCTTCCAGGAAACGGATTCTAATTTATTTTTCTTAATTAAAAAAAAAAGCAAAAAAGAAAACAAATGCGAACAAAACAAATGTCAGAAAAAGAAATAAAAAGAGCTCTGCTCTCTCTCAGTGTTTTGTGCTCTCTCAACTCAAGGAGAGGGAGAGAGAGAGTCTGTCATGACTTAATCAGTCATCAATTGTCGCGCGAAATTGGTTTTTTGTGGCTAACTTCCAGGAAGGGTAGGAAATACCATATATATCCTCGCAACACGTCATTTTTTCGCCACTTATGTGCAAACAAAACTAACAAACCAAAAAGTAATGCAACAAAAATGAAGACTTGGTTTTATATACACCGTACACCGTCACATATATTTTTAAATTATTAAAATTATCGAATTGGATCAAGTAAAATTAGGATTTTGATTTGAATATGTGAGATATGCTTGTTTGATCTAGTATTGTAGTTTGTGAGTTTGGCATATAAATAGCATGCAGTCTCAACTCAACGCAATCTTTTGGGGTAATGGGAAGGTACTATTGAGAGAGTTGCTCGCCTACAAGACATGACAAATACTTGAAGTTGAATTGTGACGGTCATATATAGTATACTGTCATGTGGTGTTACTAATGCACGTAGTAAGCGATATAATTGATAATATAGGTGTGTTGATATAGTAATGTGGCAATATAACAGTTACACTCGTAAATTGCAAAGTGAGATATTGTAGGCCATTGAAAGAAAATGACTTCATGCTTATAAATTAAAGAAAGGAAAGAGTTGGTCATGATGAAGACACTTAAAAGAGTGAAGATTCAATAAGAGGGCTACAACAAGATAAGTAAATAGTTTAGCACTGGCTCACCCCACGTGATTAAAGGCTATGATGGATTTGGATTTAATTATTGAAAGTGATGTCAAGTCGTTTGGTGATATATATGCATGCGCAACTTACAAAGTGTAACGGGAATGGATGAAGTTTTCTTGTTTGGGTAAAATCTAATAAACCCAAAGATAATTTATACATAATATATACACAGTTTTTCTCTTAATGGACGCTATTGTTGTAGCTATATTTCTTACATCAAAAGCTTGTTTGTATACTCAATGATGCTCGTTGAAGCGTGGAGAAAATTTGAGAAATGGGCGAAAGCGTGGAGGAAAACTGAAACAACAATGACGTCTATTTAGAAATTTTGGATGTCCAAATATGAGAAAATATGTACATATATAATATGCCGGGAAAATTAATCCACTTGAAATGCTTATGCAAAAATATATAGTCTCACTCACATGTGATTTTATTTATTTCCGCTAGGGGAAATAAAAATAAGAATGAAAATCAAGTAATACCAGAACAAGGTAATTAAAAGTACTAAGACGGAATTCCTTATTTGCATTGATATTATTGAGGGGAAAACTCCAAGAAACAAAACCTCAACTCAACTAAGAAAGAAAGGTGAAGAAATGAAGGCTCTGGGCCTAGGCTGTAGGTAAAAATGGAGACCCAAAACAAAAAAGGAAAAAAAAACAGAAGGAGAAGAAGAAGAAGAAGAAGAAAACCCTGAGAAGAGATGAAGGCCATCTGATTGTTAACTGTTTGATAGAGAGATAACAAAACTGAAAACGAAGCTAGTTTTAGAGCTATATGAGCATTTAAAAGCATGCAGGATACGAAACACAGAGTGCACTTACAGTCAGTTCAAAGAACTCGGGTCCGCTGATGAACCTTGTTGCCCTACTTTCACTGCAAAAGACTAGTATTTAAAGAAGAACACAATCCAGTGGGGGGAGAGAGAGAGAGAGAGAGAGAGAGAGAGAGTTTTTCCTTGGGGTTTAATTAATTATGATTTACATGAAACAAGGACCTGCCACCAAACTAAACGCAACTTTTACTGTACCCTTTAATGAAAGAATCTTGCTAATTAAACTGATTAACTAGTTGTTAATTTAGTGATATTTATATTTTTAGAAAAAACATTAAACTCAGAAATGGATGATTCATGTTGTCCATAAGCAATGCACCTTTATTTGTGGCTCATAAGTTCATAACCAAGAAAATCGTAGTTTTCAGGTGAGGGTCTCAAAGTCTCGTGATCCTTAGCCACGTGTCGTGGATAAAGGAGTGTGTGGTAAAATTTAAATTTAAACATTCTTTTGTTTTTGTTCAATAAATAAATATAAATTTAAACATGGAGAAAACAAAAAAAAATCTTGTTGGACCTAAGTTTAGGCTTGGGATGGAAAGCTTAAAAACTTGGCACTAATAAATTTAGGCTTGTGTTATGCCAAAATTTGTTTGCCTTATTTGGCTATTAGTGAAGATATACCTTGTGCGCTAACTTAATTATGAGCTCATTTGAGAGTGATTCTAAATAACCACCTCCCATGTTTTTTTTCTTCATATAATCACTTTAAGCGATTTTAAGTTATTCTGGGCATAAATACCACATATGTTCTTCTCCATAAAATCACTTAAAACCACTTGAAGTGATTATTTGGAGAAGTGGTTCTCTATAAAAGCGTTTCTTTGCCTATTCAGAATCACTCTCAAACGAACTTTATGCATGATTACACTCCACCCAATAAAAACTAACTCATCATATCCCAGAAAAAATTAGCACTTGTTAAAGTTCGTGTTCAAATTCTCAATCCAAAAATACAAGTACACCTAGAGAGGGAAAAAAAAATTGTTAATATAATAATTCAAGTGTGTGGGCACCTCATAATATTTAAAAACAAAAAACAAAAAGTTAACAAACCAGAAAATTCCACGTGTTGTGTGTATTGCGTGCCACATAATATATATATATATATATATATGGGAAAGAAAACTGGTCATTGTATGGCTTTATATGAACAAATCTTTTTGTTAGGATACCATATCTTCCACGTGGCCCATTAATTTACTAGGGACAGAAAATATAAATAGGTCAATTTGGTGGCATGTACTTTCTGTCTCGTCTGTCTCAGAGCATTTCCAACCAATGTGTTAAACATGTCACATAGACATTTAACAGCTATAAATAACATCTCACATCACTCCAACCAATGTGTTAAAGCTGATGTGGAATAAAAGATGGAGGTTGAAATGTTATTTTTGACATCCCAAAAGCAAGATGTCAAATGAATATTTTTTTATTTTTTCTTTTCTATTCTTTTAATTAAAAATGAATCAACACTAAAATGTAATAAAATAATAATTTAATTTGGCATATCGGGTGGAGTGTAAAGTTGTGTAAGATGTCAAATTGCCACATCAGCCATCAAATTTAAATTTGACGTTTGGTATTTGACATCTTCCTCTTAGAGCATCTCCAACAGATATGTCAAAAATGCCACATAGACATTTAACGGCTATAAATAACATCTCACATCACTCCAACCGAATTTTCAAAGCTGATGTGAAATGAAGGTTGGAGGTTCAGCTGTTATTTTTGATATCCCAAAAGCAAGATGTCAAATAAATATTTTATTATTTTTAAAGACAGATGGCTGTGACTTTCATTTATAATTTTATTCTTTTTCTTCTTTATCTTTAATGATTTGACTGTTACAATAATTATTTATTTAATATATCGGATGGAGTGTAAAACTGTTTAAATATCAAATTGCCACATCAGCCATCAAATTTAAATTTGATGTTTGATATTTGACATCTCTCTTGGAGATGCTCTTATGCATTCACATGTTCATTTTCCTTAATCATATAAATTTATATGGGCCAGCCACTAGGAATATTCTCATTTCCATTTTTTTATAAATATTTTCAGTGAATTTATGATATTATGACATCACTAATCTTATTTATTAATATTTCTGGGTAAAAAAGAAAAGAAAAATAGCAATTTAAAATTGTGGTCAGGAAGCTAGAATGAGCATGAGCCATAGACAAGCCAGAAAAACATAAGCCATGGAAGTGGAAACTGATGTTCTTAGGAATATTCTTACCTCTTCCAATTACACCTGTCTTGACTTTAAATAAAAGCACGCTCTAAAAGCAGATGAATAGACTAAAATTAAAATAAGATGATCAAATCAACTGTAAGATTGCTGACTTTTAGGTCCATGTGAAACTTGTGTTTAAAAAGACAAATTTGTAGGTCAAAAGCAAACTCGGAATTAGTGGAGAAACCAACCAAATTACAGTATCAACTTTGAGATTTTTTAATAATTATGTTAGCAAATCAACATTGAGATTTTTATTAGCGTAATATCTCTATTAGGGCAAAATATCAACCGGGCCGTGTTTGTGACGTGCTTGGCTCATTTAACTTTATTTTTTTAATTCTTGAATTTCTTTAAACAAAAAATTCATGTTAGCATATTAAATTTATACAAAAATAAAATAAATAATATGTTCATATCTTTCTTATATGTAATATGGGACTAAAAATTGAGGATTTGTTGTAGTATTTATTTATTGGCCTCCAAATCAAAATCCATATATGTAGATATCAAGAGGGGAAGGAGGTTAAGACATAGTTTATGTAAAGTGCGTCTTGACAAAAAAAAAAATCTTAAATGGGTCAGGCCAAGCTTGAAGTGGGTTCGGGCCAAGCACAGCCCATGTCGGGCAACTCAATCCATTAGGCTTAATTTTCTAATCCCGGTATGACCCATGCTTTTGTGTCGTGCCTAACATGAGCATTCAATAATCGTACTTGAGCCATGTCGTGCCCCATTTAAATGGGCTAAGTTCGTGCTATGTTGGACCAATCTGGCCCATTTAACACCTCTATATCTAAGTTTGAATTCTCATTCCTTATAGATAAAAAACTGTTATCCGCACTCTAAATTAGTCATTATGCACTCCACATGTATTATTAAACTCATTCGATAAAGCTAATGAGTTTCCATCACATTGGTGGTGGATTCCCCCTCTCCCATGACACCTAGAAGGATCGAATCCAATAGAATTTATTTTCTCCAATGTAACAAAGAAAACTCATTTAGAAAATTAATATAAAAACGACATACAACGACTTTTTTGAGGTGCGAGTAACAACTTGGTTTGAAAAACATTCGTCGATATTTATCCAACTACACTGCTGAATTATGGACTTTAGTTTATGTCCTACAGTTGGCCAATTTTCTAAAAGCAGAGCAGGTATTGAGGATTAGGTTGATGTAGCCTACACTACAAATGGGCTTGCCATTTCCATTTTGTGCTTGGATTTGGGTCTATCTACACTGGATAAACTGGGCTTGAATTTCAGCTAGAGTGATTTGTTGTTAGTTTGGGCCTTTAGCCTCCATTGTCTTCTCTCTGTTTCCTGATTTCTTCTTCAGGTCTCTCATACAGAAACCCCTGAATTAAGGTACCTACCTGTGCTGTGGTGACCAAAATCAATCGAAATTCAATTCAATTCAATTCTGCGGTGAAACCCAGAAAGAGAGAAACGTCACCAATCGGAATTGCAATTGTGATGGCAATGTCGGTGGAAATCGGAGGAGGGACGTTATCGGAGATATATCAGAGCGCCAAGAAGCTATTGTTGAGAACAAGAGACGGCCTTGAGAAGCTGGAGAGATTGGAGAACGCAGGCGGCATCGACTCCCCGGACCTTTCCACATCCGTCAAAAGAGACATTTCTCAGATTCAGTCTTTCTGCGCCGAGATGGACCGCCTCTGGCGATCTGTTGGCGCCAAATCCCAACGCGATCTCTGGAAAAGGTTGGTTTTCTTTCATTGATCCCTTGAACCTTGATTTGGGTTTTTGTCTTCTGCATTTAATTGTAATTGGACTTGGTTTTTTTGTTCATGAATTCCTTGAGCCTTGAGTAGGGTTTTTGTCATTTTTGTATATTATAATTGTAATAGGAATAGTGTTTTTTTTCATCATCAATTCCTTGGGCATTGAGGTGGGCTTTTTTGTCATTTTTATATATTGTGGTTGTAATTGTAATTGGGTTTCTTTAACTGGATCCTATTTTGCTTCTTGTTACGCAGAAAAGTAGAACAAATAGCGGAAGAGGCTCAGTCTTTGAAAGAAAGTCTGGATAAGTATAATTTGAGGAATCAGAAGAGGGCTCAAGAAGCCAGAGAGAGGGCAGAGTTGCTTGGAAGAGCTGTATGCAACTCCCAACCCTTTTACTTTTTGTTTACTACCTCATTCTGATGTATGCCTTTGTTTAATTTACCTTTGTCTTATGATGTAGAATGGGGAGGGTGCTCATGTTTTGAGAATCTTTGATGATGAGGCACAAGCAAGGGCGTCAGTTCGTAGTTCTTCTCGCATGCTTGAAGAAGCCAGTGCTACTGGAGAAAGTATTCTTAGGAAATATGCAGAACAAAGGGATTGGCTAAAGGTATCACCCATATTTGTGCTCACTGTTATGCAACTCACTTTGCACCAATTATTGAAAGAAAAACGATAGTGAATTTGCAATTTGTGTCTTGAATATAGTTAAAACATTCATTAATAAGCTTACAGTTAATGGTAGCTCTTCTTTAAAATGTGCACAATTCGTAGATACTCTGGTTTTATAGAAAATTCTAATTACTATGATAGGACAGCTGTGTACTGTAAGAAAATTGATTGATTTGGTATTTGACATTTTAATTAATTTTCAACAGTCAAACGGCAGGATATGATTCATAGCAAGCACAATTCTTTTATATGAGTACATGTTATGCAGGACAAGAGATAGAATTAGCAAGGAAGTAGAGAGAATAGGGAACTAAAACAATGATCAAATTAGGATAACTGAAACCAATATTTTTAAGGGAGAATCACTCAATGCATGACAGAAGTCTATCAGTCACCAACTATCATAAATACCCTGCAACTAAGTTCTACTTGAAACACAGTCTGATATGATTCATACTGAATGATTTGAAACTAGCTGACTATGTGTGATAATCTCACCACCCATACCTACAGAGAAAATACTTTGATATAGCACTTAGTTATAGGATTAAATATATGATGAATTGTAACCAAGAGACCTCAGGTGGCTCAACTCCCTGACCTTGAGCACTTTGGTACATTGATGATAATTGGAATACTCAATTTCCTCAAAATAAATTTGAAAAAGAACTCAACAATGCTTTGATATACCAACAGAATTGCAGAGGCTCAACTCACTGACCTCGGGCACTTTGCTGTATTGATGAAGGTTGGAATCCATGATTGCCTCATAATAGAGTTGAACAAGATCAAAGAAACATATAATTTCTTCCGTTGGATTTTAATCTTCCATCTTTCCCTTTAGAATGAATTTTGTAGCAATTGCAAGTCAAGTCATAGGAAATTGAACTCAATATGGGTAAAAAGAAAAAGGAAATCGAAAAGGCCAAGAGCTTTGATACATAACAGTTAGTGATGTATTACATGTTTGTTGCTACTAATGCTTGTTAAAATAATGGTGAATTCTCTGTTGACTTGTTTCAGAGCGCACAACGAAAAGGATTGGATGTCCTGAATACAGTGGGTCTCTCTAACTCTGTTTTGAAGCTCATTGAGAGGCGGAACCGTGTTGATCAGTCGATCAAGTATGCAGGCATGATTCTGACTGTTGTCATTGTTGTGTATCTCATATGGAGGTGGAGGTGATGACCTATGCTTGAAATGTTGCTAGCCTATTTTGTTTCTATTTTTGTGGGAAGATGATATAATTTCCTATTGTATGTTCTCCCATATGAACAAGGCAAACGAGCTTGTACAAGACAAACTTGTATAAATATGAATTTACGCCCAGTGGTGGTATACCTTTTATTTGATTATTTTGTCTTCACGTGGATGGGTTAAATCTTTGAGACTGAGGTAGCTGTTTGTTAGTACAAGCTGTTATGTAATTTGTAGACCCATTGTATATGGTTATCTGGTTGAAGATCAAGTTGAAAGATACATCTTACGTTTCAATTGCCAAAATGATGTTCTTTGCATTTGATAAATTTTATCTCTGTATATGGTTGTCAAATTCAAATGGACCCTTCATTTTTATTTATTATTTTGGTAATAGTCTATGTCTAACCATATTTTCACTTGTTAGATGAGGTCCTAACTTGAAAAGCGTGGCAGCTATTAGATTGGATTTCTTTTATGAGAACATTTTTGCCCATCACTTTAATCAAGGTGTACTCTCACTCCATGGGCATAACCACGGTTAAGCTCATTATGGACACGTATCAAATACGGAGTATACCTTGAGTTACAGTGATCAGTAAAAATATTGATTTCTTTTATACATTAATTCTGCTCGGGCTCTCATACATTTGATAATCTACAATGTAAATTCAAAACTAATATAAAACAGACACCATTATGATGACAGTTCAAATCCAAAGAATTTTGCATTTATCATGAATTTAAATTCTCAATAATGATTCGCTGTACGTTACAGTGTACGAACAAGCATCCTAGAGATCATGTATTAAAAATTGATCCCCGCATAAATGAACAAAACTAATCTGAATAACTGACTGGCTGTCAAAATTTTAGATACAGGATTGCTACAATTGTTCATTGATGCCTTCACGGCCACCATAGCAATGGCTCATGCAAACTGAAGGAAATGTTCTTGTCTAAAATATTCACGGAACTAGATGGAGTAAAGTAACTCATGACGACTCCACTTTGACGGCAGGAGGATCCATCCACTTCCAAACAGAAAGGAGACCAGTTGCATCCCCACTGAAGAATAGTCCTCCAGGTCCTACCTCGACCGTCCGAACTTGTTTTGCAAATAATCTGCCTCTTTCAGTGAATGATGGCAGTTCATATATGCGGACAGAATTATCATTGCAAGAAGAAAGCAAGATTGGCTTGCTTTCTGCATCTGTCATTCCAGCAAGATCAAGAACACCCTGCTCTTCGTTGTGAGTGTAGGTCACTTCCAAACCGCCTCCTTCAGTGGCAGCCCACACCTTTATCGTGTCATCCAGTGAGCACGAGAGCAAGAACTGATCCCAGCAAAGAAGAGACATCACCGCACCAGAATGCCCATTTAGTGTCAGAACACCCTGCAAAGTATAAAGGTCCCACACCTGAAACAAAAAGAACATTACAGTAAATTACATGAGGAATTTGAATACAGAAGCACTCCATAATCAGATCATTGGAATAAATCATTTTGCTCCCTCTATTGTAAATAGAGGAGAGGACATATAGTAGAAGCTGACAAAACTTGTTCGTAGATGCCACAAACTTACCTTAATTGTATGGTCCACAGAACCTGAGTAAAGCCTGTTGCGCCCAACAGTTAAACATACCACAGCACCAGTGTGGCCCTTCAGAGTTGCAGCAGGATAAAATGGCGGATTCGTTTCAGTGCTACCTTTCCACACACATATATCACCATTCTGCAATATTAAAGAAACAGATAAATCAATTGAAAATGGTGCACTACGAATAAAAGGAGGAACAGATATCCTAAAATCCCAGCTACGCAATAATTAGGAAAGCTGCAGAATTGTTAGGCTCTTTACCTGTGTCCCGGCGAAAAGCATTTCATTACCAACCACCATAGCATGCACTTGGCCAACAGGTCCATCCAGGTTGAATTCAGAATTTGTCTCAGTATTCCAAACCTGCAACATCAAGCAAAATCAGCATACATATTGAAGTTGAACCAACCAAGCTACTAAAAAAAAGTGCTCCAGTTACAACAACGAAATACCTTAACAAGATTTGGTACACCAGCAAAAACCCATGGGCCCTCACTAATTAAAGAACCTGCTTCACCACCAAGATCAATCACACTGCCACATTCACCAGTATGGCAGTCCCAAACTCTGGCTGTTCCATCTTTACTGGTTGAATAAAGCTTGTTAGTTCGTTCGGGAAGGGCAATACCAGTGACAGCCTGTTAACATAAATTTCACAATTATTATTTCCGAAGAGGAACAGAACAAATTAAAAAAGAAAACATATTTCGAAAATTAAAAATACCTTCGTGTGCCCTTGGAGCTTTGCCAACATGGAGAACCCCTCACCACGGAACCAGTTATGCAAATACAGGCATCGATCACCTTTCACACAATTTCCATCTACCCAGAACTTGCAGACATTTTTCGGAGTAGGATTGCTTTTCTGGGCAGCATTGCTTTTCTGAGGAGCATTGCTTTCGTGAGGAGCATTGCTTTTCTGTGTCTGAGCAGCATTGCTTTTCTGAGGAGCATTGCATGCATTGGCCTTTCCCGTGGCAGTTCCTTCCTTCGTCCAAACAAGAGACGACTTCTTTGAAATTTGAGGGTTCATGGATGAAGGCGGTGCATCCGCGTGCAGGAAACGACAGAATTCCCTTGTGCATCTTCCAGCAGCCCAAAAGGCGCAAACAGTTTTTGAAGGTCCTCCTGCAGGTCGAGCATACACGGATCTTTCTGGTCTATTGGTGTGCCTCCTCACTACCTTAGTGGCCATACTATAAACACAAATTTTGAAACCAATAAGAAATCGCAGAGAGACAGCTTTGAAGATCACCCCCTCAAACAGAATTTCAATATTTCATCGATCTTCAAAAAACCCTAAAAATATACGAAACCCGATAAGCCTTGAAATCCAAATCGACGTACGATCACCCTCTAAGAATCGAGAAACTAGCGAGGGCGGATTCTTCAAATCCTTTAAATCAATTCGAAAACTTTTCAGACTAGCCAGTCGCCGATCCCAAGGCGTATCCTAAACAACAATAAAAGTAACCCTAAAATCGAAACCCTAGATATCCAGTTTGAGCGAGCATCAAACCCATAACCAAAAACCATTATCCTCAAGAAATACGCGTTCGGCGAAAAAAATAGCCTCTTGGGTATCAATTAACGGTCGAAAACGAACAAAACCCTAGAAGGAACAATGCGATTGCAGAGACGCGTGAAGAGAAGAAGCAAACCTGATCGATTCGATTGGGCGAGAGCTTTGAACTTTGAAGCTATTCGATTATCGTCTGGACTGATTTCGAAGCACAGTCAATCCAAATGGACGAACGATCAAAGAGAAAGAAAACGATCACGGAGAAAGAAAGAAAATGCCTTTTGCTTTCGTTGCGATTGAAACCCTAATTGTAAGCGAAACTTTGATCACTCTGGCCCGAAGCTGATCTTCTATGTGTGTATATATAGTTGGCGTAGGCTGGAGACTTTCCAACTGGCGCCAGGAAAGAAGTATTGCGTTCGTTAGACGCGGTGATCGTAGAACTGATCGTGACCGTCCGATATAAATCAATTATTCCTGACCGTTAGATCTAATCTAATTTTGTCGTTTTTTCTTTATTATTTTTAAACCAAACTAGCTTTCGGACAAAAAAAAAACCTAACTAACTTTTTATCAAAAGCAATTTCTTTGTTTGAAATTATGTTACTAAAACACTTTCACCCATGCCTCTGGAAAATCATAAAGTAAAAATATAGTAGATCAGCATGCTAGTGTTTAATAAAATAAAAATATTTAAACTTAAGGAGTTAAAAGGCTTATTTGGATCGAGAGAACTCATATATAAGTCAACAAAGTCTAGTCATGTGAAAAAAGAGTTTTGATTTGCATACAAGTGGTCTCAAGTTCAAACTTCTCTGAAACCTCGATAATATTTGAATACCCCTCCCCTTCCTTGAAAAAAAAAAAAAAAAAAAAAAAAAAAAAAAAAAAAAAAAAATAAAAACAGATAAGAGATTTAGATAACATTACAAGATCCACTATATGAAGGCCCCGTTTGGGATTGCTTTTTTGGGGCAAAAACCTGCTTCACTTTAAAGTTAAGCAGTTTAAGGTGTTTGGTAAAAATAAAATATCCTGATTATTTTAAAAGCAGTGCCCTTTGGACAGCAGCTTTTAAAAGCAGGCTCTGGGTGCTTTTCAAAGCTGCTTTCAAAAAAACAGAGATGAACTTTTAATGAATTTTTTTAATTCTCAAAATACCATCATTCATTTTAAAAAATGACACCACCTTCACTTCCACATCCAACTCCACCACTTGCACCACCACATTCACTACCTCCACCACCACCACCACCACCACATCCTTCTCCTCCTCATCCTCCGCCACCACCACCACAACCACCACCTCCTCCACCTCCACCTCCACCTCCACCACCACCTCATCCACCTCCAACACCACCACCACCTCATCCACCTCCAACACCACCACCACCACCACCACCACCACCACCACCACTACTACTACCACCACAACCACCTCCTCCTCCAAAACCTCCACATCCACTACCACCTCCACAACCAACACCACAACCACCACTATGCTGCCATTACCACCACCACCACCACCTCCACAATTGCCATCCCCACCACCACCACCACTACCACAACCACCAACTCCACCTTCATCACCACCACTACCTCCACTCCATCACTACCACTACCACCACATGATTAGTACATAACACTTTTAACATCATGTCTATTTTAGTCATTATTCACAGTTACAACAATTTTATATTAAAATTTACCAAACGGTTTTGAGACTGCTTTTTGTACTAACAACACTTTAAAAATATGTTTACCAAACATGGAGCTGCTTTACTTTACAGCTAATTATTTTCAAAGCACGACAGAAGCAACTTTTTTTTAAAGTGATAGCAATCCCAAATTGGGTTGAAGATCCATATTGAAAGATACATCTTGGTTGTCAAATTCAAATGCACCCTTAATTTTCATTTATTATTTTGGTAATAGTCTATGTCTAACTAGATGTTGACTTCGTTAAATGAGCTCCTAAATTAACATCATTAAATGAGGTCTTAAATTCAAATCCTCGAATGAACAAGTCTCGCCTCCAACTCCTTCGAGTGCCAAGTGTGGCAGCTATCTCAGATTGGATTTCTTTTACCTCCTTTAATGAAAGTTCTTATTGACCCGAAAAGATAAAAAAAGATTGGATTTCTTTTACAAAAACAGCCACCAATCTTAGATTGTGTTTGAATCCCTCGAATGACGTAGACTGGAAGGGGTAAGTAAATTCAAAATTAGAATTGCATTTATAATGACTTTAAATTCTCAATAATGAATCATTTTTCAGATTGAAAAATTTCACTGTACATTAACAGTGTAAGAACAGACATCACAGAGGGATCATGTATTAAAAATTGATCCCCACAGAAATGAACACAACTAATTTGAATAGCTGACTGGCTTTAGATACAGGATTGCTACATTTGTTCATTGATGTTTCACGGCCACCAAAGCAATGGCTCTTGCAAGCTGACGGAAATAAAATATTCACGGAACTGGCTACAGTAAAGTAACTCATGAAGACTCCACTTTGACTGCGGCAGGAGGATCCATCCACTTCCAAACAGAAAGGAGACCAGTTGCATCCCCACTGAAGAATAGTCCTCCAGGTCCTACCTTGACCGTCCGAACTTCTTGTTTTGCAAATAATCTGCCTCTTTCAGCGAATGACGGCAGTTCATATATGCGGACAGAATTATCATTGCAAGAGGAAAGCAAGATTGGCTTGCTTTCTGGGTCTGTCATACCAGCAAGATCAAGAACACCGTGCTCTTCATTGTGAGTGTAGGTCACTTCCAAACCGCCTCCTTCAGTGGCAGCCCACACCTTTATCGTATCGTCCAATGAGCATGAGAGCAAAAACTGATCCCAACAAAGAAGAGACATCACCACGCCAGAATGCCCATTTAGTGTCAGAACTTCCTGCAAAGTATAAAGGTCCCACACCTGAAACAAAAAGAACATTACAGTGAATTACCCTAGGACTTCGAATACAGAAGCACTCCATAATCAGATCATTGGAATTTTCTTTATTAAAATAAAAACACCACACAAAAACAAACTAAAACAGAATAAATCATTTTGCTCTTTTGTAAATGGGGAAGAGGACATATAGTAGACGCTGACAAAACTTGTTTGTAGATTCCACAAACTTACCTTAATTGTATGGTCCACAGAACCCGAGTAAAGCCTGTTGCGCCCAACAGTCAAACATACCACAGCACCAGTGTGGCCTTTCAGAATTGCAGCAGGCTGAAATGGCGGATTAGTTTCAGTGCTACCTTTCCACACACATATATCACCATTCTGCAATATTAAAAGAAACAGATAAATCAATTGAAAACGGTGCACTATGAATAAAGGGAGGAACATACATCCTAAAAGCCCAGCTATGAAATAATTAGGAAAGCGGCAGAATTGTTAGGCTCTTTACCTGTGTCCCGGCGAAAAGCATTGCATTACCAACCACCATTGCATGTACTTGGCCAACAGGTCCATCCAGGTTGAATTCAGAATTTGTCTCAGTATTCCAAACCTGCAACATCAAGCAAAATCAGCATACATATGGAAGTTTAACCGACCAAGCTACTAAAAAAAAGTACTCCAGTTACAACAATGAAATACCTTAACAAGATTTGTTACACCAGCAAAAACCCATGGGCCCTCACTAATTAAAGAACCTGCTTCACCACCAAGATCAATCACACTGCCACATTCACCAGTATGGCAGTCCCAAACTCTAGCTGATCCATCTTTACTGGTTGAATAAAGCTTGTTAGTTCGTTCAGGAAGGGCAATACCAGTGATAGCCTGTTAACATAAATTTCACAATTATTATGACTGTCCAAACTCGGAAATAAAGAGGAACAGAACACATTACTTCCAAAATTAAAAATACCTTCGTGTGCCCTTGGAGCTTTGCCAACATGGAGAATCCCTCACCACGGAACCAGTTATGCAAATACAGGCATCGATCACCTTTCACACAATTTCCATCTACCCAGAACTTGCAGACATTTTTCTGAGTAGGATTGCTTTTCTGGGCAGCATTGCTTTTCTGAGGAGCATTGATTTTCTGAGGAGCATTGCTTTTCTGAGGCGCGTTGCTTTTCTGAGGCACATTGCTTTTCTGAGTAGCATTGCATGCATTGCCCTTTCCCGTGGCAGTTCCGTCCTTCGTCCAAACAAGAGACGACTTCTTTGAAATTTGAGGGTTCATGGATGAAGGCGGTGCATCCGCGTGCAGGAATCGACAGAATTCCCTTGTGCACCTTCCAGCAGCCCAAAAGGAGCAAACGGTTTTTGAAGGTCCTCCTGCTGGTCGAGCATACACTGATCTTTCTGGTCTAGTGGTGTGCCTCCTCACTACCTTAGTGGCCATACTATACACACAAATTTAGAAACCAATAAGAAATCGCACTGATAAAGCCTCGAAGAACACCCGCCAAAAGAGAAACCCTAACTATCAACACAACCCAGATTCTCAAATTCCAATATTTCGCCGATCTTCTAATAACCCTAAAAATTTACAAAACCAGTAAGCCTTGAAATCCAATTCGATGTACGATCACCCTCTAAGAATCGAGAAACTAGCGATGGCGGATTCTTCAAATCCTTTAAATCAATTCGAAAACTTTTCAAACAAACCAGTCACCGATCCCGAGGCGTATCCTAAACAACAATAAAAGTAACCCTAAAATCGAAACCCTAAATATCCAGCTTGAGCGTGCTGTATCAAACCCATAACCAAAAACCATTATCCTCGTGAAAGACGCGTTCGGCGAAAAAAATAGCCTCTTGGGTATCAATTAACGGTCGAAAAGGAACAAAACCCTAGAAGGAACAATGCGATTGCAGAGACGCGTGAAGAGAAGAGAAGAAGCAAACCTGATCGATTCGATTGGGCGAGAGCTTTGAGCTTTGAAGCGATTTGATTACCGTTTGGACTGATTTCGAAGCACAGTCGATCCAAATGGACGAACGATCAAAGAGAAAGAAAACGATTACGGAGAAAGAAAGAAAATGCCTTTTGCTTTCGTTGCGATTGAAACCCTAATTGTCAGCGAAGCTTTGATCGCACTGTCCTGGAGCTCCACTTGTATATATATAGTTAGCGTAGGCTGGACTTTCCTACTGGCGCCAGGAAAGATGTATTGCGTTTGTCTGACGCGGTGATCGTAGAACTCATTGTGACCGTTCGATATGAATCAACTAGTCCTGGCCGTTGATCTATTTATTTTTGCCCTTTTGTCTCTTTATTTTTAAACCAAACTAGCTTTCGGACCCACACAAAAAACGATTGTTAAAAAAAGCAAATTTTTTGTTTGAAATTATCTAAAACATTTTCACCCGTGCCTGTGGATAATCATAAAGCAAAAATATAGTGGATCATTATGCTTGTGTTTAATAAAATAAAAATATTTAAACTCAAGGAGTTAAAAGGTTTATTTGTTTCGAGAGAATTGATATATAAGTCAACTAAATTTAGTCTTGTGGAAAAGGAGTTTGATTTGAATATCAATCGTTTCAGGTTTGAAACTACCTTGACACCTTCTAAAGTTTGGCAAAAAAAAGTATAGAGATTTAGGTAACATTACAAAATTAAATTATTTATTTAAACTATTATAATTCATTGCCGAAAATAAATTGAGAAAAAAGAAGAAGAAGAGGAAAACATCCTTGTGTATAGTTAAATTCATTTAAAAAACACTTAATCTAGTTTTATCAAATCCATTCAATCAAATGTTGTCTAACTTTTTCTTTGATACTCCATCCAAATGTAGTGAGTTTGATGTAAGAAAAAAAGAAAGTAAATTTGTGTTTTAATTTTAGTTTGAAAAGTAGCATATTGAATATTTAACTTAAAAATAAATTCATATTCTTTTTTATTTTATTTTACAAACAAATTCAAATGACCCTTTGTTTGTGTTGATCTCAAACATTAGAAAAGGAGAGGATTGTGCTTTGAAACAAAACTTGGATGATAAGAAAGATCTGGATTGGGAAAATAGGTCAAAACGTGAACTTGTGCTTTAGAAATGTAATTGTGATGGCTTGAGAGTTAAGTTGGATCTTGGAAGTATGATGTTAGCTAACCTAAGCTTAGAATCAAAGAAAAGAAACTCAAGGTTGAAATTTGTTGCTAAATACACTCAGACAATGTGGTTGTTGGTTTCAATTAACATCTCTTCTTCTGCTTGGATGCCAGTCATGGGAAGAAGCTGATCAAGGCTTGACCTGCTAATCTTATTCCACTCATTTTCAACCCGAAAAAATATCCATTGAAAGCGCCGAAGAATCTCCAATGCAGTGATTGTAAACACTGTCAAGTAGTTGTGACGGAGATGAGAAGACAATTTGTACGTCCATGTGCATCGCAGAACCAGGTTGCTTCCTATTACCCAGAAATATACCTGCATTATGAAGGGGAGATAACATCTCCAGTAAAAGCTCTGTCTACCGGCACGTAACGGTGTCTAACTCACTAACCCCTTACCCATTTTCGTCCATAGAACATGTTCGAAAGCATACTCGATCTGCTGAACTTGAAAATCCGAGAGAAACCACTGTCAAGCAAGGGGTACAGTTGAGATTGAAGTGAGAAGATAATATAAAGGCTTCAAAATGGTTGAGAAAATAAACATACCTCAAGTCCCAATCTCGAGCTATATCCCAGTAGAAGGAATAGAGGGAGTTAACAACACTTGACAGAAGCCAAAGTGGGGAGTAGAAGTTTGTCCACCTATCAGGGAAGACATGATATTTAAGGGCCGAAAGAAAAATCACTGGGACCGCAGTCGAATATTTTAAAGCTGAAAAGCAGAGTTGTATGGTGTTAAAAAGATATGACAGTGTTAGCAGAAAAAGAAAGTAGAGCTGAGGTAACTATTTTTCAAGCTTGGTTGCAATTTATCTGACAAGAAAAGAGAGGAGAAGCCAGAGCATTTAACAATTCACCAGAATCACAACTATAGATAACAAGCACTCAAACTACCAAGAGCTATTACCATTGAAAAGGGTTGTCTTTTCTTTTGTATCCTTGAATTGACGAAGACATTGAAATAAACGGCAAAGATAAGGAAAAACAAGCACTAGAGGGATTGCAATTGAGTGGCTGCCACAAACTGAATCAGCTTCAAGCCATGCGATAGTGGCAACCTGCATAATAAAAGAAATCTCATCTTAATTATATCTGCTAGATCAGGAGAAAATTCACACATATAGCGCAAAGGCTAAAATCAAACGAATCAGAATTGGACTTGCAGATGGACAAGTCCATTAATAAACGATGCAGAAACACGAATCAGAACTCTAGATATTAAAAGAGGAATGGAAGAATAATCCTCCCAAAAAAACCAAGGTTAGTTGGATTTTGACAATTGACATGCATAAGGAATGAATTCAATGCTAGAACAATACCTGCCTATGAACCATTCTACAAACCGAACGTTCCAAATCAGAAAACACCTGTATCCAATTAATAATTAACAATCACAAGAAAAAGGAAGGATAAATGCAATTAATCTTCTAAGAACCAAATTATTTCAACAGTAACACTCTGAAGGTAAGATGAGAGATTGGAAAGTAGCAACTTAGATTAAACACAATATGTTTAATATTAAATTGACAGAGTGATGGATCAAAGAGAAACATGTGATGGTTTTTAGACAATTACTATAAGAGGCATAGATTCATACCTTTGCCATAGAAGTAAGGATATCAGCCAAAAAAAAGTCGGGAAATGATATTGCCTGCATTTTGTAAAGATCAAGTTCATTTAAGCGACAAAAATATTAGCACTATGAATTTCATCCACCAAAAGGTGAAAATATCCATGTGTTGACCCATGCTGTTTTGAATAGATACAGCTTTTTTCCCCCTCTGATTTCCTCTAATAAGTTTTCCATGGTGGATTATAAGCACACAATTAAAAGATCAAATACTTATTGTACTTGTGCACCCAAAAAGCAAAATAAAACTTGTCAATTTGAAGGAACCTCAAATTTTTAACTTATGCAATCTTGTCAAACGTTGAGTACGATTAAGTCCTGAGGGAAGACGTGCAAGCACAACAGTCCATATTATAAAATTTGCCTAAAGACAAATTTTTATGTGTAAAATGTGCCTCTGTCAAGTACCACAGATGCAAGCTACACGACAAACACTTGCCTGCAATGGAAGAGCTATCCTCCATAGTGTCCTTAACAAGAAGTAACGAGATGACAAATAGAAAATATCAAAGGGGGATATCAGAACCATAGCAACAGCAATATACAGGGATACCTGCAACAAGTATATAGACCACTTAGAAACATTTATCTGATGTGGAAAATAGAATGTCTAGGCTAGTGAGGCATGATTCTAATACCATAAAACAGAGGCACATAAAATACATACAAAAGAACATATATTTGTAAGTTGTACAGCATGATGCAGAGAATTTGCTGCATCACACAGATTCCTAAGACATAATAGCAGACAATATCTCAAATAAAAAAACCATGAGAGTGATCAATATCTCAAACACATCAAAATATTAGAGCAAGGTAAATTAAAAAAAACCAATGAAAACTACTGTCGTAATCATGCAATCAAAATTCAAGGAAACCAAATCTAGAAGCAAGTTTAAGAGACAAGGCGGATAATACACTGGTTGTAATGCTGCCAATGATATATTTCCATTGGAGTAAAAATAAAGGTATGCGGTCATGCTAGTAGGGACAGTGATTGTCATCCAAGTGCTACACTGCATATAACAAAACCAAACAATTAGAAGCTCAGCACCAGGAAGGTAAAAGGAGAAAAAGAAACATGCATTAACTTCTGGTGATATTAATAAGGTCAATTGGGATAAACATACAAGTATAGAGTAACTTATTTGACATAATAATAAGAAATGGAAACAAATATTAAATGATGCAGTTCATGAATGGAAGAAGGGACAGATTGCTTTGAGAAGGTAATCACTTACGTGTCACAGGGAAAAAAGGTCACTTATACGTGGTCACTTAGACATTGAGTAATTAATCTGGATTTGCAGTAATGGAATAATATTTTATGTATCTCATAATTGAGTGGTGTAAAGAGAAGAGGCCTAATATAAGAGTTTAGACCAGTAGAGACTTTGAAGGAGCAACTCAGCAGGCCTTGATGTTTTGCACAAGTGTGCACAAATCACATGGTGTAGTAAGGATCTGCCTTGGTGATGCTCAAATTACATATACATGCATACAAGTAACATGCACAAGCTCGTACATTGGAACACATGTGCATGCATATACAAATTGTCCATGTGTAAATCAAGATTGAACAATTCCACCCCGGCCTAAAATTATAGAACCTAATTCCTGAAAAACTTACCTTAACCTGTTACTTTTTGTTGTAAAACTTACTGTGCACTATAGTTCCATATTAAAGGCACCATTTGGGAACTAATGCATAAATCTTTAGAGAAATGGATTAAGATTTCCACCAAAAATCTGGATAGGTGGTGGTTGCAAATTTTGTTTCTTGCATATAGAGGATCAAAAAAGGCCATTCAAATATTTAACCTCAGCATAAAATTTAATGTTTAATTACAGCCACAAAAGATAAAGAGACCACAGTACCTTCCATATTTCTTTGTGAGTGAGGTGATTTTGATCAAGATCAAATATTTTTGCATAACCAACATTGGACTGTGAAAAAACCCATAAGTTAACTCCCCAGAGCCAAACCATCAAGGTCTGCAACAAAAAGAAAAGAACTACAGATAAGCTGCTATAAAAATCTTTATCTGGAATTAATAAAAAAGAAGTTAAAAAAATACTAAAACTCACCACTATGAGGAGAGGGTTATAATACAAAAACACCTCATATAAGAACAAATTACGCAAATCTGCACTCATCCTCATGACAGAATCCCATCCAATCTGTTTGAAAAGAAGAATTCAGTAGTAACTAAATGATAAAAAGTCTCACCATACAATGCCTTAAAAGTATCCATAACCTCCTAAAAGTATATCGAGAACAGAAGGATTAACACTGACCTTGCAACAACTGAATCCCCATATCATGAAAAGTAGTACCTGAAAGGTTAATGTGCTAAATGTTCAATAATAAAGATGAAGATCAATGCTATAAGCTTGCAAATGACATAATTAAAAAAATAAAAGAAACCAACCTTGAACCTCCATAAAAAAGCCGGAGATGGAAATATTGCAGCACTATGTAGCTGTGAACTTGGACTCTTCATCTCTTGTGTGTTATATCTAGGGTCAGGTGTGCCTGAAAAATTTCTTATAAAATAAATAATCTTAAAAATGTTTTCAAATTAAGAAAAGCAAGACGAATTTATTACGACCCAAAATAAGGTTCAAGTATCAAAAGGGCACCGAGCTTGAGTATTAAAACATTGGTCATACACAAATCATATAATCTAACAGGATAAGTAATTTACAGAAGCTACGAAATTTGAACACAAAATTACTGTTTAAGATTTTGTCCACCAAAGAAAAAGCAAGCTCAGCATTTCTATAAGTATTAAGCTCTGCTAAAAAAGGCCATGTACGGACATACCGAACATGGCAAAGATCAGTACCAGAGACACATACCCTGAAACCCAGATAGAGAAATCGGCAAAAGTCACAAATTGACGATCACCCACCCATCAGCATTCCGTCTCTAATGACCCCAAAAGAACACAATGGCTTACTAAGAGAATGCAAGGCAATGTCTTTTCTTCTGGGTAAATCACAGAATGCAATGCAATGTCGAAATGGTTGCACATTTTTCTTCAGAACATTTATAAAAAAATTCAGTAACTACATTTTGAGCAAAAAAATTACAAGATTGTCGCTAAATGAGATCATGCATGAGAACTTTCTGGATCAACTTTGAGGAAATTGGAAATGGGTAAGAACATGTAAAATAAAAGCAAACCAAAAATGATAATACCAGCTTCTTCTCACTGCATGAAATTTGGGTCCAAATAAACAGGGATGATACATCCCCTTTGTTTTTGTCTCCTTCATTTTAGAGTAACACAGGCGCGGCACGTGGCCTCCAACATTTCGACGACAATACATAGAACGAAACGACATAGAAACACTTGAAGCTGCTATACTGCTAGTAAAACCCCATTGCTTGTTCTCTCTCTCTCTCTCCCAAAAACCAAGCCAACTCTCAGAGTGGCACACACGGCAATGGCGAGCTCACTAGAAGAGGCCAAGCTCGAGCGGTTTCTCCGGTGGTTACAGGTGGCCATATGTTTGCATTCTCCTCTAAGCTTTCATCACTGACCAAATACTGCAACTGTGTTTTTGATCATTTGGGTTTTCGAATTCAGGTTAATGGAGCGGAGTTACGTGGGTGCAAGATCAAGTACTCTGATTCCAGCAAAGGGTTTGGCATTTTTTCGTCTAATGAAGTTTCTGATGGTAACTCAGCTCTTTCTTTTACGCATAAGTTATTGGGTTTTTGTTTGTCTATGCTTTTACTCATTTTGTTGTCTGAAAACTTCGAATTTGAGTGTCAGATAGTGCATTCTTTAAGAACCATATGGAAAAATAAACCAAAGCATTCGATTTCTATGGGTATTGGGTTGGACGAACCTTATCAACTAGTACTTCAACTCAAATTTGGGCAATTTGATCAAATATGTATGATAATTTGAGTAAACATGGACATAAGTTCTTAACCCCCGAATGAAAGGTTGGGCAAACACGGGTTAGAGTCTATCTGACTTGAGCAACATGAGGAGTTCGTTTTAAACAATAAGCATTTCATGTTTCATATGGTTCTTTGTCTAAATTATTTACAGATACAACTTATATACAACAAGTTTCGTTTGTTTAAATTAGGTATTGAAGATTTTTCTTTAAGTTTTTTTTTGTGCAATCTGCTCAAGATACTTTGATTTGGGCAACCCGAGAACTTACTTGGGAAAACATATGCGAAACCCCCAGGAATTCTGTTCCTTGGGCAAGCATGGACATATCTCCTAATTCAGCCAACCCACTCACGTCCACCCTAGTTAAGAATCCATGGGTAAAATGTGTCCCAATAAAATCACACTATAAGAAAAGGGTCCCAAAAATTTCACATTCTAGTTTAAGATGTTCTATCTTTTTTTAAAATGTGTGACATTCTCGGTTGCAACACTCCGAGATTAGAGCATAGTTTTGATTTATTTTTTGAAATAATTTCAGGGGTTCTATTAGTTGTTCCTCTGGATTTAGCAATAACTCCTATGAGAGTTTTGCAAGATCCTCTTCTTGGACCAGAATGTAGAGCAATGTTTGAGGAAGGAGATGTAGATGATAGGTTCTTGATGATTTTGTTTCTAACAGTGGAGCGTGTCCGCAAGAATTCTTCTTGGAAGCCGTATGTATAGAATGCATTTTGTTGAATGATCAATTACAAATTTTCTCGTTTCTTTGTTGGCTGAGCTTCAGTTGGGATAACATCAGGTATCTTGATATGCTTCCGACTACTTTTGGCAATCCACTATGGTTTACTGATGATGAGCTTTTGGAGCTAAAAGGGACAACATTGTATAGAGCAACTGAATTGCAGGTAAAAGATATTCGGGCATCTGGCCATGACATTTAAACACTAACTTGTAGATTGTATACATGTACATGCTGTATAATGTGGAAAATTCCATGCAATGATGGTTCATTATGGTCTTCTAAGATGATGAAAGGTATAGATCGGGCTTTTTGGTAGCAATTGTAGTTTTTGTGATGTTGATACTGCCATTTGTAGGGGCTTTTAGATTGAACTTGATTGATATTCATGCTGAAAATTGCTTCTATGTGGTTTCACACTAAGCTCAATAGGCTTCCCAGCATACCAAAGCTTTGTTTGTTTTATGTGGTTTTACAAAGTATCTAATTATTTAGTTCTGTCAAATATGGTTTAAGTAGTTTATATTCTTTGTGTAGTATATGTGACCAAAGACAGGTTTATCTTACAGAAGAAAAGCTTGCGGTCTTTATATGATGGTAAACTGAAGACTCTGATGGAGAAATTGTTAACTCTGGATGGGGATTTAGAAAGGTGTGTCAGAAAATTGAATTTTTTTCCCTTATAATTATCAAAGGAGAATGAAATTAGTTGGTCCTATCGAGTCATTTACATAATATATGTTTCTTACTAGATTTTCAGGGCATGTAAGTATTTATTTCAGCAATCACAGAGGTACTCTATGACATGAATGATTAGTTTAGTAATAATTAATTTTATACCTTTTGGTCATTTTGTTAGAAATTCCAATACTGATATTCTAATTATCCTGCATCATTCTCATTTTGAGCTTCTCGGTAAACGCTTAGAATAAAGTTAAAGGTTTGTGCAAATCTTTTCTTGTGGTGATTGTACTGTCTTGTTTCTTGTCCTAATTAATGTTTGGATCAATAAATAAACTGCTGATGCTGAAATTATGTGAAAACATTATTCAGAATTTTTGATACTCAGACTTTGGACCACAATTTATCATGTAGTCTCTCCAGTTGGTGGACCTATGTAGTTTCATTATAGAGTAATCAGGTGTCTGTGTGCTTGTGCTGCTTTTATATGAACTGACCCTTCTCTTTAAATTTAATGGTCCAAACTCTTGAAGTCTGGTATTTGATGGCGGACTGTCCATCTTTTTTTGCAAATAAGCTTTTATCTGACTTAGTAGTGAATAGTGTGTCATATAATCTTGATAGATGCTATCTAAAATTACATGTTGAACGACATTGTCGATAGTTATATGCATTTTCAATATTACTGTGCTTAGTTACTGATCATATACCATACCTGTTGCTTCTTTTTCAGAGATGTTTGCTTTGCAGATTTCCTTTGGTAGGTACCATCTTCGTGAATAATCTGATGATTTTTCTAATTGAATCCTCTTCTTAATTATGTATGTTCATGGTGCTCTACACCTTTGTTCCTTATGCTTCACAATTGGCTGTCATGCTAGGGCAAATTCTTTGTTTTGGACCCGTGCTTTAAATATTCCCCTTCCCTATTCCTATGTATTTCCCCAAATTCAAGAAAACAAAAATGATAGTGCTTCAGATGGCAAAAATTCTGAGGTTTCTACTACTCATATTTGCATGGAAGAGTTGGCTAATGGAATGGATGAAAAAGGTAAAGTCATCCTTGGCTGATGCTTTATGAGAAATCTTCCAATATACTTTAATCATTAGATACTTGGTGCTTGATTTGGTATTTCATGATATAAAATGTTCCTATTCGTACTAATAGTAGTGCTTTCTCTATTTAGGATGCCAGGTTGAAGGGGTTGATATTCAAGTCAATGGAGTGACATCCACATCAAAACAAAAAGAGACTGTCTGGGTGGAGGGTCTTGTTCCTGGCATTGACTTTTGCAACCATGGTATGCTAGTTGCTTATCAAGTCTATGAAATTTTAGAAATTTTTATTTTCTGAAATCCACAATATTCTAATAACCTTTGTTCAAGGGTGAACTCCTCTAAATCATGGAGCCCTTGTAGTAGTTCAACTCATTTGATTCTAGCGAATACTGGAGCCTGAACTTGTTTTGTTGTCTTATTTTACGTACCAGTATACCATGAAGCTTAGGATACGGATGGAACCATATCTTGGGGAGAGAGAGAGAGAGAGAGAGAGAGAGAATCTTCATTTCCTTATATGCTTGCAGTATACCTTACCAGCTGAAATCATGTGGCTGTTCAGATCTAAAGGCAGCAGCAACGTGGGAAGTTGATGACACTGGATCAACAACTGGAATTCCTTTTTCTATGTACCTTCTTTCTGGTAGTATTCTGTTTCTTTCAGCAGCTCGTAGCTAATTTTTCTTGCTGAAAATCAATATTTTTATGTTGTAGGTAATCATGAGATCTCGTATTGGTTTCATAGGGTACATGTTTTATGCAACCGCGACTGTTGCTATTGAATTTTCACAATACTTGTTTGCATTCCTCCACTTCTGTTCTTTTTTTCTATGTAACTGGGTTATGAGATCCCAAAATGGTTTCATTGTGTATACATATTCATTTTGACAATTTCTTATGAAGTTTTACTAGTTTTCATTTCTTTTCGTTGGTTCAATTTGCTTGGTTATCTTACTTATATTCCTCTTCTTTTTTCCCCTTCTATTTGAAAGCTGTACAACCTTTGCAGATTCAGGGAGAAATTTCTATAAGTTATGGTAACAAAGGAAATGAGGTATTGTCTGTTGTCATTTGATACCAAACTTACTTTTAGAATGTAGTGCTTTCTCTGCATACCTCTTAACTGGTGACTTGCTCTTCTTCCTTGTAACTTAACATAATATCCCCAAAGTGGTTGGTTGCCTTTGCCCTCTGCTTGTATTCTGGAATTGTGTTTCATTTGTGCTACTTCTTGCATTGCGTGTGAACTTTTTTTTATCCTTTGAGCATGCATTCTCGTTTGGAAAACTCTATTTCAAACTACTTTGTCTCTGCTTAGTGCTATCCCAGATCATGTTTTTCTCATCCACTTCATCATATGAAAAGCTTCATCAACTTTCTGAATGAGAGCCATTATGTTGTGTTTGATGCAGGAACTACTTTATCTCTATGGTTTCGTCCTTGATGGTAATCCAGATGACTATCTCATGGTAATGCCTCTATATTGGATTTAGCTTGTGTGGCCTTGTCTTGAATGTTCTTTTGTTAGTTAAATTAATGACTCTTAGTGGTGATGTTGTTTCAAACTTGATTCAAAGAAGCTTAACCTTCACTCTTTGGTGTTGTATGTGTGGAATTTTTATACCTGTTTCTGTCATTTTGTTCCATCTAGGGCCATATTTACTGTTAACGAATTGCTTTGAGCTGACTTGGTACATGCATAATTAATGGTAGGTTGTTTATTCAGGTCCATTATCCAATGGAAGCAATTCAAAGTGTTCCCTTCTCTGACTCAAAATCACAGCTTCTTGAAGCACAGGTCAGCTATTGTTTGCTTTTGAATTTCATTAATTCGAGGAGGAAATCAACAGTGCGAGTCAAAATTTAAGGGGATCAATGGAGAAATTTCTGAATTACTTTTTCGTTTCCAAAGAAAATGTGATTTATTATTGAAAAACGTGGTTGTTCACAGAAGGCCGAAATGAGATGTCTGTTACCTAGAAGTTTACTGGATCATGGCTTTTTCCCAGTAGACATCTCAAATAAAGAAGGGGATGATAAGTGCAAACTTGACCATGTTTGTAGCTATAGTTGGAGTGGTCAGCGCAAGATGCCAACATACTTACACAAATTGGTTTTTCCTGAGAACTTCTTGACAGCCTTGAGGACCATAGCCATGCAGGAGGATGAGCTGTTTCAGGTTTCATCTCTGCTGGAAGAGGTAAATATTCTTTACGTATGTAATTTCTTGCATCAAAAACCTTGCCATTTCAGCTTTTACTAGCTAAGCATATACATAATGGTGTTTCAGTAAGTGGGTCACATGAAGACTTAAACATTATTTCTTTTTCTTTTTATAAAATAAGAAAGAAGACTTCATAAAGAGGAGGAAAAGAAAAGTAAATTTGAAACTGAAGATGTGCTCGTTAATATGGCACACCATTTAGTGGTCAAATCCTAAATTTGTAGATCTATCAGGTTACATTCTTGTCTTCACAATGGTTTATGTTAGAACTTAATGTTTATCATAAAGTGAAGAGCTGGCTGAAGCAACAAACTAACCTTGCAATGAAAGGCTTCAGGCCTCGAAGAATATAAGCTTTGAGAAAACTGAAAATTTTACCGTTTATGTAAATGGTTATTCCTTGGGATGGGATCTAGGATTATATGTTGGAAGATCATTCTTCTTTTACTTAAGTATTAATTTCCAATGGAAATTGTGAGAAATTATGACTCTTTCAAAAATATAAATTTAAACATGTTTGTGAAAGAGTGGTGATTCAATAAGAGAGTTAATGAAAGCCGTGCAACCTGTCACATATGCTTAAAATATTTATATCAAAGTGAAGTTACAATGGGCATGTCTGTTTTGAATCATTTGCTCCCTGATTATTACCCCAAGTTGAATCTCTTATTTGAAGCTTGTAAGATCTGGAGGGGGGAGGCAACCATCTGATTCAGAAGTTCGAGCAGCTGTATGGGAGGCTTGTGGTGATTCCGGAGCTTTGCAATTACTCATTGATCTTCTTAACGTGAGGTAACCAGTAGAAACCATCATCAAATGTTAGTTCGCTGATAATTTAGCAACATATTTAGTAAGGGTGAAACTTCTCAAATCTGCGTGCCTCCACTTGTAACATGAATATGAGATCCATCAGAAACTGGCATGATTGCACAAATCCAAGGGCTAAAGGGCTATTTACCACCTATTGTCCAAAGAAAAAAAAAGTTATATAGTTGGCTACCTAACCAAATTTTTGTATGCAAGGTTGACGGATCTTCTAGAATCTTCTGGTACAGAGGACAGCGACACCAATTTGCTTAAAAATGCACATATTGTTGAAAGTGCAAACCAGCATACAGATGAGAACAGTTTAAGGTACCATCTTTTGACATTATGGTTGTTTTCTCACTGCAATAAATTAGTCATTTTAAAGTTGAAACAAATGTTGAGTATTGCTGATCTTTTTGAGAGCTTAAGCTGCCCTGTGTCTACCAATCTAAGATGTAAAGTGATTTTTCTTATGTGCATTCAAATTCTAGGATATGATAGACCAAATATCCTACAAATAACAAAAAGGTGTCTTCATATGCCAACTCTTTGTCTTTAAATTAGTTTTTTCCAGTTCCAACATCAGAAGGAACTTTTGAAATTTTAAGTTTTTTATGTGATGTTGGAAGTAGGAGCACTTCATAAGTTACATGCTCACTCTTATAAATAGAAAGGATGTGATCTAAATTCAAACTACAAATTTCCCTAGTATTTTGTATTTTGCGTCGACGCGATCGTTATAGTTTTCTATCTCTAACTTCAATTGTCTCCTTTCCCAACACAAAAAATCTTGGGAGAGAAACTCAACATGCTTGTTAATCTGGGATTTCTCTTTTCTTTTGCTGGCTGCAGTCAAGAGACAAATGGCAGTGACTGTACACAACAATACAAGTTGATGAGTAGAAACGTGTGGGCTAGTATTGTATATAGAAGAGGGCAGAAGCAACTCACTCGATTATTCCTTAAGGAAGCAGAACACGCCCTGGAATTAGCCCTCAGCGAGGGCAACTAATTGTTTGCATAAATTCTTGCTTTACTGCCTACTTTAGCCAGCCTTTGCAGGCAGTGATGTACTGTGAAGAAGCTGAGTTTTGACTCTTTGTTTCTTGTAATTATTCTTTCTGGTGCATTTCTACTCATCATGTATTGATTTTTTCCGTCTACTAAGGCACTAAAGTTTTCCTTCCCAACTTCTTTTGGTTACTGTAGAGGATGCTATGGTCAGTTGCTCATGCACAATTGCTTACTCGAACTCTTGTATACTAAGAACTTTGCCAACTCTGCTATGGTCAGTTGCCCATGCACAATTGCTTACACGAACTCTTCTTTTGTTCCCTGTGAAATGTAAAGAGCTGAAAATTGCCAACTTTGGTGCCAACCATTCTGGTAACCACTTGAATAAACTATGCAGGGATTTGTGGTCTAATGTATATTGATTGTTAGACATTTAGTCAATAGTGTAGGCCTTTTATCCCTTATATTTAGGGCGAGACAAAATAGAAAGGAACGGGAAAATTGCAGGCCACATTGTTCACAGCCCATAACTTCTGCATATACCCAAATATGCGGTGTAGCATACAAAAACATTCCTAGGCACACAAAGGCCTCCAAAATTTTTGAAATTAGATGGTCTACTCTTTCTCTTGCATGTTGTCTTCAGTTTTCTAGGCCAGCTATATTCTTAAGTGCCCACCCCAAGGCGTAAGCAGCAGCTGCAGCAATGGCTCCATTTAAGAGAGTAACAGCCACAGAAAATGTGTAGTTCTGGCCTGCAATCTTGGCCTTTGCAGCCCCGAGAAGCGCTAGGGCAAGCGCAGACAAGATACAAGCACCAACAAACTTAACCGAGTCGTTGTTCGTAAATGGGATGAGGATGATGAAGGAGAGGAGAGGAGCACTGCCAAACACAAGGAAGGCTGCAAATGTGACCAGGCCATTCTTCCATGGCTTTTCTGCTTCATCGGGCTGTAGCATTCCATGAGCCATCATCTTCTCATGCACCATGATGTTATTGTATTTGGCGAAAATGTTCACAACCTAGTCAAAGCAAATTGAGTTCCAGCTACTACATTTTAGTCCCAATGCATATACAATCTTAAACAAGTTGAGCATCACATTCCCATTATATTCAAAATTCCTCAACTTTTTTTATTATTTATAATCTCTATTGCATAGGCTTTTCAAAATTTGTTCAAACATGTCTTTAAGTTCTAGAGGAAGATCTAGCATACCGTAGTTGCGTCATTAACATCCATCCCAAGTGCTTGATATCGCCGAAGCAACTCCACCAGCTCCTCAGGGCCACTGTGATTAGCGACATCCCATTCAGTCACCGCCTGTTCTTTGGCGGCGACATCCTTTTCACTGCTGCTGGACATAAAATCTCCAAACCCCATTGATATCCCATCTGCCACCAGGTTTGCAAATCCAAGCACCAATACATCCACTACAAACACACAGTTGTAGATGCTAATTATTATAGTCACTTTGGTCGTCTACATTCATAAAAGCTCTACCACACTAAAAGTATGTTGATTATTTTCACCTGGGTTTTGTTTTCTGTATCCTTCTTTTGGGTTGTAAGACATACATATAGAACCAATACAACTTCAAAGGGCTATTCACCAAAAAAATTCCCATAAAAAACTTGGATCTCAACTAACATGTTAATTAGCTGGTGTTCTGTTTATGCATTATTTATACTTCGGACCAGTTTCTTGCTTCAATAAATTTGTTACATTGAGGCATAATATACAGATGTCCTAACATTAATTGCTCTTTCCACACAGACGTGGATTAGGCTAGTTGGTCAGGGCAGTGCGCCTGCCCCTTGCACCTAAGTTCGAGTCCCCATCCCGTAGATGATTAGATTAATTTAGAGTAGTTTAGATTATCGCTTGCATTAAAAATAAAAAAAATTTCTCTCAGGATTATCAAACACAATGACAATTCAAACCAATCAAGATCAATGGCAATATTAGAAGCAAATTCTTCAGGTCATGGGAAATACAAAACCCAATACACATTTTCATTTTCAAGAAAACTTTTAAGACAAGAGGAAATTAAAGAAAGAAAACTATGATTTCTTACCAGAGGAAATACGACTAGCAGAGATAGAGGAAATGAGAGAGAAGCAAGTGACAATGGCATCAAGACCGGCATACAAAATGCTTTTGGCAGACTCCCCTTTCCATGGCTCTTTTGGTCTCTCACTCTTCTTGGTAATATAACCTCCATTACTATTATTGCTAGTTTCTTCAGCTCCAATAATAATCTCCTCTCCTTCGACTAGCCTGCTATAAGCTGCATCAGCCATTTTGTTTTTTCGAACTCTTTTTGGGGCCAGTTTTCTACTGTTTTACTGTTCCAAATACTTTTCACAGTTTATGCATCAGCTGGGTAAACAAAGATGAAGATGAAGTCAGCCAAAGGAACCCAAAAAATAGAAGAAAAAGAGGCTGTGCCTGTGCGTTGTCGTTGTGCATGCAGTGCACGTGGCTTGCCACGTTGCCACCTGTATTACTTGATTGGTAGAGTGCCTTATCTAGTTCTAGGCCTCGTGGCTTTCTTGTCTGCCTCAAATGAAAAAAACTGATTATCTGGTTTTAGAGAGTGCAAACTGGACTAGAATGGAGAGGTTTTTTTAATTTATTTATTTACAAACATTTCTTGTTCAGAAGGGCGATAACATGTTAAAGTTACATACAATACATTATATGGATGCTAGAACTCGAACTCAGTATCTCTCTTAGAAAGCAATTGCTCCAAACCACTACATAATAATGGGTATTAAAATTATTTCAATTCTTTCTTCCTCTATATGTTTAAGACAAGTGAGTATTTGAACAATTCTAATTCCTTACTTCTCCACTGACATATATGAAATACAAAATTACGGGAGTTCTATAGTAAATTCATAATCAAATATCATTCAAACTAGGAATTAGATTAACTAGGAGGAGTACTTGATATGATTCCAATTCCTCATTATCAAATTCTTAAGTTCCCTACTTCATGACTTCTCCCATTCAATCAGAAATGGTCTTAGATATTTGAAATTCTGAAATTATATAAATTAATATGTAATGCAAAATCTAAAAAGGAAAATAATTGAACTGGAATCGTAAAATATATGATATTTTTATAAGTTGATTGAATCGTTAAAAAAAGAAGAAAATGAGTTTGATATTTTTATTTTCAACAAACGTTTCATTGGATTATAAAGAAAAATAAAATACTATTGAAGACACCGTTAGTAAGTATATTATTTCATCAAGTATAAATCCTCCAATCTATTAACTAACTAAATCATTGGTATGTCTCTCACTATGAAGAAGTACTGTCTTCAGTCGTTGCTCCGATTGCTCCCAATTCAGCAGGCGGTGGTGAGGGTGGCTTTTGAACAGGGGGAGGCTTAGGTGGCCTGTTTGGACCAACTTTATCAGCTACGTCTGGACGAATATCAAACTGCTACAGGCAGATCGTGTATCTTCCCCACCAACTCCCGTGTTACCATACCGCACAAAATAGGAACCTTACCAATTTTTTCAATTTCAACTGACTCTAGATCTTGAAATTCGCGAGGCACAGTCCGTTGACCAGTTTTTCGTTTCAGCTTCGCATATAGTTTATCAACTCGTTTGTTAAAATGTACGAGTCGTACAATGTATGTTGTTCCTCGCTTTATGACAACATTCCCCTTATATTTCTTTTTTATAAACTGTCTTTCGAATCCCTTGTTCACTTTTGCATTAATGTCATGTGTATACTTGTAATCATTTGTGTCAAAGAGGAAGAACAATGAGTTGGAAAGATATCTAGCTAAGGCATCGTAATGATCATCAAAAAGCGCTTGCAGAATCGGTTGGTCATATACCTTAATAGCATCTGTTTTTGTTACCTGAAACACACGCACATATCCACCGCTACATTCATCAAAAAGGGCTGCATATAATAAAGCCTTTATCAAATGCTGTAACAATTCATTTGAACTATGGACTTTCAGATTGCAACAATTCAAGTATTTCCAAACATATGGACCACCACTTCCACTTGCAAATCCCTTGCTAATCGAGGATTTGGATTCTCGCTTAAATTCATCACGACTAACTTCATATACATAAGGAACTTCATGCACATCCCAGCCACCCATAAGAGTAGACACCTTAATTCTATTCCCAGTTGATGTTTGCCCACGTATGTACTCTTTGGCTATTACTGGTGCACCATGAATGCCATTAACTATTTCCTCACGTTTGCTAAAGTAATCATTCACATGTTCTAACATTTGTCGACTATTATTGACTTTTCCCGCCCTAGTTGCAAATACATTGCAACTTTTCATATGCAAATATTTGTGTGACTCCTCTCCCAATATAAATCCTCTGTTCTCACTAGATGTAGTCCTCGAATCAACACAAATATATATTGCTCCACAACCTTCATTAGCGATAAAAGCGATGTTTGTTGTGCCACATCCCTCTTCCTGATAAAAATTGGAAATTTATTGGATAAAAATATATAAGGAAAAAAAAGAGAGAATATGCCTCAACAAGTATATGTGTACAGGTGGGTAGCATGTGCATGAAGAACAAATCCTTATGTATATGAAGTTAACAAAAAACAAAAAACTCACGAATAAGAGACCACAAAATCGAACAAGCCATGGTTCAAAGTTTAATCTTATATGAGTTAACAGAGTAATGTTGGTTAACTAGATGGACAGATGACCAAAACATAGGTAGGGAACAGCGAGGGTACGTAGAATTTGGGTTTTAAGATATATGAACGCATAAGTACACATGATAAATTTAACTAAAAAAAGTACGTATGATAGAAAAAAGAATAGTGGTAATGTCACAAACCTTCAACTCTTGGCTGGTTTTCTCCAAGTACGCATCAGCCATAATGCAAAACAAAAGTTCAACTGGGCTCCGATCACCAATTTGTTGTGAAACAGAAAGATAAGTTGTTTTGTAAGTTTGAAAAAGTTCCACAGGCGAACGCCATCCTTTTATAAAAGTAGAGTTGTTCTTTTAGGAAGTAAAAGAATCACTAAAACTTTCCATGCTTGAACCTTAAGAAATCAATAGAAATCTTACCATTTTGTTAGTAAAAAAAGAAGTCAACAGAACAGGAAATTAATTGAAAATAATTTCCATTAGGAACCCTACATGCAAAATAAGGAAAAAACTATAAGATGGGGAGACAAAAAAACATAGATAACTTTTCTGATCAAATCTTGTACCAAACCCCTCCAAGACCCGTTCATTTTCGCAAGCAATTTCCAGCTATAAGAGAAGAAAACTAAAAAATAAGAGCCTCGAGACCGAGCATTTTCTGGTGTAGCAAGGTTTGCCAGGATTTGTTCCTACTTGAGTTTTGCAAAATTGGTAAGAAACACTTGATTTTGCAGCAAGATAACCACATTAATTAACTTCCTTTTTTTGGACACAAAATATTCCTGCCCTAGTTTTTAATGATAATTTATTATTTAATCAAGACTGAAATGGTAAAAATAATATTTGGTTATTCAATCAACCGCCTATATTCCTGCTCTAGTACGAAACGCATTCTTTTTTTCTCTCACAATTCACCCTAAACTCAAACCTCCTGTTGTTTTTTCTCTAACAACCGCAAAGCCAAACACCAAGCTGTACACAGCCATGGACAACGTCTCATCTTTGGAGTGCCTGAAATTCGATTCCGAGTTGGAGGTGCTCGCTAAGGACGACGGCATGAAGAACCTTTTCTCACCAGCTATGATCCCCCTCAACTGCGATATGCCAATAATCGGTATATATGCCTTTTCTTTTAATTCAAGGGTGACCAAGACTATCTGCAATTTAATTATTTGTGCTTTAAATTTTACGCCTCGCCTTCTGTGTATGGAAAATTATATTTTTACCTTATGTTCTAGGCTCCTTTGTGCTCTTGATTTTTGTTTTTTGGGTTTGTGAGGAAGATTATATGAAATTTGTTTTAGGGTTTGTGAGGAAGATTATCACCCATTTTTCTTTTCTTTTTTCCTTTTTCATTTAACAATGTAATTGTATGTGAGCAGGGAGTAAGCCTGAAGAATCAGAGGATGAAGAATCAGAAGATGAAGAATCAGAGATTGAAGAATCAGAAGATGAAGAATCAAAGGATGAAGAAATTGGTATGCTTTTGAATATATTTTTTCTTTTTAAATAGAAGTGATAGTCTAACAATTTTATTGGTAAGTGATAGCCTCCTCCCTCCTCCCTCTAATATTCTTGGTAAGCTTTTGATTTTAGGGACAAAAAAAATGCGCTTGCAACTTATTCTCTATTCATACATATTCATCTTTTTCTCTCTTATGACATGATATTTATGTATTTGTTTTGAACTTCTTTGACATCGTCACTTCTTTTTCTTTTTCTTCTTTTTCTTTTTCTTTTTTGTATTAACACTATAATTGCATGGATACAGGGAGCAAGATTGAAGAATCAGAGTCTGAAGATTCAGAGGATGAAGAAATAACAAAGGAAAAACTTAGGAGTTTTATTGGTATGCTTTTGAATTTTCTTTTTTATTTTAATACAAGTGATAGTCTAACCTATAAGCAGAGGTGAATTTCTCACACACACTACCAAGGTGTCATGGGGATTCGAACTTGAGGCCATTGGTATACAAGTCAAAGTCATTTTCCACTAGACTAGACCCCATTGATTTATTGATTTTAGGAGCCAAAAACAAAAACAAAACAAAATGCGCCAGCAACTTCTCTATTAGACAGTCATTTTTTTTTCTATTATGACATAATATCTACGTATTTGTTGTTATCCTATGTAATGTGCTCACAATACTAATTTTTGGGTTTTATCATCTTCATTCATTGTCTTTTATAAAATAATAACAATAAATGATTATTTTTATTACTTTTATTTTATTTAACAACAGGTGAATGTAAGTATTGTTTACATGTGGGTGAGCACATTTCCCAACTATGCCCTTATAAGTACGATGCCCCAAAGGACTCAACTCTTGGCGAAGGTTGTATGGTTGTTTGTAGTATTTGTTGCTGCCTCCTTAGAGACCCATGTTGTGCTGATTGTGATCTAAGCATAGGATGTGCAGTTCTCAAGGATTGTCCAATCTGTAGGAAGCAAGGTGAACGTTGGACTTCTACGTGCTCAAAACGCGAGAGGAAACATATTCCTTCTGCTTTTACTTGCGACTTTGATACTGGTTTTTTTTCTTCCAACTAATGTCCATTTAAATAGTATAGAATGAAATGTTATTGCTACTCTAAAGTTAAAGCAAAAGATCGAAAAAGATTAAATGTTAATTATATTTAAAAAATAATTACAATTTATTTTTATTTTAAATGTTTTTAAATAATTGTAGTCTTCGTAGACATGCAGAGTAACTCACTTCAAGAAGAAGAAAAAAAAACTCCTGCAATATCTAATTCAACTCCTTCTATTTGTGGCCCCGTCTCTCTATAGTTGGAGATGGAATTGCATATAATAAAAGAAGAAAAAAAAGGAGTGCTCTTTTATGTCGTTTGCTATAAATTCCATTCTTTTGTTTAGCCATGCATTGCATCATATGATTGTCTACATGGTGTTTTGTTTTTATCGCAAATGAATTGCAATTTGTAGCACGTAGCCTACATTATATTCTTCTGCTTGAAGATATGAAAACCCATCTTTTAGACAGTTTAGACGTATACAGATCCAAGTCATTCGCTGAACAAGCAGAATCCAAAAAACCACCATCATCCCATCATCTATGATTGGCCTCCTCTGGAACCCTTGAGTTTCCCCATATGTCCAAAGAAAGGGCAATTCAAGAATGCTTAGAACATAAATAACAGGAACCTACCTACCAAGCACCCTCCTGCCTTCTTCACACCCCACCCCCAAAAACAATGTTAAAGCCCGTTACCACTGTTAGACTACAAAACTGGCCAACCTAATAAATCAAGAGAGCAAGTCCACCAAGAACTAAACTCATGGGAGAAATGTCCTAATAAATCAAATGTGATGTTCTCACTACAAGTCAATGGAACCATCAAGGTCAGGGCTAGAGGATTTACAACCTGCAACATGAAAACCTGAAAAGAATCAAGAAAGATCAAAGTAATGCGTCACAAAATAGTTGATTTTTATTTAATGGTCATCTATTGATTTGTATAACGATGTTCTTAATGCGTTAACAGAAGGGGGGAGGTGAAATCGTGATCATTAATTCGTCCCTGGCATCACATTCCCATTAGATTCAAAATTCCACGACTGTTTTTTTTTCCCTCTATTGCATAGGCTTTTCAAATTTTGTTCAAACAGTTCTTTAAGTTCTAGAGGAAGATCTAGTGTACCGTCGTAGTCGCGTTGTTAACATCCATCCCAAGTGCTTGATATCGCCGAAGCAACTCCACCAGCTCCGGGCCACTGTGATTAGCAACATCACATTGGTCACCACCCGTTCTCTGGTGGCGACATCCTTTTCGCTGCTGCTGGAGATAAAGTCTCCAAACCCCACTGATATCCCTTCTGCCACCAGGTTTGCAAATCCAAGCACCAATACATCCACTACACACAGTTGTAGATGCTAATTATTATAGTCACCTTGGGTGTCTACATTCAAAAAAGCTCTACCACACTAAAAATATGTTGATTATTTTCACCTGGTTGTTTTCTGTATCCTTGTTTTGGGTTGTAAGACTTGTTGGAAAACAATCAATATAAAACCAAAATAACAGAATAATAAAACCAACGAATATATTTTATATAGATATAATTGAATCAATACAGCAATAATATAGATTGTAGAATACTGACTTGAATTGTAGATAGAGTCCTGCAGATTTGCAGTGTCCTTTAGACAGTATTTCTCCTCTACCCTTGTGCTTGTAGTTCGATAGGAGTCTGTCCACCAGGATTAAACTATCTTAAATCTAAGCCTAAGCACAGTGGCCAAGGCCCAAGGCCCATCTTTTGACAATTAATTTTATATATATTTATTACACAAATATATATATAATCCAAGCTCAAACCATGTTGAGGCTCAAGTTTGCCTCCACTAGGCCCATACTCTATTTAGTAATTCTAATGTGTTGGTGCTTATAAACTATGGAAGAAAACTACTCTCTTCCAATGTGGGACTACATGCAAGTGTATTTTCCTATACAAACTCTAACAATACCCCACATTTGTATAGGAAATTATAACGTGCATATTTGAGAGAAAACTTAGATATAACACATATCAGGAGAGGTGTCTTTTGGACTTGAACCTACCTTAGTGAATACTTATCGATTTACTGGGTGACGCAGTGAATATAAAATCTTGAACTGTTCACCTTTTGTAGTAAACCGAGACAACAAGTATCACATATGTTACATCTTAACATACCACTTATTCATACGTTTGTGTTCATTTTGGTCCTGAACAGATCCTGGATTCATAGGAGCTTTAGAGAATTTAGCCATCTCATTCTCATAAATGCGACCCCACATTTACTCCTACATAGGTAATGTTGACTATGAATAGTCTGCTCTATTCCTCTTGATGTCAAGAAATCAACATCATTAAACTTTCGTACCCTAATAGACTTCTTGCAGACAACACACTTCTTTCCATCATAGGAATGAGATTTAAGTGTGTTAGCTCTTTTGAATTATGCCTAACCAGTTTGCCTATTGAACCTAGACCATGGGATCTCCAATCAGCTAGGTTAGGTTTCCGTTAGGCCGATTCATTTATTGAATTGGCTTCAATCCCATTCCCCTCGATGTTACTTTGATTTGCTCTCTTGACAAGCCTTTTGTAAACGGATCCGCAAGGTTTTGTCTTGACTTTATGTAGTCAATAGAAATTATTCCATTTGAGAGCAACTGCTTGATTGTATTATGCCTTCGTCTAATATGTCTAGACTTTCCATTGTATACATTATTTTTGGCTCTTGCTTGAGCAGCCATACAATCACAATGTATACAAACAGCCGTCACAGGCTTAGGCCATATAGGAATATCTTCCAAAAAATTTCTTAGCCACTCGGCTTCTTCACCAGCTTTATCTAAAGCTACAAATTCCGATTCCATTGTTGATCGGGCTATGCAAGTTTGTTTACTAGATTTCCAAGATATGGATGCTCCTCCTAGTGTAAAAACATATCCACTAGTGGAATTTGTTTCTAAATCATTAGAAATCCAATTGGCATCACTATATCCTTCTAGTACTTGAGGATATTTGGTATAGTGTAATCCATACTCCAAGGTGTAATTTAAATATCTCAAAACTCTAATCAATGCTTCCCAATGATCATGTCCTGGATTACTTGTATACCTACTAAGTCTACTCACGGAATAGGCTATATCAGGTCTTGTACAATTCATAATGTACATAAGACTACCAATGATTTGTGAATATTTCTTTTGTGAAATAGATTCACCTTCATTCTTCTTTAATTTGCAACTTGCATCAAAAGGTGTTACAGCATGATTACTTCCAAAATGACCAAACTTTCTAAGAACAGTTTCTACATAATGGGACTGTGTTAATATATAACCATCTGAATTTCTTTTGACTCTAATTCCAAGAATTAAATCAGCAAGACCTAAGTCTTTCATGTCAAAACTGGAGTTTAACATTTTCTTGGTAGAGTTAATTATGTCCTTGTTAGTCCCAATTATGAGCATGTCATCTACATACAGACACACTATAACACATGCGTTCTTATGTGTCTTGATATAGACACATTTATCACATTCGTTTATTTTAAAACCATGTGTCATCATAGTATGGTCAAATTTTTCATGCCATTGCTTTGGAGCTTGTTTTAGTCCATAGAGAGACTTTACAAGTTTGCAAACCTTTAGTTCTTGACCTTTTACTACAAACCCCTCAGGTTGTTCCATATATATTTCCTCATCCAACTCTCCATTTAAGAAAGCGGTTTTTTACATCCATTTGATGTATTTCCATGTCATAAATTGACGCTATAGCAATCAACATCCTTATTGATGTTATTCTTGTCACAGGTGAGTATGTGTCAAAGAAATCTAAGCCTTCCTTTTGACGGTATCCTTTGGCTACCAACCGAGCCTTATACTTATCAATTGTACCATCTGCTTTTAATTTCTTCTTAAAGATCCATTTGTATCCAATTGGTCTATTACCAGGTGGTATATCAACCAATTCCCATGTATGATTTTGCATAATGGATTCAACCTCACTATTGATTGCTTCTTTCCAAAATGGAGCTTCTGGACTTGATATTGCCTCTTTATATGTTTGAGGCTCAGCTTCAGCTATCATGGTCAAGAAATCTGGTCCAAAATCTTTTGGTATTCTTGTCCTTTTACTTCTTCTAGGTTCTTGATCTTGTTCATTTTCTTGAACACTAGATGAAGTAGGATTACCATCATCTATTCTAGAATTCTCATTTATTCTAGAATCATCAATAGTTCTTTTGCTATTGACATTGGACCTTCCTTGTTTATAAGGAAAAATGTCCTCAAAGAATATTACATCCACAGATTCTAGTATTGTATTCACATGTATATCAGAAACATCAGAGTGAAATACTAAAAATCTATAAGCAGCACTATTGGATGCAAATCCAATGAAGACACAATCTATAGTTTTGGGTCCAAGTTTAGTTCTCTTTGGCAAAGGAACTTGAACTTTTGCTAGGCAACCCCACACTTTGAGTGTCTTATAGGTTGGTAACCTTCCTTTCCATACTTCATATGGTGACTTGTTACTCGTTTATGTGGAATTCGATTCAAGATTGTATTTGCAGTAAGTAAGGCTTCACCCCACATGTTATGTGGAAGCCCAGAACTATTCAGCATAGAATTTATCATGTCTTTTAATGTCCTATTTTTCCTTTCAGCAACACCGTTTTGTTGCGGTGTATAAGGAGCTGTCGTTTGATGAATTATACCATTTGTGGCACAAAATTCAGCAAATGCAGTGGATTCATATTCCCCCTCCTCTATCTGATCTTAGGACTTTAATTTTTCTGTTGAGTTGATTTTCAACTTCAGCCTTATATGTCTTAAACATATCCAAGGTCTCATCTTTGCTATGTAATAAATATACATAACAGTACTTGCTGCAATCATCAATGAAAGTCACATAATATTGCTTTCCTCCACGACTTGGTGTTGATTTAAAATCACATAAATCACTATGAATTAAGCCTAGCAGTTCATTGGACCTATTATGTACAGATTTAAAACTTTTTCTGGCAAATTTAGATTCTGTACATGTTTCACATTTAATATTTTCAATAGAATCTAACTTAGGCAGCAATCCTAAATTATACATTCTATGTAAGGAACGGAAATTCACATGTCCTAATCTAGCATGCCATAATGTAGAAGAAGAATCAACCATATAAGCAGAAGCCTTATTTATATTATTATTCATAGAATTGGCAGATACATTGAGTTTGAATAACCCATCAGCAAGATAACCTTTTCCCACAAACATTCCCCCCTTAGTTAGTACAACTTTGTTGGATTCGAAAACTAGTTTGAATCCTTTGTTGCTTAGAACAGGTCCAGATACCAAGTTCCTTCTTATGTCTGGCACATGCAGCACATCTAGGAGGGTTAGTTCCTTTCCAGAGGTGAATTTCAGAAGCACTTTTCCCTTTCCAACAACAGCAGATGCAGAGGCATTTCCCATAAACAGTTGTTCACCACCATGTATCTCTTGGTAAGTAAGAAATGCATTCTTATCACCACAGATATGGCGGGTGGCTCCAGTATCAATCAGCCACTCATTGTCATTCGAAACCATGTTGGTTTCTGACACCACTGCAGCCAAGTTTTCTTCAGTCACATTGGCCTGATTGTTCCTTGGCCTGTTGTAGTTTGGATTTGCAGGATTGGCAGGATTCTGATTCCTTCTATGCCTGCAGTCTTGAGCCTTATGGCCTGTTTTCCCACAGACCCAGCATGCTCCTTTAATCTTTTTGAAGTCTTTTCCTTTTGCTCCAGGAACAAAGTTCTTCTTGTTCATTTTGGGATTGAATTTTGGTTTTGCTGAGGTTCCTTCAACTATGTTTGCCTTGGCTTCCATGTTTGAAACCACATTCTTGTTCTCACTTATTCTGTTATCCTCCTCAATCCGAAGCCTAACAATGAGATCCTCCATACTCATCTCCTTTCTCTTGTGCTTCAAATAACTCTTGAATTCTTTCCAATTTGGTGGGAGTTTTTCAATCAAGGACGCCACTTGGAAAGATTCATTGATCTTCATGCCTTCAGCAAGAATCTCATGGATAATTTTCTGGAGGTTTTCAACTTGTTTGACAACAGGTTTGGAATCTACCATCTTGAAATCCAGAAATCTGCCTACAACAAATTTCTTGGATCCTGCATCTTCAGTTTTATATTTTTTCTCAAGAGATTCCCAAACTTCTCTAGCCGTCTTGAATGCTGCATAGACATCATACAGTGCATCATCAAGTCCATTCAAGATATAGTTCCTGCACAGAAAATCAGATTGTGTCCATGCATCAATTGCAGCGACAGTCTCTTTGGTTGCAGGATCCTTATTCGACACAGGGGCATCCTGTCTGAGAATGTGGGCTAGATTTAATGTTGTCAGATAGAACAACATCTTCTGTTGCCAACGTTTGAAGTCAGTGCCTTTGAATTTCTCAGGCTTTTCGGCATGAGAGGTCTTACTTCCTGATTGTTCCATATTACTGTCTAAAGATTGTTTGAAAAACAATCAATATAAAACCAAAATAACAGAATAATAAAAACCAACGAATATATTTTATATAGATATAATTGAATCAATACAGCAATAATATAGATTGTAGAATACTGACTTGAATTGTAGATAGAGTCCTGCAGATTTGCAGTGTCCTTTAGACAGTATTTCTCCTCTACCCTTGTGCTTGTAGTTCGATAGGAGTCTGTCCACCAGGATTAAACTATCTTAAATCTAAGCCTAAGCACAGTGGCCAAGGCCCATCTTTTGACAATTAATTTTATATATATTTATTACACAAATATATATATAATCCAAGCTCAAACCATGTTGAGGCTCAAGTTTGCCTCCACTAGGCCCATACTCTATTTAGTAATTCTAATGTGTTGGTGCTTATAAACTATGGAAGAAAACTACTCTCTTCCAATGTGGGACTACATGCAAGTGTATTTTCCTATACAAACTCTAACAAGACTTACATAGCTTGGATCTCAACTTACATGTTAGCTGGTGTTCTGTTTATGCATTCTTTACTTTGTACCAGTTTCTTGCTTCAATAATATCATTGAGCCAAAATATACAAATGTGCTAACATTAATTGCTCTTTCAGCAAACGTGGATTAGGTCAGTTGATCAGAGCAGTGTGTCCGTTCCCTTGCACCTAAGTTCGAGTCCCCATCCCATAGATTAGATTAATTTTGATTATCGCTTATATTTTTAAAATAAAACAAAATTGCTCTCAGCATTATCAAACAAAATGACAATTCAAACCGATCAAGATCAATGGCAATATAAAAAGCAAATTCTTCAGGTCATGAGAAATAAACAATAAACACCATATACACATTTCAATTTCAAGAAAACCCAAGAAAAAAAAAAAAAAAAAAAAAAAAAAAAAAAAAAAACCTTGATATTTCCAGAGGAAATACGACTAGCAGAGATAGAGGAAATGAGAGAGAAGCAATTGACAATGGCATCAAGACCGGCGTACAAAATGCTCTTAGCATACTCTCCTTTCCATGGCTCTTTTGGTCTCTCACTCTTCTTGCTAATATCACCTCCCTTACTATTGTTGCTAATTTCTTCTCCATCTCCTATAATAATCTGCTTCGACTAGCCAACTATAAGCTGCATGAATCAGCCATTTTGTTTTTTCAAATTCTTTTTGGGAGCCAATTTTCTACTATTTGACTGTTCCAAATATTTTTCACAGTTTCATGCATCAGCTGGGTAAACCAAGATGAAGATGAAGTCAGCCAAAAAAACCCAAAACAAAAGAAGAAAAAGAAAAAGAAAAGAGGGCGTGCCTTGTGCGTTGTCGTTGTGCATGTGCAATGCAAGTGGCTTGCCAGTTTGCCACTTGTATTACTTGATTGGTAGAGTGCCTCATTCATGGCTAGGCCTCGGCTATCTTGTCTGCCTTAAAAAGACTTTAAGAACTGATTATTTGGCTTTAGATAGTGCAAAATTGGACTAGAATGGAAACTTTGGCATGTCGAATTATCAAACGGGTATTAGAAGTTTAGAATTATTCCAATTCTTTCTTTCTATGTGTTTACTAATATGTGGGTATTGGAATAATTCTAATTCCTTACTTTCCCTCCGTTTACTTACAAATATGGAATACAAAATTATGGGAGTTCTATGATAAAATTCGTAATCAAATACCCTTCAAAATTAGGAATTATATCAACTAAGGAGAGTACTTGATCTGATTCCAATTCTTAAATTCCTCGATTCATGACTTCTCTCATTCCTTATAAATAAACATGCCAATCGGAAATGGTCTTAGAGATTTTAAATTTTGAAATTATATAAATTAATGTATAATTCAAATCTAAAAAGGTAAATAATTAAACTGGAATCGTAAAATATCTTAGATTTCTATAAGTTGATTCAAACGTTAAAAAAGAAGAAAATGAGTTTGATATTTTTAATTTTATTTTCAACAAACGTTTCATTGGATTATAAAGAAAAATAAAATACCATGGAAGAGGCATATGTCATATGCCACATATATGCTTTGGCATATACACTCTTTTCACAGATAATCCAATGACCACGAGTTATGTGAATAATGTTCTTTTGTCGAACAATCTATACTATAATATAAGGAATTTGTATTATCGTATTGTTAATCTAAACTGAACATTATCTGTTGGTTGAATTTATATGCTCTCTTTTGGTCATGATGCGTTTTATATGTTATGCCTGCATTATGTATGGTTTGTTATTTATTCAAGTATCGTTGTGTGAGTCGATGAAAAGAAAAAGAAACCAATTTTCTTCTCTTCTTCACCACGCAACCCAAACTGGGACCTGATGATGACCCAATTGACGGGGCAGCGAACTTGCAGTCAATACAATACAACAAGAAAAGGGCAAAAAAACAAATATTATTTATTTTATTAATTTCCTTACTTGTCGTTTCAGTCACATGCTGAGCAATAGTAACAGCTAATTTGTCGAGTTGGATACTTATGTATAACAATCTAAACAAAATCAATGGGATTATCTCAATTTACAAATATTTACCCTATCAATAATTATCTTCATTAACATCATCAGCCTAAATAAAATATGTAACCTCATTTCTTAGACATGAACTCTTATTTCCTTGCATTTAATAATTTATTGTTTCATGTATTTGTCTTCTAGAAATGAAGTAGTTGTGTTTTCCAAAAAAAAAGGAAATAATTCTGATTATTTGAAAATTTATTCGTAAGACATTTAGGATGATATAAATCATAAGACATGCGCAAATGCAAGTTAGGCCAGTTTGCTAAAGCAATATACTTGTTCTTTGCACCAAAGTTCGAATCCCCTTCCCGTCCATTAGAATAGTTTAGAATATCATATGTTGTGTTTCAACCTACATATTGGCACCGACGTGGCGTTTAACCTATTGGTAATGGGCTCAGTCTAGGTAGTCAGTTAAGTGGTCATTTTCTTAGGGGTTATTATATAACAATTTAATTTGTACCAAATATCGAATTATGAGTGCAAGAAAGGGTCAACCCATTGGCCCAGATACTTTCATGAATGTCGATCAATCTAGAATGAATATCTTTTTAGAAAAAAAAATATCTGATATTCAAATTGGGTTTTGTCCTTTTTAGACTTTATCCCTTGCTTTACCATTGAGCAAGCTACAGTTTAGATTTTCTTTTACTAACAAAATACACCTTTTTGGGGTCATTAGCCTTTTGTGCGTGTAATTATAAGATTAAGCATCATTAAGGATAATCTAAAACTTAAACCATGATCTGATTAATTGTAATTTCTTGTCAGAATTGTGAAATACAGCTTCATAGTACAAAACATTCACAAGAAGATTATAAAAATAAGGGACGCGGTGTGGGGGGTGTACTAACACTGGACAAAAATACAAAGAATTAGAAAGAACGGACGAAAGGTGAAAAAATCTAAACGGAGGTGAAAAAAAAAATTCCTAGAGTTGTTTTTTAGCATAATTAACATTTGCTGAACAGCTAATGATAAATAAGGAACCAATTGAAGAAGCTTATTTTTCAGACCAATTGACTCTTTTCTTCATCTTCTCCACCATTTTCGAGTCGAATTCTTTCGTGCTCAGTCGAAGCTGGTTTTGAAATCTTGGGCATGGCAGATGAGTTTGAAACCCTCTGGTTTGGTTTATTTTCAGGCAAGAGCTTCAATGTGATCCCCATACCTATGAGCAGAAGTCCAGTCCCGTGCTCTTCAGTTAATGGCTTTGTGAATATCAAGTATGATAGCAGTAATGTGACTGCCTTTCTAGCCGTTGTGATCTGTGATTTAAAAAATAAAACAAAGTTCAATGAAAATAAGTAAAATAATTTATATAACTCACATTGTACAATATGCTTGTTCATCAATGTGCATGATATTTAATGTTACCTAGAACCAAGAAACAGAGCTCTTGCTTTCAGAAAATGCCAGTTGAAAATAAAGACTACATCTATACCATTAAATGTGATTTCAAGATATTTATAACAGGTTTTGGTACCACATTGACATATCTAGGCCAAAATAGACCGGTGAGAAGAATGTACCATGGCTGTGGTGGCAGCACCAAAAAGCGCAATGAGGGAAAGGACGGAGACTTGGCCAATGAATGTGGCCATGGCTTCGAAGATTAACACGCCATAGACATATGGATGCTGCATAATACCAAAAGATTTTGTTAGAAAGTGTAAGGCTTGTGAGGCATGTGAGGCATGTAACATGGTGGAATATTAAGGAGTTTTCAATTGTAAGTTACCTGCCAACATGAATTCCATGCTTTGAATAATTCTCCTGTCAAAAGCATGGGTGGAATCAAGAAAGGCAGGCCAACTACTGTAGAGCAAAACAGCATCTCCATCTGTGGATAACGATAATAGAAAGCACAAAATTGTATGTGAACAATTTTCGAATTAATGTTTAAAAACACACGCAAAAGAGAATTTAGGAAATGATTATCACCTGTGTGGTTTCAGGATTCATGGTAAATATTGCTTCTTGCAAGTTACCCAAAAAGGAATCCATGACTAGAGCACCCGATACCATCAAAACACCAATCACACTGAAATTGGGAGATGTTTGTGCATCCGCTAAGGTGAATAGGATCAAACCCACCACCAAAAGGACTGCAGAAACGTACTCGTGAGCCGGATACTTCCGTCTCAGACCTGGTATGAAGGCTCCCATTACCATTACAGGCAGAACCTGAGATACCAAATCATGAGGCTAACATGAGAAGAGCAGAGAAACTGTAAATGGCACTAGGAAATGCAGTCAATTCCGGTTTACAGTTTTAAGCAACAAATTACAGAGCAAGTTCAAAATTGTATTACTCGAAAATAGTCAACTAGCTTTAAAGATGGCATTATTTACTTAGTTACTGAGATAGAAACTCAAATCAAACTCTTTAACTCTGCATATCTCATTCCCCCAAAAAGAAGAAGAAACTCAAACTGGTCACTCTAAACAAGCAAGTAGTTGTTTTAGAAGCCTGTTTATGTACAGTCAATTTGTATTCTAAAATGGCTGCTTTGGCTGCTTGAGCTGTAAAAAAGAATTACCATATTACTTTCAAAGGATTTGCTGTTTACCTTTGTTGATTTGAACATGAGCTGTGCAGGATAGTTGAGAAAAGCCAGGGAGCCTTTGGTAAGACCATGGGAACCCATAAGCACAGCAGATAGCTTCACATAAGTCTTCCATGGGTTCACCATTTGCTTGGTGGTGAAGCCTTGGAGGTAAATCAGAAAAAGATACACAAATCCTTGTACAAATGTGAAGTACCAACCATAGCTGGAACAAGGAATTTACAAAACACATAAACAAACAGGTACTAATCGAATGCCAAAATAAAACAAACCAATATAATCCCCTTACCTGAATTGTAGCCTATTATACACATATTCCTGAAAATAAGGCAAAAATTAAGATCACTTAGCAATCTTAAAAATAAAAATTTCCAATTATCGATTGCTTTTGAGATACATTGTTCCAAAATTTAATTCATTCCTGAATGTGCAATGGACGGTCCACATTTTTTTTTCAAAACGCGGTATAAAACTAATTCCAAAATGATACTTTTGATTCCTCAAAAAGTAAACGCATAAAAAAATAAAACCCATTGGTCCCATAACCCTACAGAGGATTAAAGTTTCATTAGATTTTTATTTGCTAAACTTTCTCAGCAACCAAACAGAGCTTAAAACAGAGGAAATATTATCAAACAAAAATCATGAATCTGCTAAGGAAAATAAAAAAGTTTCCTTGCTCAAGAGATAACGCTTGAACCTTTGCTTGGTAGCTACGACACTATACAGAAAAGGAGATAACCAAAGACAAAGAAATGACTCATTCGATCAATTTTCCCAAGAACCAAACAGAAAAAAGCTTTAAACCGCCGATCTTCCTTCATTTTCCAGGCGTCAGTTTTCTCGGCAACCAAACAGGCGCGGATTGCAAAAAATAAGAAACAAAAAGCAGAGTGAAATAAATACCTCGCAGATACCATTAACAAGGTAGCCAAAGAAGAACCCAGAAGAGCAAAAAAGGAATTGCTGCCATTTGGGTCTGTCAGAGAGCGAAATCCCAAAAAGAAACCGAGCTTGTTCTTCGTTCTTCATCGCTTTCAATCGTTTTCTCAGAGACCCAACTGAGAACTGGGTTTATTGGGTATTGGGTACCCAACACAGAACTCAAAATCAATGAGAAGGGGCCTTGAAAAATGGTGTATTTTGATCAAAAACCAATGCGAGAAGAATATATGAAATTCATTACAGTTGGTGGTGCACTTGCATGTTTGACCTTCCCAGCACAGAGAAAACCATGATTTTGTGTGTATATATATAAGGAAAATGGTATCGGGTTGATTACGGTAACTATTTATTATTTACTTATAAAGCATGATGCCATATAAGGAAAAATCTAGAGAGAGAGAGAGAGAGAGAGAGAGAGAGAGAAAGAAAAGAAGAGGGAGAGTCTTTTACAGACTCAGAGTAGGAGCTCTTTTATCAATTTATCGCACTCTTTTTGCCTCTTTGAGTTTGCAACCTGCCAGAATAAAGAGAGAGGTTTTACACTGCTGCATATTACAGAGCTTTATTAGAGGAAGGCTGGTTGGGCTGTAATCTGCTGCCGATGAGCTCATTGGTTCTTTCTGTGTGCCTCTTTTTTCAACGAATCACGAAATGCAATAGATTCTCGTAATATTATAGCATTAGTGGTAAAACACCCACCATTAAATTTCAATTGTATACGAACTTTATATTAGATTTGATTTTACATTCCTTAATTGACTAAGTAGTTATGATTTGACTGTATAATGACTCTATAATGACTGAGTAGTATGATTTGAAAAACAACCCTTTACAATTATATATGTATCATATTTGTCATAATCATATTTCTTACACGTCAACTTTTCATTATTTATAGAAGCGATTATTCAAATAATTCTAGTTTACGAATTGAGGATTGAACACAGATACAAAGAAACGATCACACTCCTTTGACAAATTGACATAATTCGCACCTACCTTACTTTGAATTCAATACTTCAAAAGGTAAATGTCATTTGTAATCTTACTTTTCCGTGGTATTCCGGATTGTAATTAATCTTATACGATAATTATAATACGCAAATCAAAATACATTGTACATAATTATTATTTTTTATCTACAATTATTGATAATTGAAGAAAGTTTATGAGCAGGCCAACTTTTGGGATTTTGAAGAAACCCTGTATTATCTAAAAGAAATTAAAAATACGAATTTATGTAGCCATCCATGTACTTGAACCATCACGTCCATGAAGATCAAAGTCAATAAGTTTCGTGATACGCACAGTTCCATGACTTAGGACTTTGAACAATTGGATTAGATCCATATATAACGTTCAGTTTTTCCAACTACATGTGAGGGGTTCAGAATTGTTGTACATTAAATATGTGTTCAGCAATCCATGTGATATACATATAGGGCAAAAGATATGCCCACAACAAAGACATGAGGCAAACGTTTCATGGTGACAACCATACCATGCGTTTTCATAAACATAACATATATCTATACTATCAGTCTTCTCTCATTTAGACGTTTAGAAGTTATTACCGTGTGAATGTTATTATAAATATAGTGAAAAACAAGAAAGGGTTGTACAAAATACATGACATTTGCATGGTAATAACGTATAGGAGAAAATATATCTATACTGTAATTATTGTTTAGTAAATGAAAATTAATTTAACTAACATAAAATAAATTGATACGTGTTCCTCTCCTTTTCCACTACTTATTTTTCCTCTTCTTTTCTCTTATTTCTTCCACAATAACAGTTTCCACATCCATGTAATATGGCATTGAACAATTATGAAAATGACATACCTAGTCTCAATTTGACCCGTTATCATCCCTAAAAGATATACAACTGTATGAGAAATTGACATTACCCCCTCATATTTGATAATGTCTGTTTTAACCCAAAAAAGGCTCAATTTAAATGGAGTAATTTCAAAAATATTAATTCAGATGACATTATAAGGTTAAAAAATTTGTATGAACTATTACAATTCATGTATGAGAAGATTTGGAAGAAATAGATTTCAAATTATTCCTTGCCTGTAGTTATAAATCTCATGCAATTCTAATTTTTATAGAAAATTTAATTTCATTGTCAAATCTAATAGTATTTTTACTAATCAGGAATTGGAATTCCACGTATGGAAGATTTCTGGGTTTACTTCACATTAAGGAATTAAAAATAAGTGGGGCTATACAAAATCAAGTATTCATTAGAGGAATTCAATTCTTGGGCGGAATGTGATATTCTAATTCTTAGAGAACTAACCCATTAAGAATTCATCTTTTTTACCCATTATATCCTCACACAATTTTAAAATTTTAAAATTTGTCATCTACTTGAACCCAACAATGAGGACATTTTAATAATTAACATCACTCCTACCCAATTTTCATAAGGTTTAGTAAACAACTTCAATTGAAATTTAGAATCTAACTCTCCTAAATCCATATAGTTTAATAAACAACTTTAATAGGAATTCGGAATCTAATTCTCTTCAATCCAACTCCTCTTCAATGTAATTTCTCATAATCCAATTACGAAGAAATAAACATACCATAATTCTTTCTTTCAAATTCGAACCCCAAAAAAAAAAGGCAGTGCGGTTTCTGTGGATCCTCAAATGAAAAGCCGCGTGATACATTGAAGAGGATCACGATTCTCTGAGGCTCTCTCGCTCCTCCTTCCTCTCCCAGCCAGCTCCTAAATTTTAATGTCCACTTCTCCTCTCACACTTCTCAAGCTTCCAATGACACGTTTTCCAGGCGTAACCAGATGTCGTTTTAATACAACGCCTCCTAGATTGGATTTTATGCCACTTGGGACCTCTTCCTCCACCCAATCATTTTGCGCCACGCGGCGAACTATATGACAAGCTTCAGCGTGAGCGTACGTACAACGGGACAATAAACCGGGTCCGGGACTCTTCATATACGACAGATCACCGCATGTCGCTGGAGACACGTCAAGTCCCTCACGTCAAATTAGCCGACTAGGCTTAATTAATCCCTGTTCCTAGTCCATACCATAGTCCATCGCGCACGTCACAATATGACTTAGGGATACTTTAGTTTTTTGTTTTATTAGCTTTTTCCTTTAAGTATTTATTGGCTCTTTATTTTAGCACCAAACATATATATATATATATATATATATATATTGATGGGGTATATATTTTTCTTGTAGCATCTAAATGCTAATGCATATTTTATTGTCTTTGTTCTTTTTAAGTTTCTTTATGTCTTTTATTTTTTTTTAGTTAACGTCGGACGCCCAATTTTGAGGTCAATCAACATTGTAATTATTAACGATTACAATTTAACCCGGCTACATTCCTAAAATTCAAATACAACGAACTAACATTTACTCTATCCTTTTTTTTTTTTTTTTTTTTTATTTAATAGAAAATATCGACGATATGAGAGAAATTTTATTAATCATCAAGTGAAAATTAGGGGTACTTAAAGCTTTACCGCTATTACAAGCATAAAAAATAAGACAATTGTGAATATTATTAGGTGGTTTCTCAAACCATTCTACTCTAGAATCATAAGACAGTGCACTCCTTACAAGGCGGTGTGCTGCTCCCTCATTAGCTTGACACCTAGCGAACAAAAAAGGAGAAGGATATTGCTTGTCTCCTTCCTTAGGAGGAGATACTCCTCATTCCAGCAAATCACGTTTGATATATGCAAAAATAATTCATCAAAAGTACAAAATAAAGACTTATGCACACATGTCATACTGCTATTGATAGGAATATAGGAGTTCCAATTTACAGGAAATGAGGAAAGTATTTTCCAAATAGGAATGGTCTTCATCCGTACGTGCAATAGCTGAGATGACAATCCCCTTCGAAAATCACTCTAGACAAGCCAAGAGATTGCTCAAACATCACAGCCTCTCTTGCCGCATAAGCTTCAGCGATGTCCGCCACCAAAACCTGCGGAATACGCACTAACGTAGCAGCCCAAAAACTGCCCATCTATGTACTACAATCTTTCACTTATATAATTTCTTTGCTTAAAACGATAAATCTAAAATTCAAAAAATAATGTAACACATCTCCATTCGTAAAATTCAAATTCAAAGCGGCGAAGAACAAATAGAATTTGCTAAGAAAAGCCGGCTAACGGGGTTATAATACAATGTAATTTTCCGTTTTCTAGTTTATGCACAAGTACTCAACAATTATAGTATACTCTAAATTTTGTAGAAAAAAAGTATAACAAAATAAAAGAAAAGGCTACGTGCATGTTTGCTTCTAGGTAAGGAGACAAATACAATTATGAACTAGACAAGGACATAAAGGAATCTAATAGAATCAAAGTAGAACAATGTGCATTATTAATTTCTATGACCCCATTTTATGTGACCTTTTTTATGTCGGTTGATTATTGAATGAAATCCAATTATCTCGATAATAAAAAATGGTATTCTAGTGTTAAACACGAAAGAGTCCAAAGGCCAAATACCACACACCACTCAAATATGGCACAAATGTGAAGGATTCAATCAAACAAAACCTCACAATCAACAGAGCACAACTTGCAGAGCAATCTTTACATTTCCCCACTGAATGTCCAAGAATCTCTTATATATGAGGCAAATTAAGGTCAGGTCATGGGGCCAAAGGGGCCCTTAATTTTTGGGTCATCCACATTCCACTCCAACCATATGAAGAATGGGATATGTTAAAACCGCCACAAGAGCCAAAAGAGGTCCATTTGTTGCATTTTTAAAATATTGCCTTGAAATGACCTTTGCTTAAGAATGAGCATTTTTGGTACCCCATATAAATTGAACTGCTAAAACCGGAAGAATTGTCGGTGGGGTGGGCATGTGAGCCCCCCCTCCTTGTGTGAACGTGAGTGAAACATGAGGCTTTACTAAGAGTGTTGGAGGAAGCTCAAGAAACGGGAGTTTATTTAGGGTTCTTGGTAAGACACTTTTACCTTGAGTTAGGGCACTGTTCATTGGCTTACATTTATAGTGTTAGTAACATACTAATTGTTAGGTTTTTCTTAATTTTGTGATCCAAAACGTAAAATAAATAACAAATCTTATTCTTATGTGTGTTCTTCTAATTTTTTTTATACAGAAAACCAGTACATTACAAATAGAAACTTTTTGATCAAGCTGGCCTAAAGAGATCCAAATAGAAATGGAAAGAGCAAGACATAAGCAGCTCATGCTCAATTTGGACGGGTAAAACCCGTGGCCAAGAGTGTTGGCAGTAAAATTGGCCTCTCTAAACACATGTTTAAAATTCACTTCCTCACATAAGGAGCTTAACAAACCAATTCTCATTATAGGTTATATTTATAGGTAAGTCTGTGTGGTTATCTGTATTTGTACTGGTTCTTGTGACTGACGGCATTTGTGCATGAATTATAAATGCAATCTATCGTCTTTATCTTCAAAAAATTGGAACAATTTTAATTAGGATCTGTGTACGAATAATTATGCTAATTAATTGAAATTGTTAGATTAAAAAAATTATTCTAATTATGCATATACTTGAGAAGGTGTCTCCAAGGCTGAGCACAAATATTTGAATTGACTACAAAATGTTGGATGAAAGCTTAGCATTAGGCGTCCTTACGTTCTTGAATCATGGGGACATTGAATGGCACATTTACCACAAACACATGGGAAACTCATGCCCTCTCCACCACCACACATATTGGATTTTTCATTCAAATAATTTAATTTATTTTTAATTCAATAATATTATAATATATATATAATAAAGAAATAAAAAATAAAAAATAAAAATAAAAACCCTTCAAAGTCAGTATATCTTCCAAGTTTGACATATATATATGGAGCCTTTGGTTGTACATAAACTAGTAGACTTTATAAAGGGGAAAAAGTAGACTTTATAAACAAGCAAGATTTTTCTATCTTGCATAAGTTTCTCTATGTTATGCCCCAACTGACGGGCATACCTTTTTGCTGCATTCATCTTTCTTTTTATCAAAACCAATTACCGCATTTGCCTTTCACTTTCTCTATTTAGTCAAAAGATAAAAAGAACTCTTCTCTTTCGAGCATTTCTTATGCTTGTAGTACGATAGCCCCTAACATATGCCCTTCACTGTGCTTAATGATGCAGCTATAATTAAGGAACGTTAAGTCTTACGTAGAGTCGAGTCTATCAAGAATGCTTAATAAATGTAAAGTTCTATTTTATTTTTACGGTCGAATTTAACATGTTATATTGTGAAACTTTCAATCAATGAGATGATACAAAATTAGATTGGATTTTTGGCTTGGATAAATATTTAATGAGAACATGGGTTGGGGAAGGGAAAGGGATGGAACCCAACAAGTACCTGTCACATGTTAATGTGCTTTTCTATGTGCCAAGCATACTTTGAATGGAATCGGTTTGACAAAAATGCACAAGAAGGTGGCTATTTTGGATACTGACCGGTGTGGTAGGGGTTGGGCTTTATTAAATGTGGTGCACTAAATAAACCACAAGGAAAAAGTAAAGTGAAATATCCTAGGAGAATGGAATGAATGTTTCAAATATGCCATGTGCCTTTGAAAATGACCTGAATAATAGTGTTTTGAGTCAATGACTGTGGAAATTTATACCTAAATTTGGGCTTAATTTTGTGCTCAACTTCACCATGAAGATTGAAATCCAAAGAGAAAAAAAAAAATTGTAACCCAATTTAAGTATTGCTTTGACCATTGCATTCAAATCAAGGAAGCCTATAACCTTCTGAACAGTCCATAGTGGAAAAAATAATTTACAAATTTAGCTCAAAATCCGGCCCGGCTCGATGTTTAGCCCTGATTGGCTCGGTTTGTTCTAAGATTGAGTAGGACTTGAGCAAAGGGTTTGAAATCTTGAATTAAGTTAATTTTTTTAATATTTTAAAAAAAAATTGTTACAAAAAGATATTAAAAAAAACTTAGGAAAAAAGAAAAAAAGGTCGGCCCATCTAGGCCTATGGGTGGCCTGGTTCGGCCCGGCCCGCAAAGCTCGTTTAGACCCAATTCAATAAACAGGTCCGAATTTTGACATTTGAAATCTCAGTCTGGCTCGAAAAATGAAAAACCTAGAAAGCCCGGCCGGAGCTAAATTTTTTTACAAATATTTGTTGTCGCTATTGTCTGTGTTTAAATTTCCTTCTTATTATATATGTGTTTATTTATTTTCACAAATGTTTAACATCAGACCCTACAAAAAATGGGCACAAGTTATGCCTCTCACTCTCAATTCTTGTTCATCCTATCTTTACAATCCAAAAGATGAAATTCTCAGAGATACAAACAGATGGTCACTTTAAACTCATATATCCACTCTATCCACATCTTTAGCCAAGGGCCACTATTAGATACTGCTCTTATCCATATATCATCACAACACATGTCTCATTCATGGCTTTATTTTGGGCCATTTCACAGACTACTCCACTAAAGCAATGTTCTGCCTTCAGAGACCCAAATTTCCACTATGCCAATAGGGACCCAAATTGAGTGACAAGGTTGAGACTTGAGAGCCATTTGATGGAAAAAAATAAAGAACTTTAACTTGATAAGAGATCAACCAGAAGCTCCTCCATCAAGAAATCTGACATGGCAGTCTCAATTTCTAAAGCCAGCTCCTCTTGCTCATACTCAAACTTGTTCCACCTCCCTCCTTTATGCATGTCTCTAACACAAGCTTCCTTCTTGTGCTCTAGCCCCCACTCAAGTTCATTGTGTTCTCCACTCACCCAAGCTTTTGCTTTGCTCACCATCTCCCATTTAAATCCATCATCACTTTGATTTCTCTGGACACTCATTTCTTCTCTAAAGAAATCCAACAGCAGTTTATCTTCCAACTGGCCTTTCTCACAGCTGTCTGGTGAAGAGCTAGTTGCTTTGACATAATTCAACAGCTCCACGGCCATTTCTTCATCTTCATCACCCACATTGGCAAGGCTTTGATCAAAAGTACTTGAAAATGAATCTTCTTCATCTTCCCCAAATTGAAAATCAAGCACTGAAACTGGGCTGTGCTGTTCATCTTCATCACCCAGCAGCACCTCAACCTGCTAATGTTCACACACCAATCAAATTCAGCAGAGTGCACAATTCTTATGAACAAAATTTAAAAGTCAACATTTTAAAATTATGTGAACTAATTAGGCATAAAGATAATAAATGAATAATAAAATCCTTTTTTATTTCAGCATTTGCCAAAGTGACAGAAATTGTTGTTACCCAAAACAAGTGACAAAAACTGTTGCTTTGGACATACTTAAAATTGTATTTAAGAACTAAATCCTCACTAAGTACGCATTAAAATATCAGATAAAAGTACTTTGGGATCTAAACTTAAATGTCTTTTAGGTTAGTGGTAAACTTCTATTTTGTCTGATACGCATGATAAACTCTGTGATATATGCTTAGCCAAAGGTAAGATCAAAATAACCAGGAGATTTACCATGGTTCATGGTTAAAGAATATTTTTTCTGGGGTCAGAGTTTAAAAGAGGGACGGTGCCATTAGAATTTGAACATGAGAGTTATACTAGAAATTTGTAGACAAATTCTCTTACTACTGAGCTATGGACCCATTTGGCGGTGGTTAAAGATGACTAGTAAAAATTGTTCTCCTATGGCCCACCAAGTACCATAAAGTACAACCAAGGGCAGGTCAACCAAGTTAATAGCATCAAAAGGACCCTCAACAGCAGACACACAATATTAATATAGATACGGTGCACTAAATAATTGCTCTACCTGGGGTCCCAAAGCAATATTGCAACTTCCTGTCCCTGTCGTTGATGCCTTCTCCTCCATGAAATCCTTGCCGACACATGGTAAATATTTTTTACCACCGTCCTCATCAGCTTGAGGGTCAGAGTTACTACAAACCCATGACGGTAAAAACTCTGCGGTAAAATCACTGTCACACCAGCTTGACCCACTGCTGCTGCTGCTACAAGTTGTACAAGTAGTAGTTGTGGACCCTGTTATGGTGGTGCTTGTGGTACAATGGAGGGGTGAAGAAGCATAATCCAACGGTGGAGGTGGAGGTAGCATTTCATCGCGGAACGATGTCCACCGTATGATGTCCTTGACTCTCACAGTAATTTGGACTTGGTTTTGACACTGCTTCCTTGATGAGCTCTGAAATTTTGACTGCAGCAGCCTCCTTGAGAGGCTTCGAGGTAAAAAGGAGGGAGATTTTACCGTGGTAGGGATGTTTTAACCGCATTCATGAGGGACTGGAAGGCTGAGATTGTGGTGGAGGCTGCCTTTGATCTGCTCCTGAGTAATTTGCTGGTAATGGTGGGGTTATTTTTTGAGTTTGAACTTGTTGGTTTTGGATCAAATTCAATGAGGTTCTTCTGGGGACTCCTGGGATTGAATGGTGATTGTTTTCTGGGGAATGATTTGAACCCACTTGAAGAACATGAGTTAGAATTCTCATTGAGGAAATCTTTGAGGAGCATTCTAGGCCTGCGCTCTATTGGACAAGGCTTTCTTTGATGCTGCTGCAACATTTTTTTGTGAGATGAAAAAGTAAAGAGATTGAGAAAATAATTATTACCCAACAAGCAATTTTTGTGGTTTGAGAGTTTCAAGCCTTCAAATTGGATGATCCAAAGATTATAGGCAGACTTCAAAGGTGAAATGATCAGAAGAGAATTGTGGGAGAAAAGGGTTGGTCTGAAATTAAAGAGTGAAGTGGGAGAGAGTGAGGAGGGAGTGGAAGAAGAGAGGAAGGAGGAGCTTATATTTAAAAGGATTTGGTGAGCATTGCAATAAGAAGATGAAGAAAGGGAGAGGTAGCTTCTAGGTGGGGATCTCCAGGTAGTTCATGAGGATGAATTTCAGAAAGACAAAAAGAAGCAATAAAAATGGGGAAAATGACAAACAAGTGTAGGAGGGTGGATGCTTCTATTTTGCAGTTATTTTAAGTGGAGGAAGAAAGGACTGGGTGAGTGATTATGTGAGATCTCTTGGTCTTTTGGACTCAGAAGCATGTTTTTTGAGAGAAAGCGGGTTGACCTTAAATCAACTTGGGCATACTTAACATCTGTACTTGTGAGTTGTATCACATTGTCACATGTAGGAAAAAAAAACTTTTTTTTTGTAACGAGGGATAACACTGTTTTGCTATCCCCAATAATAACACGTGAGAGAGATTGTTTTGCAAGAGAATTTCTCTCTCCCCACATGTAGGATTGAATTTGTATTTTGTACTAGCACATTGATTGATTGCATGCTGCTGCCCATAATGTTTTTGAAGAGATTGCAGCAAGTGTCATGAATCTCATGCTTGTTAATTTAAATATATTTAAGCAATTTTTTAGAGGAAATTTGAATTAAATCAAGATTAATGTAGTATAATAGGAAAATGTTCCACACAAATTATTTGGCTTTGTTGAGTTATAAGTCTATCAATCTAAATGATTGATTTAGTGGATTTTTGTTTAAATACATAATCTAGATTGTTAGTATGATAATTTATCATGTAATAAACATGTCTTGATATAATCTAATAATTAGATGATATAATGGGATGGAGCATGACGACTTGTTGTATAGAAAAACCTTTTTAGGGTATGAAATTTATGTACGCATATCAAACTATACTTTTTGTTTGTGGAAAAAATAACTCGTTACGAAATAAAATAAGGAGTAAAGTATTTTTCATAAGTGCAACCACAAAATCGTGGTGGGTTGCAAGCATGGCCACTTTGGCCATTGACAATTACGTTGTTGGTATGATCAGTCCAAATTGGCACAAGATCTTTAAAAATTTGGAACTTGTCCACTAGGTCACCGCCAGGTCATTTATGTGATCACATGTGGCTGATCCTTATAAGCCTATATGTTACACATGCAATTGGCTGTGGGCCCCAACCATCAGAAGGATATCTGATCCCGATCACAAATGGTGGACTCCGCGCGCCAGTGTCGGCTCCTCTAGTCCGCATCACACCCACACGCACAAAATTTTCATAGCCGGATTTGCCTAAGGTTGATATTTCACCACTTGATCATCAATATCAAATATGGAAGGCCATGAATGGGTTTTATGTTTCTCGACCAAATATTCACATTGTCTGCCTCAACTCAACTATCGCATAATCAATGGAGAAATATTCCCATGGGCATGGTGATGCATCCATCTCTTACGTAACTAGGGCATAAACAATTAACTTCTTGCCGCACGCTAGAATTCCTAGATGCGAGTCTTAAATTTCACACTAGAAATTAATTGATCATATTTGATTTCATGATTTTCACTTCAAATACTGAACTACATATTTTACGTCAAACAACTTTTGATAAAATGGAATGCGATACGGATAAAGATACATGGAGCGACTTATGGTCACAACCACCCTTTTCACTTTGAATATGTATGAACACATAATAAGATAAGAAGGGATATAATAATTCGATTAGTTAATAATATTATCCGTTTAATTGTAGTGTACATTTGATTGTAGGCTTTTTAAATTAGTTTCATAATGAATTGTCCACGAATTATGTTGAGTTTAGTTTAACCCATGACTTTGTCATTTTCAATGCCTCATCATCACTTTGTGTTCGTGTCTAATCCCTATTACAAGGACACAAGTCCCATTCATCCTCAGCATTTTCTTTTTGGGGGTTTTTCCCCCCTTAGAATGATCTCTTCATATTCATGGAAGTATTATATCCAAAACTTGACCGTACATAATATTTTATTGTTCTCTCTTAATGTTTTTTTTTCTTCCTTTTGTGGGTTTTCTTTAAGCTTAATTTTCAGGTAACCTCCTAAGCTTCAACAATTTTACAAACAGGCATATTCAGAGCAAACAAGGTAACCTCTCTTCTGCCACTCCTCTATGTCTCTTTCTCCCTCTATATATAATATAATATCTATTTAGTTCCATGTCATCCTGTTTTTTTTTGTACCTTCCATTACTATCTAAGAAGATGTCTTGTGATAATATATACTAAAAGGATCATGCACGTATACTCAAAATCATGGGAGTTCTAAAAGAGAGAAATTGAGATATGTAGAATGAAAGTAATTGGTAACAAGTGCACATTTGTTTTCCCTCTCATTACATTAACGAATCTTCTTTGTACACGTGTCATAAATGAAATCATCGATTTTCTAAATCACAATTTAAAGATCATCCCTGCAAACCAGTTAGCATTTGGTCTACTTATATTTGTCAACAAATAATGTGTGCAGTAACAGAATTTAGTAGCATTCGAGAGAATGAGTTAAATCAAAGGCAAACTTTCCCACAAAAAAAGAAGAATAAAAAATTGAACTTTCAAATTAATTTACTATGAAATTTCTCTCTTCAATATTTGTTTTGGATATGTAGAAATTAGTAAATTAATATCTATAAAGTATAAACTAATGCAAACATAAGGGTCCTTTTTTTATAACAAATAGTATAGCCGCGCGGCTATACTCCTTTTAAAGATCATATATTCACGTGGCACCGAATCGATTGGCGGGCGCTAGGCGGGTTCTTTTCTAAAAAAATAAAAATAAATAGTATATCCCTCCGGCTATACTCGGGATTTTTTTAACAAAAATGATTATAGCCGACCGGCTATACGTTTTTACACGTGGAGCCGCATCGCTTGGCGGCTCTAGGCGAGTCCTTACAAATAGTATAGCCGCACGGCTATACTATGATTTTCTATATATAGCCGCTCGGCTTTACAAGGGTACTTTTTAATTTTTTATAAATAGTATAGCCGGATGGCTATACCGTTCAATTTCAGAGGTCCCTGTTCCCGAACTCTTCCCAGGTTAGTTTCAGAGGGCCGATTTGACAGGGATTTTTTGGCCAGCCCAAATTCATAAAATATTTTACGGGCTAGACTTTAGTTCATGTTTTCAACCCAACCCAGTTGTATCCAAACCCAAATTATGTTGAGCGGAGAAGCCCTACCCATTACTAACAAACAACCCAACGGCACAAAACCGAACGACACAGAACCGTCTTGTCGTCTTCTTCCTCCTCCACCTTCTCGGTTAGTACGATGAATGTGTAAGCCGTCTTTTTACTGCCAGACCCATATTTGCAATTACAGAGTGATGGGTGTTGGTGGAAATTTCTGGGACTTGCTTAAACCCTACGCCCGGCATGAGGGTTTTGATTTCTTGAGGAACAAGCGGGTTGCTGTCGACCTCTCCTTCTGGCTCGTACAGCATGAAACCGCTATCAAGGACCGTGCACGAAGCCCCCACCTCAGGCTCACCTTCTTCCGTACCATCAATCTCTTCTCCAAGGTTCATTTTTCTCTCTTTTTTTGTGTTTTCTGCTTGTTTTCCGAGAAAATGTGAGAAATTCAAAGAGAAAAAAAAAGAGTTGGGTTTGTGGCTTTTCCGTTATACACATTTTGGGTTTTGGGAATATGAAAGTTGATTCAAGTTGTTTGACAGTGTGAGCTTATTTTAAATTTACTTATATAAACTTCAATGTATAAAGTATGGGGAAAAAAATGGAAATTTGATTGAGTTTTTGTGTTTTAAATAAAAAAATTACCTTAACTTGGCCAACTATTTCTTAAGCTCTCTAATTTTTGGTGTTTTATGTAATGCTGTTTTATTTGCTTGACTGAGATAAAGTTACAGCCCTTGAATTGAGAGTGAGCTTAACTATTGGTCAGTGTTTATGCAGTTTGGAGCATTTCCAGTCTTTGTAGTTGATGGAAGTCCGTCACCTCTAAAGTCAGAGGCGAGGATTGCAAGATTCTTTCGTTCTTCTGGTATTGATTCATCAAGTTTGCCTGTGGCTGGCGATGGTGCTTCAGTTGAGAGAAACAGCACATTTACAAAGTATATTCAAGAATGTGTGGTGAGTTGTTTCTGAGGTTATGGTTTGTGATCAGTTTAATAACTGCATTTTGTGTTTGTGCATTGACAAGTAATGTTTTCGAACTTTGGTGCAAACTCTTCTTTCGGTTGCTTTGAAAGTTCTTTTTTATGTCAAGAAAAAGTTTCCATATTTCCCACAAAATTTGTAAGTTCATTCCACTTGAACCCTTATCATCCAAGATTCAAGATTTTAATTCTTCAGCTTTTCAAATTGTGGTGGTGATTATATGGAGTAGTCTTACCTTTGACATATTTTCCGCACTTGTTGGCTAACCCTATACGAATGAGATTGTAGTGAATTGCAGTCCTTTTATTTGCTCATGATTTAGTAGCAGACTGAGTGTTCATGCTTATCCATATGCTTTCATTATTTTCCTTTACAACATGTACATCTGAATGAAAATTTGTGACCAGTTTTCTTTTTTTCCTGGTCTGAAAAGTCTATGATCAGTTTAATTCTGTTAGAATCTGTATTATATCTTTGTGAATAATAGATATTTTCTTTTGGTTTGTTGCCGATGCATTTGCATGCTTATCAGTTATTTACTAAAGGTGGTTTAATAGGAACTGCTTGAACTGCTTGGGATGCCTGTAGTAAAAGCAAAAGGAGAGGCTGAAGCACTGTGTGCCCAGTTAGACGCCGAAGGTCATGTAGATGCTTGCATCACATCTGACAGTGATGCATTCCTCTTCGGGGCTAAGTGTGTGATAAAAACCTTTCAATCCAATACCAGAGTAAGTAGTAATGTCTTAGTAAGTTTAACTGTGCCCCAGTTGGGCAATTGATTCTGCTCTTTCATATTAATTTTTTATTCTGCGAACTCATATCTCTTCTCTTGCCATTTCTGTTGCCACCATCTTTTTAGGCCACTCAGAGATTCCTATTCTGTGCAGGAACCATTTGAATATTACTATATGTCAGATATCGAAGCTGGTCTTGGTTTGAAGAGGAAACACTTGATTGCCATCTCTCTTTTGGTCGGAAATGACTATGATTTAAATGGGGTGCAAGGCGTTGGGCTTGATACAGCTCTTCGTTTTTCCCAAACTTTTAGTGAAGATGAGATATTGAATAGGTCAGATACTAAATGGATTCATTCATATATGGCGTTTTTTGGTTTTCTGTTACAAAAGTTATTTTAATTGAAATGTAATTTTTCTGCTCAAACTTTTTAATTAGTTAAGTTTGTATTATAAATTTCGCACAGGTTACGTGAAATTGGAAATGGTGATGCTTCTCCCTTGCGAGGTGAAATAAGATCTGTGGATGATAGTGTACCCAGTCCAGATGAGAGCTCATTAAAAAGAAAATTCTCTCATTGTTCCTTTTGTGGGCATCCTGGCAGCAAAAGAACTCATTTCAAGTCTTCCTGTGAATATTGTAGTACCACAATGGGTGAGGGTTGCGTGAAAAATCAGAGGGTTTCAAATGCAGTTGCTCTTCTTGTGATATGGTACATTTATTTTCCCTTCTGATACCTATCCTTTATAGTGCATTTTTTGCGTCAACATATCAGGCCCCATCATAAGTCGAATTCAAATAGTCTGTTACAATTTTTGGCAATGTGCTCCATATTGCGTCCTTAAGTATAAGCTTTTAATGGTAATGGCAGGATCGTAAAGAAAAGGAGCAGAAGAAGCAAGATAATTGGCGATTGAAAGTTCTCAGCAAGATTGCACTGGAGCCGAATTTTCCCAATGATGCGATTATTGAAATGTATTTGGGCAACAGCCATGGTTACTTCACTGGTATGTTTTAACGTTCTTCCTAAAACTGGGACAAATAGTATAAATTCTTTTTCAATAGCATGGACTGAATATGACTTAAGAAAATTATGTCTTCTTCAGAAAAGGAGCTTTTTTCTGGCATAAGTTGTTTTGTAAATGTATCTTGTCAATTTCAGTGCACTATAATGTTTTAGAATTCTATGCACAGAAAATGATGGACCCTGCATATCATGGGGAAGTCCAAAAACTGAAATGGTGGTTGATTTCTTGGCTTATCATCAGCTGTGGGAACCATCTTATATTCGGCGGAGGATGCTTCCAATGTTATCAACTATTTTTTTAAGGGAAAAGGCTAAAGATCCTGTAAAAAGTTTGTTATACGGGCAGTATGAGTTCGATTCCATAGACCGCTTGAAAATAAGATATGGGCATCAATTTTATGTGGTCAAGTGGAAAAAATCCGCACCTTCTTTGGGTTGTGTCAGTTGCACAGTCCCTCTGGAGGAGTCAGATGTGCAACAAGATGATGTTATGGAAGTTGATGAATCCATTGATCCATTCGATGAGTCTGATGTTCCTATGATTGATATCAACAATGGTTGTTGCTTTTTGTTGACCGATGAAAATACGGACCTTGTCCATGCTGCTTTTCCGGAGGAAGTTGACAGATTTTTGCAGGAGAAGGTGTAATTTCTTTCCCTTTTCATTTCTATGTGTTTTTTGTTTCTTTCTTATTTGTGGTTTCCTTTTCCATCTTGCGTACCTGTTGAAAATTAAGGAAAATCTTGTATGCTTTTGTGCTTAAATCTTGCAGGAACTGAAAGAATTGAAAAGAAGAAAAACTGGGAAGCCAGAAACAGCAGGATCAAGAGGCGTCCAGTAAATATCACAGAATTCTACCGTTCGGCCAAAGTGTATGAGACAGAACCTGGAGAAATTCTAACCAAGAAGACAGAACCTGGAGAAATTCTATCAAGTCAGAGAGCTGAAACTAGCAAAGAAAAGAGAAAACCATCAAGCTCAAATCTCCCCAAGTCTGTAAGACGCCGTCTTTTGTTTGACTAAGGCATTTTCAGATTTTGGGCCTCTTGCTGCTGTTTAGTAGGAAAATTAATTGAAGATGTAAAGTTATCGCCTCCTTCTACCCCTTACTGAGCGTAGCCTGATGTGTAATTTCTGTAATTAAATTTTAGATTTATATAGCGTAGGTGCTGAGCAAAAGTTGCAGGATTTGAATCTTCCTTGAGTGAGCAATGCAAGATTTCTAGTGCGTTTATTGTAACATTTTGTATAAAGGTAAATTTGTCATTTTGAGATTTTTTTTATTTTATGGCTTCAGCAATTTATGGACGGAATCTCAACGTAATGGGTTTTGTGAAAACAATTTGAAACTTCAAAGGGCGTTAGTGTAATTTTCGAAACCTCGTAGATTTTATGTAAACATATAAAACCTCAAAAGTTTTACAAATAACTCAAAGGTGGGGAGGGGGGTGTGTAACGGAAGGTATTAAATAAAACACACATTTTACATGTGAAAGAATTTACAATCTTCTAAACATGGGAAATTCATTAGTGCCCTTGACCTTTTCATTCTATAATTGGCAGTCGTTCGTCAAGATAATTGTCATGCTATATATGCTTTTGACTCTCTTGTAGAAATTATTTGAAAAGCTATGGATGCTCAAAGCTATTGCCAACTTATCTGATTGTCACAATTGCTCTAATATTTTTCTGTCATCAAAAGCCAAATTGTAAGAATAAACACAACTCTTTCTTCTGGTAAGTTACAACACATTGAGCATTTCAAAACACTACAGAGATGATGGGTTATTTTTATCTTGTAATTTTTTTTTTTTGAAGACTATAACCCCGGGCGTGACGCCATGAGCGACGAGAAGGCCATCTCAATTGAATCTGTGAACAGTTCTAGTCCAAGACTTGAAGCTGTCAGTGTTTTGGTTGTTGATGGTGATTCTGCATGTCTTGCAATACTATCAAGAATGCTCTGTAACTTGGGGTATAAGGGTAAACATTTTTATCTTTTTCTTTTTGTTGAATTATTTGGTTTCATTATGGAGTCTTAATTGTTTTTCTTTTCCTGCAACCGCAGTCAAAACCCATTTCATTTTTATATTAACATGTAATTAATTAACCATGTAATTCTAATTTCCTTCAGGATTATTATGCTTACCTTGTTTGCCAAGGAAGTTTTAACCATTTGCCACATATGCTATGAGTCTATGACTTCCAAAATTTATTTTTCTCTCCAACTGTTTGCTTTATTTTTGCAAATACAGTTTTTTTTCTAACAGTTTCCTGCTTTATTCTTGCTAGCAGTTATGACTGCCAAAAGAGCCTATGATGCACTATCCATAGCTCAGAAGCAGGAAGATGAGCTTCATCTTGTGCTGACAGAGGCTCACTTGCCTGACATGGATAAATATGAGCTCTTAGAGAAAATGAAGGCAGTTTCCAAAGTACCAGTTGTTAGTAAGTTCTCAGTTTCAAAAACCCCATTCATGTTATTAGTTTGTACTCACCAGAAAACATTTTATTCATGGAGTTAGGCCTCTCTGATAGCATATGCTGCTGACTTGGTTTCTATTTATTTATGCAGTTATGTCTGATGATGACGATGAGAATGCTATGTTGGGTGGGCTGTTTAAAGGAGCTGTATTTTATTTTGTTAAACCACTCACAATCAACAGCCTAAAAAACCTATGGCAGTTTGCATTCATCAAGAACAGAAATCATGTGGTGATAGATCTCACTGAAGAGGAAAGTAGTGTTTATGGTGAATCCCAGCAAGAGAATACATCAAATGAGGGCTTGGAGAGTGACTCATTCATGACAAGAGACCGATGGTTGAAAATAAAAAAACCTGAAAGGACATACAAAGATGAGGATAAAGAGAATTCTGATTCAACTTCCCAAAGGAAGACAAAGATAGTTTGGACCAATGAGCTACATAAGAGATTCTTGCTAGCTGTCAGATTGCTAGGAGTTGATAGTAAGAGCCCTCTTGATATTGGTTCTGTGATGAATTTTTTACTTTACTTGGAGCTATTGAAACTAAGATAGCTAATTTATTTCTTGACTTAGGTGCTCATCCAAAGAAAATACTTCAGCAGATGAATGTCCTGGACTCAGGAAAGAAAATGTTTCAAGCCATTTACAGGTTTGCTTTTTTGTTGTATAGGATTCAGTACCTTTAATGCAGGATTTTCAACTTTATATAAGGATAAACAACTTTTTTGGTCAGTGATTTCTGCAACATTCTTGGTTATCCATTTTTCTTTTTTGAGAGAGAAACATCAACACATTCTTGGCTCTGCACTCCTTTATAAATGTTATTTTTGCAGAAATATCGCCTCTCGTTGAAGCGGGAACAAGAAGCAATCATGAAGGCCAGGGCCAGAGGTCCCAAAAAATCAAAGTTCCCATCACACCAATCTTTATCAACATTAAATTTTCGAGGAGGCTGTTCTCATACCCTGAATCGGTACTCGACCTCAACAGCATATCAACCAAAACGCAGAAGCCATGTTCAGGACCTCAGTAGTCACATGTCTAGACCTTCCCCTGCAGGTTCTGTACGTTTTCCAAGTCAAGTTTACTCAAGTGGACATCCAACTCTAGGCAATGAGTTAAGTTTTCCATCAATGCCATACCATTCAACTTATAAAAATGGGCAACCAACTCTATACAACCAGCTAGATTATACTAATTATCATAAAACTAATCACATTGGAAATAGGATCACCAGCAACAAGGAATTGGCTGGCTTTAGACAGGTGGGGAGCTTTGTCAGAAACAGTAATTTTGATGGGAACAAGAACTTCTCTACTTTTGGTGATCATGATCATTCAAATTTAGTAGTTTTCCCAATATTCCTGCATAATTCTACACAACAAGAAGAGCAACAGCAGCAGCAACTTCAACCACAGGTTCTGTTCTCATCACCATTGCAAATGCCTTCTCCGCCGCCACAGACACAGGAGCAACAAGAAAATGACATTCTTGGGCAGGAAAGGCAACTTCAACCACAGTTTCTACCATCACCACCATTGCAAATGCCTTCACCATCACCTCTGCCAGCAGCAGCAGAGCAGCAAGGAGAACAAGATGACATTTTTGGGCTTGAAAAACAACTTATGCAGTCACCACAATGGCATATGCCTTCAATGCCTTCAATGCCAGCAGCACCAACAGCACATGAGCAAGAGAAAGATGACATGTTTGGGATTGAAAGTGAAGAAACTGATGACTTATTTGACATTGCAAAAGGCACCACTCAACATATCAATGATGCTGATTTTGTTGATTTATGGTGAGTGGTGATCAAGCGTCTGACTTGTGTTTATGCTCTTGTAAAGTAAGCTTCAATTAAAGGTGTACATCTCCATACATTATTAGATAGAGACTATACGGTATACTCGCTTGTAAGCTCTTTCTCTCATCTCAATGATAAAGGAAGAGGATAAACAAGGAATATATATGAGAAATGTAAGTGGACAAGTTAGTCTTGAAGTAATATACAGCTTTAGTTTTTAGATTTATTATCATGATTAACTTACATTATTATATCTTTGTTTTTTTTATATAAAAAATTAGCGAGAATCGAACCATAAACTTATCCTAATCCTAACCCATTACTCCACCCTCTCTCACCACTTGAGCTAAACCCAGAGACCTTTATGTCTTTTAATTGTGAGTGTATTCGAACTTACTAAATAAATTTTCTATGCTATATATACTTGTCAGTAATTAAATTGTCCCATATGTTACTACTCCTGACCCAAAAAATTATTATTATTTGCATTTAAAATTGATTCGTTATTTGAGTATCATCAGAATATTTTTTAATTTTATTTATTATATATTCGTCTATTTACTCGATTATAATTCAATGTCTATTTGATTGTCGGTTTAATTAATTTTTGAAAGGATAATCTTCAACGAGGGCACTAAATAATTGTAAGGAGCGACTGAAAAAAATACTGTGGGCCATGTCTATGCATTTTCTATAAATAAATTTCAGTTATTGATCAATTAAAAAGAAATTCAGGTCATTGAAGAAGTTTTATTCATGGTTGTCATATTATTATTGGGATGACTCTCTTTTACAGTTTGAGTCCTTTGTACTCTTTATTTCTTATTGATCTAATCAATTGTTATCGCATTTTATCAAAATACAAATTTTAATTTTAATTTGTCAAAGAAAAATGGCTTTACCGCATCCACACCACCAACACAAAAATGAAGAAAAACAATAAAACCCATTATTTGTTGCATGAAAGGGATGGGAATCAAACAATATTTGAATACCTGGGCTATAAATCCGGGTTAATTATTTATACTAACCCAAAAAAAAATCGTTAATAATATTTAAATTTTATCCAAATCAAAAAAAATACAACTAAAAAAAAAAAAAAAAAAAAAAAAAAAAAAAAAGAAAATATTGGACTGGTCACCAATTTTTATTGGGTAGATTACTTGAGGACCAATTAAGATTTTCTCTCTCCGTGTTACATTTTCACTCATACTTTCCTAATCACATATGTCAATCTGATTTCCTTTGGTTACAGAGATTTATTTGGCTTCCTCAAACCGTTTGTATTGGAATTAAAACTTAGTTCATTCCATTATTTAGGGTTGGCATTAACTGAAGCCCAAACCTTCTATTTCCAACTCACACTAGGATTAAGCAACTATATAACATTAACCCTTTTCACTTGTGTCTCTTAATTTGTTAACGGGTTAGCGCTTTCTTCATCGATAACATTGATGAGAAAGATCAGAGAAGAGAAGATGAGTTTGGTGAGTAAGGTAGGTTTTGGTGATGGCTTGTCCCCTCTCGAGATTTTGTCAGAGACGGTTTGTAGTATATTCAAGGTGCATCAAGAGAAACAAGAGCATTCTTCAGAATCTCCAAAGAAAGGAAGCTCCTTGTACTTCAATTTCTTGAATGATCCGTCTAGCCCTAGCAATACTACTCCTGTAAGTATTAATTTCTCTGATCACATATTCAGTAACTTTTCATTCTTCTCTCTTTAGTTTTTTTTCTTTTCTAAGATATGCAATTATTTCCTAACATTTAATTTAATTTGTCTCAGAAAAAAGGCAACGGGCCAGCGATGATCACGAGAAAAGAGGCGATATTGGAGAGTCCTAGCAGTCATGACGAGGATGATGATGGCCGCCAAGTCCTACTCGTTGATCATGCAGAAGAAAGGTCAGAACTGACTTTTCAATTGCAAATTCCAGAGTACGTATTCTCTCTCTCTCTCTCTCTCTCCCTACCTTATTTATAAATATTAATGATTAATAATGAACTGAATATGTTCATGATTAATTATTCTCTCTCTCTCTCTCTCTCTCTCTCTCTCTCTCTCTCTCTCTCTCTACCTTATTATAATGTTAATGATTAGTAATGAACTGAATATGTTCATGATTAATTATGCACTGTGCATATCAATTACTTAATTTGCTGCAAGTTTAATTTCTCACTATGCCTGTTTCTCCTACTTTAGGGGTAGACCAAAAACAGTTGTAGCGGTTGAAACCAATCAACCAAACTAATTTGAATGGCTTTTATAGCTAAAACATGTAATCTCGACCCAAATGAAACCAAGTCGTGCACAATAAAATTTGGTTTGACCTATTTAGAAACTAAACTAAACTGCATATATTAAGCTTATTGTGTTTTTTCTACACTTGACATTTTTTTTATGGGTTAATTAACTAATTACGTGTTGTAATTTCTGTCGCAGTTTAGTTAAGGAATGTTTTCCACACCCTAAGAAACGAAGGTCTTCATCACCTACTAATATTAATAGCATCATCCTATTTGGACAAAAGATAACAATGAGCACGAGTGGACGTGCTAGTACTAGTGGTAGTAGTACTGAATTTGATCAAATTAATCAAGAGCAGGCAATGACTGTTAAGAATGCTTCTTTGCAAAGAAGATATATTTTTGATGAGGATGATAAAGATTGGGTTGCTGCTCCTGATAAGAAGAAGAAAAGGGTCAAGTTTTCGGTCAATATGAATTCAAGCAAAGGCCAGGGCAAGAACAAAAGCGTACCCGAACCTATTCATGAGTTGCCTGAAGAATTCAAGCAAGTGATATTGGGAAAAATGAATGGGACAAAGCTCCAATTATTGGCACAAAAGAGTTTGTTCGAGGCTGACATAAAGTCAGGCCAAGGTAGGTTGTTGCTGCCTCGAGAGCAAACCACATCAAAGAACCCCAAGAAGTTCCTCAAGCGCAAAGAGAAGGCCATACTTGACAAATATAAAATGCAGGTTTCATTGATAGATCCCGTGCTTCAGCAAGAAGATATTACCTTGGCGTGGTGGAAGCTATCAAAGAAACCAAAAAAGCGATCCTTTGTGTTGACACATACCTGGAATCACATTGTTAATAGCATCATCTAGATACAGATGATTTGGTTCAAGTTTGGTCATTTCGGGCTATTAACCCTAATTTTAAGCACGATGATCTTGATTGTGATTGTGATTGTGATAATAATTGTCGTGATGTTCAGGATTATGACAATGTTGATGATGATCTGAATGACGATGATGGTCAGCTTCATTTGGCGCTTGTGTTGGTTAGGAGAGGTGATCATGTCTTCAAGGAAGATGGCAACAAAGAAAGTAGTGGAGGACGAGAAGTTGTAGGTGGCAGCATTTGTGGAAGTTGCAGCCCTGAAAAAATTGGTAGCAGCAGTCCCAAAGTTGGTGAAAAAAGACCAAGAGACTTTTAATCAAGACTCTTTTATATAATAGATTTTGTAAATTTGTTTAGAACGAGCTTTTCGTAGCTTCAACTAGCTAAGTTTGGTATTTGCAATATAATTAAGAAATTAACTAACTAGCTTTGTATGTAACAGTGATGAGATTATGAATGGATCTGTGTACTATGCGTACAATTTGTAGAATTAGCAATTGACAATGGGAAATGTTTCATAAGAAAAGCCCCAAAGAAGGCACCGGAGAAGTTACTAAAAGCCCCAGGCTCAAAAGACCTTCCAACAAACTAGGAAGGAAAATAAGGATTATAAATAAAATATTTACAACCCCAACAGTGAACACTGAACAACAGAAATGAACTCACCACCTCTTCTTCTTCTTCAGCAATCTCTCCCGCCAATATCCCCCACTGAAAATCTAATTCAACTGAAATCTCCACTCACGGTGCACAATAGCACACCCGGCGCACGAACACCTGCATCATCATCATCATCACTTTGTTATATAAGAGCTTGCTCTGGTAAAACAACAAGAAGAGTAGGAAGAGGAGGAAGAGGAAACCCAGATGACTACCATGCCACTCTCACTGCTCTCAACTCCAAAGGCCGCTTCCCTAGAAAATCCCTCGGCCAGGTTTTTCACTTCCTCTCTCTCTCTCCCTCTCTCTTAATAAATTTTCCCTTTTTTCTCTTTGTTTTTTTATGTTTCAAATTCTGTGTTCTTGTGTAGGTTCTTAGACAATGTGTGGAAGATAGTATGTGGGTTTGGTTCCAATTATGTTTCTTTATGTGGGTTTGGTTCCAATTATGTTTCTTTAAAGTTTGTTTTCCAAAATTTAGTTAGAAATGGTAAGCAGCCTCGGGTTTATTTCTGAATGATTTGGTTTTGAATTTTCTTAGTTTGTTTAATTTGTGTGTATTTCAGCATTATATGTTGGATTCTGAGATCAATGAGCAGCTCACTGCTGCGGCTAATGTTGGAGAAGGTGATGTGGTGCTAGAAATTGGGCCAGGAACAGGTCTTTGACTAATGTGCTTATTAGTGCCGGTGCAATTGTGCTCGCAATTGAAAAGGTTTCTGTGTGTGTTTCTTCTTGGTTATCCAATTAGAATCCTGGGTCTTTGAATTTGAAGCCTTGCAAGAAGAGTGGTATTTGTTGCAAATTTGACAAATTGCTTTTAGTATTGTACACTGATTTGTAGAATGTTTTATGCGCTTTAGGATCCACACATGGCTACTCTTGTGAGTGAAAGATTTTCAGAGACTGAACGGTTCAAGGTAAACCACATTTTGGTCATATTTTGCTCTGTCTTATGCTACCAAGAAATGAGCTCTTCTTTAGCATTCTGGCAAACTTGGTAGTGATATCACTGATATGTTTCTAAAAGTGCTTTGCCTTTGGAGCAACATCTTTGGATTCTGAACAGGATGGAATTGAAGTTTTATGCGCTTTATGCATCATTGTTTTTATTTTTGTAATCTGTAGGTTTTGAAAGAGGACTTTGTCAAATGTCACATTCACTCTCATATGTCATCATTGTTGGCAAGTATAGAGCCATCCAGTGCAGATTCAAGATATGCGAAAGTAAGTACCCTTCTTGGTTGATTAAAATGAATTTGACTTCCTAATGAGATGCATGCTAATTTCGCAACATTCCGTGCTCAAATGGAAACACTTGCTCTTTTCTCTGTTTACAAATATCCTAAAATATGGCCTATTTGAGTTTCTGATTGCAGGTAGTTGTAAAAAAAAAAAAAAAAAAAAAAAAAAAAAAAAAAAAAAAAAAAAAAAAAAAAAAAAAAAAAAAAAAAAAAAAAAAAAAAAAAAAAAAAAAAAAAAAAAAAAAAAAAAAAAAAAAAAAAAAAAAAAAAAAAAAAAAAAAAAAAAAAAAAAAAAAAAAAAAAAAAAAAAAAAAAAAAAAAAAAAAAAAAAAAAAAAAAAAAAAAAAAAAAAAAAAAAAAAAAAAAAAAAAAAAAAAAAAAAAAAAAAAAAAAAAAAAAAAAAAAAAAAAAAAAAAAAAAAAAAAAAAAAAAAAAAAAAAAAAAAAAAAAAAAAAAAAAAAAAAAAAAAAAAAAAAAAAAAAAAAAAAAAAAAAAAAAAAAAAAAAAAAAAAAAAAAAAAAAAAAAAAAAAGGCATTATCAGACTTGACAACAGCAAAATTGAAGTCAGGAAGTTGGTTATGTTCAATATGGAATTCTTAGAAAAGATGTACTCTCATAGTGAGCAGAAGATGGGCTCAAAACAGAGTATGAACATTCTACGTCTGTGAACAACTTTATATATACAGAAATCAGATTATATTTGTAAGCTCCATTTCCACTTTCTACGCAAAAATTCAGAGTTTTGTACAGTGATTTAGCACAACCTCCGCCGCTCGTACCATCTACAACAGATATAACATTCTGGCAGGTATGGAATCGCCAATCAAACCTACCTGGCCTACCATGTGGTTTTTACTGGTTCTCTGGATCAAACTCTTTCATTTTATCGTGCGTTGTTTCTGGTTCTCTAGATGGATCGGTTCGGAAGGGGTTCCAGGAGCAGATTCCTGAATGCCCTTGGTTGCTAACATTACCTTGCTGAACGCCAGAGCCAGGTAATAGCCACAGTTTGTGAATTCAGTTGAAACCCAGAATCGTCAAACGATCGAGGCATCTAAACGTTGCGATCTCACATGTTTATTCCAAGGGATTCTTTTAATGGCAAACGGCAAACTGCAGGTAGACTGTTTCCTCAGCCATGTACAATGTCAGGAGAGATGAAAACTGTGGGCCACATTTGGGCATGATTCGCTACTTCTTTCGCTCTGGTACTCCCCCAAGCATATTGGCACCTGCAGGACCATAAAGATTAAACTTCAATTTAGCAAGCGTCCAAAAGGAATGAAATGACTACCAAAACTCAAGGACATTCCATAAAAAGAGCGGCAAACTAACGTCCTGTAAGCTATAATAAATGTAAGATCTTTTCAATCAACTAATTCAGATTTTAAGGTTAGGTGGGAAACAAAGGAGATTCCTTAGGCACTAGAAAAAAATAAATTGCAAAGCTTACTGCGCATCTTCCAAGGAACTGAAAGCTTTGTGATCAAACTTCATGGTAGGGATTGCAGAAACCACAACTTGTTCAAGGCCACTGGCCTGATGCTCTGGCTGCCAGCAAACAGTGAAACCTTAGAATCCATTGCTCAAAACTTAAGTTACAATGACAACACGAAAAACTCTCAAGTTTTGGTGGAATGGCATCAGTAGCAGTGAACACAAAAGCAAAAGGGCATGAAGGAAACCAATTCAGTCTCTTGGGTTATCAAAACTAAAAGCCATGAAGACTTAGGAGTTCTTGTATGATTCAAATAGAACAATCAAATATCAAAGCTATTGTTCAAGGCCACGCCATTTTTTATTTATCCTTTCTTTTCAGTAATTTGTATTGTCTGCACACTAAGGAAAACTAGTACATTGCAACATATAGCAGAGTTGACTCTCCCAACTACAGCAGAGTTCATATCAAAACAAGAACATAACAAGCCATCAAAACAAATGAAAATCATGAAACACAAACCAGCCTACCCAAATAAGGTACTGAGAAGCTAACTCACATATTGATCCCAGTTACAAAACAATCATTCAAGCATAATCAACTAAAAACAAAAGTACATACAGATATAAGAGGTATTCATAATTGAGAAAACTACCTCAAATCAGATTTCCTAGCTGAGAAAACAATATAGGACGGGCAATTCAGACATACCTGCTCAACATCAATCCTTGATTCAATCTCGAACATAGGCCGTGATTCGCCACCTCTTAGCCTGCCACAAATGATTCTTGTGCAGACAAATACTATAAATGTTGCACTCATACCAAAACCAATAACAGTAGTGATCAAGTTCATACCCGAACCCATATCTGCAAACTCCTACTTCTCTCACCCCAAAAGTCCCCAAAACCAAAACAAAGACTCACAAGCCCCAATAACTAAAGGAAGCTGGAAAAAAAAAACCCACTAAAACAATGAAAACCCACAACTTAAAACAACAAATGAATGGTGAAACAAATAAAAATGAAGAGTGACAAAGACCCAGATCAGAATCACTGAAGAAATGGCTAGTTTTGAAAGCAAGATTCAGGAAGACCAGTCACAAACAAAGCTACCCATTTGGCATCTCAATCGCTTTGGATAGACTCAAAGCTTAAAACAAAGTCATGGAGGCTTTCAATAGATGTTGAAGATGAGAAAGGGAGTTGTGGAAGGAAAGGAGGCAGTTCATTGTCTTGCTCTTTGGAATCGCATTAATATGGGGTCCATTTCAATGGGACCCAACAACAAAATATTAACAGGGGTTATATATCTGACGGTTGAAACAAAAAAGAGAGGATTTTGTAAAGATTCCCATGTTTGTTTAAGGTAGAGAGAAGAAGAGAATCTGTGTGTGTCCTTGCCCCTCTGCTCCTCTTACCTTTGCATCTTCTGTGCTTTCTCAACCATACTACTTCTGGATAAGGCCTTAGAATTGGGTCCAAAAAGTATCTTCACATGTCTGTTCCTGCAATTTTGCAAATATTGAAGGGCCAATATTTTATTTCAATGTGTGGAACGCTTTTCTTTGCAGCCATTGGTCATGAGCTGGCAAGAATAAGATGGATTCTTATAGTTTATTACATTAATGTTTTTCTTTCCAATCATTGTCTTTGTTGTAGTTCAACGGCTGGGAAGAAGTGTTGGTTGCTTGCTACTTGCTTAAATCTAAGAGGCCAAAGTAGATAAAACTAATGCAGGAAAACTTGGAGCTCTGTCAAAGGTACTTGTTCTATGGACTTGGATTCTCATATGAGCATCCAACTTTGTGTTTCTTCTTTTGGCCTTTTAATCTTAACATATGTGGCTTTATTGTTCGTTTGTTTTGATTTCTGAAAGACCAACACTTGTCACCTTAACCGCATAAAAAAATTAAAATAAAACACTTGTCACCTTAAAGAAACATCTTTTTTTTTTCCTTTATGTCTTCATCCTGGGTTTGATTGGAAGGGAGCCGATGTGGGAATGATCTTTTTAGAAAAACTATCTTCTTCATAGTGTAATCAATCTTTGGGATGGAACACATGATTCCATCCTATTATTATATAGTACTAGTCATCTGATGTTGGTACAACTATGCTATGTGTGTACTTTTTGGCACATAAAAAAAGGGAAAAACAAATAGGGTGGAACGCTCCATGAGGAGAAAAGTCTTTGGGTGCCGATGCTCGGAAACACACTCACATGGAGGTGTGATCGAATGAGACTCTTATACATGGATCTATATAACGAGTAAATGAATTAATAACGTCACATGATGTGTTGCATTTACCCACAAATTATTTTATGCTCCAATGACAATATATTATTTGCATTCTAACACAGGATTGTGACATTGTTGCACTAACATGTTATTTGCACCTCTAAGAAAAGTGCGGTTCCCAAAAAAATATAAAACAAAGACTTTGTTTTAAAGGGAAAAAAAAGGAAACAAAGACTAAATATTTAATGGTTGAATCCCACCAAAACCAGTTGACACGTAATGGTTTGGCTATGGCACATTATGAGATAGTAATAAGCTGTAAACATAGACTTTAAGTTTGCTAGAGTAAGTCAAGTTGGCTAGAATGAATGTGCTTTCTACTTTGCTTTCAAGTTTGAATTCTCCACCCGTAGTTTAGTTTAGATTAGATTAAAATATAATATCATTTCTATAAATAAAAAAATTGCACCACTCATGCCTACCGAAATTGACTTCATCTCACTTTGGCAATATCTATTTCCTCCCAATTTTTCTCACCTCATGCTCTCAGTAGTTTTCCCAGTCTCTCAAGTCTTAACCTTTGTTTCAGGTCCACTGTTGAAGGGCATTTGTGGTAAATTTCCATATGTACGGTTAATGCGTTTTCATAGAAGAAAATATGAAAGTTTTCATCCTACATTCCTCAACAAGTTGAAGTGACAGACAAAAGACATGTAGGATTAAGTTTTGCTCAAATTGAACAAAGGGCAATGCTTTGCTCTCTATGTCAATAATTTCTTTGCTTAGCTATTTTCCTCAGGCTTGCCAAAGGATGACTTAGAAGGCACACAAAAGAAAAATAATTGGGAAAACTTGTATGCAGCTTCTTTGCACATGCATCTGCTTAAGCCAGGCCAATGAAATGAAAAAGGTTCATGCCTTCAGCTGCTACAGTTATTATTCTTCTATGTGGGTTTCCAATATATTTGGAATTATACCAATTCTATTCTTATAGGTTACTCAAGCAATCATTCTTTGTTAGTGATTTCTGCACTAAAGAAATGGCCATTTCCAAGGAGAAACAGCCAAACTAAAGTGCACCAACCGATCTGTGCACCTTCTTCCATACAAAATTCAAGGCTCCCTGTGAGTCACCATAAACCGAAGGACAAAAAAAAGTGCACAGAACACAAATGCACTCAAATTCATGTCACAATTGCAAAACTTCAAAAGCAACTACACGAGACACTAAATGAATAGAAGGGAAAGCTTTTCAAAATTTAAATTTAAACCACCTGTCATTACAGTAAAACTTTTAATAGAAAAGTTCCCAAAATGAAAAGAAAATCAATGAAGTAACAACACTGTCATCAGAATGCAGACAACAACATAAGCAATCAAAATATCCAATCTTTCAATAGAGGAAAAAAAAAATATAGCACTGTAAACCCAGTGCACAGACAGACACACATAACCAAACAGTAAAATTTCACATGAAAAATTCAAATCCTTCTGAAGTTACACTTTTGAAGGTGGCCTTCCCATTAGCGGCATTAAAAGTATATAGTGTGCAAGTGGGATGAGGATAAACTTATTGTCAAGCAAATCAAACATGGTCTCATGAATAGACAACAGGGCTAAAACACATGCGTAGGTACAAAATCAATCAGAAACATACGACTTTTGAAGTCAACTAAGAATAAATCTCATCTTACATCACTATTTTGCGTGGCCTTATCAATGTCAAAACAGCCAGCCAAATCCTATTGGATATTTCATATTTTTCCACACCACACCAACTACACAAGTGACCATTTTACCACTTAAGAGTCAGCATATGTACTTTGTGTCACTCTTGGGATCAAGACACACAACAAACTGCAACTAATTCATTCCCATCTATCTCTGTTTCTCAGCTAAATAAAACTCATCCAACTTTTCCAACCCCACTGATTTGTCACCATCCATTCATATACATGTACTTTAATTTCCTTCTCTGCCCCAAGCAAAATCACATATATTTTGACAAAGAAAGACAGTTCTAAATCCATATATATATATATATATATATATACACACATTAAAGTAAAAGGGATCTTCAACAAACTTAAAGGAAAAAAAGTTACCATTAAGAAATATTTTAGTACAAAAAAAGGGCATCCCCCCAGGTCAAAACAAGCCTGCATCCACTTTGACACCAGAAAACACCATTTCCTCTGTCCACCATATCAGGCAAAACAAAAACAAATGCATAACATCCAACACAGTTGCACAAAATCAACAACAAACCCATTTTCCCAATCTGGCAAACAAACATGCCCATAACATCAATTCCTTCCTTCCATCATCCATACCAATCAAAAAATAAAACCAACAACCCACCATTTTATTTAGATTTTCAAAGTACCCAACTTTGCCAAACCCAAACAAACCTTAACCCTCCACAGCACTTCCAACAGGAACATGAATGTCCTTATAGAGGCAAACATAAGGCGCATCACACCCGATGTACTTGCCAGTCCACCTCCCCTCCTCAATATAACTAGCATCCCAAACAGAAGCATACAAATACATAGGCTTGTGAGGAAAAGCCTCACCCTTTTTCCTCTCAACCCTCCTCACCAATTTCCCATCAACCAACCACTCAATCAAATCCTGACCCCATTTGATCACATAAAAATGAAACCCATCAGAACAGTCAAAACCCAGATCATGAAACTCCTCTTTGTTACCTGTGCCGCCAATGTAATAGTTAGTCTGCACAATTGTCCTGTCCTTGCCCAAAAACTCGAAGTCAATCTCGTCCTGTGACTTGTCACCTTCCAGGGACGAGAGGTAGATGTTGAAGTTGAGGCCGCTGGTGTTGCCACGTGGGCACTGAATGAGGGAGCTGAAGGTGCCGTAGAGGAACCTTGTGGTGGTGCGCCACCGTGCGCCGCCGCGGTGGTCGTAGGTGAGGGTGATGGTGTTGGCGTCTGGGCAGTGTGTGCAGGCCTCCGGGGTGTAGTCTATGGCGATTTGCTTGAGGGGTTGGGTTTGGTTGTGGGTTGGGTTCTCTGGGTGCAGCGCTGGGTCTGCCATTGAAGATGCGAATAGAGAATGAGAGAGCTTGAGAGTGATGACTATGGCGGGAGCGTTAGATCTAATATATGTGAGTTGCTGTGCCCATTTTTTCCTGTTATTTATTTATTTATTTTAATATGCAGAAAGATTTACAAAACTTTTTTTTTTTAAAGGATATATTTATCATTATTTCCAGCCAAAGAGAAAATAGAAAACTATTGAAATTATGATTATGATCCTGCAATTTCACCAAAAGTTGCAAACTAACTAGTTTACCCACCGTTGCGATTTAAGGATACAAGTGATATTGAGAGAAAGGGAAATCAAACATAGAACATCAGGTGGAGAGCTATAAGTCTCTTGCTTGTCGAATTTTTCAATAGAATTAGAATGCAAGTAGCATATGTAAGGCTAAGATGGACTTTCTAGAAGCGTAAAACACCTCCCACATTGCCTTCACATGCTAATTTTGTCGAATTTTAAAAAAACAATTAGGTAATTGCGCTTAAATTGCAATAGATAATAAACAAAATAAGTTAAATCACAACAATTAAAACTACATAGAATAAAATGTTATATTGCCAAAAGCTACATAGACCAAACTTATAGTTTGACACTTTTTTTTAAATAACTTATGTCTTGTTTGGTATCCTACTCAAAAAGCAAATTCAAAAACTATGATTCTTTTTAAAAATATGAGTTTTCAAATAGTGATTTTAAGATTTAAAAATTTGTTTGGTATTGAACTCCAAAATATTTTTAAGATCTAAAAAAATTGAAATTAAAATCAGAAAATTAGAAACCCTAGATTCCTAAATTGAAATTAACAAAGGAAAAGGAGAGAGAGAGAGAGAGAGAGAGAGAGAGAGAGAGAGAGATAGACATACATATAGAAGAGGGAGGAGAGACGGGAGATGAAGGAGAGAGAGAGACGAGAGAGGGAGTTGAGAGAAAGAGACGGGAGAGGGAGGAGAGAGAAAAAAAAACTATAAAACCTCACTTTTTTGTTTTTAATAATGGGGTGATTTTTGAGTTTTTCTTGAGTTTGAATTTTTAAAATGGGCCTATTGAAAGGGTTTTTGTGGTTTTAAACTTTAAATATGTTTTTGAGTTTATAAAATTGGGTTATTGTAGCAATGGTCTCTCAACTATACTCGAAGTTACATTTTGGTCACTCAACTCAAATATTAGTTGCAGAGGTCACTCAAATGGGTGTTATGTTGCACCATTAGTCCATACCATCAAGTTTGTGACTTTTTATGTTTAAAATGATGACGTGACAAGCATATCTTAGATTATTGATGGGCAAATGTGACTTTTCAGTTAGGATTATTTGTAGCAATGATCTCTCAATTATACTCGGAGTTACATTTTGGTCACTCAACTCAAATATTAGTTGCAGAAGTCACTCAATTGGGTGTTGTGTTGCACCATTAGTCCCTACCCAATTGAGTGACCTCTGCAACTAATATTTGAGTTGAGTGACCAAAATGTAACTCCGAGTATAGTTGAAGAACCATTGCTACAAATAACCCTATGAAATTATATCCAATTAGGATACCAAACAACCCTTAACTTCTTAAAAAGTAAACACCAAATTTTATTACAAAGAGAATCTTACTTCGTAGAAATTCTTACTTTTATGTTAATACAATTTACATATGTGTTGAACTATAATTTACAAAAAGGATGAAAATCTACTTTCAAATAGTAACATTTGGTCAACACCCTTTTGCAAGACTGCAACTACCCAAGGCCATCCATTTAATGGGAAACGACCATCCATTCCAAATATCTTGAGAAAATAAATGCAAATTGTGATTTACAAACGAAAAATGTTACAAAAACCATTTATAGAGAGCAACTTGTGTATCATCTCTCTAATAAGAGAAATCCTTATGTTACGGGGATATCACTTTTTGCTATTCATGACCAATAAAGCAATGACATACAGGATAACTTTTTCACGTATCATTATTTTATTGGTCAGAAATAGCAAAATAGTGCTATCCTAATTACATGTAAGTTTTTTTTGCTCTAATAGAGGTGAGACTATTATATTGATGAGCTCTATCTCTATTACAGAGTTGATACGCAAGTTAGTCACCCTAGCAATAGGCACATGTCAAATGTTGAGAATAATGATGATAGTACACCTTGGGGGTAAAGTAATGAGCAAAAATACTCCTCTTATAAATATCTCCTTCCAACTAATAACATCCAAATCAACACCCTTTTGCAAGACTGCAACAACCACGGGCCATCCATTCAACGGGAAACGACCATCCATTCTAAATATTTTGGAAAAAATAAATACAAATCGTGATTTACAGAAATAATGAAGATCTCTTTCCAACTAACTAGTAACATCCGGTCAGCACCTTTCAACCCACTGAAGAACGAAATATTTAGTGAGAATTGTCGGGATCAACCCACTCACGTCAAAAATACAAGGAAAAAGGGCAAAAATAAAACTAAAACAAAACTCCACCAAGTTTAAATCATACAAGGGTAAAATGGGAAATTTGAAAATTTTGACCTAGGGTGTAGTGAGCAAATAGTGAATATTCTAATAATTGTTCCGTTTTATTATTACTCTTTTCTTTCGGCCTAATTTGCTAAAAACTAATAGGGCTTCATATCATACGTCGCCGTTCGACTGACTTTGCCTCTGTTTACGCGTACTGTCCGAATTGTGCAGGAGCTCCCCAAAGCGATTCGAGAGCCGTTCGTCCAATTATTCCTAGGGTTTCTCTGAGCTCTCTCTCCCAAAGACTCTAAGGTATGAAAGCTCGGATCTTTTTCGTCTAATATGTTCAGCAGATCTAGCTTTTTTCTATTTTTGAACCCTTATTATTATTACTTGATTGTGCCCGTTTGCTTTAGGATGTAACTATTATGATCCCCACTTTGACTTCTTGTACTAACTTTTTGTGTGTAATTAAGCTTCATAATCATACACCTACTTGATCAAGTCAAAAATATGTTCCTTTCTGAAATTTCCCATTGTGTTTTTTCGGTGTGGTGCATTTGCTTGTGTTTTTGTGTTGCTTGAGAGTTGGAGAGCTCACTAAGTGTTTGTATAAATGCCACTGACACAAGGTATTTACCTAATTGTCCTGTTATTGCATCTGGAAGGGCTTGAAAACTTTGAAGCTTGAAGAAATGAGGCCAATATTTTGCGGCAACTTGGATTTTGATGCACGGCAAGGGGATGTTGAGCGGCTTTTCAGGAGATATGGGAAAGTTGAGAGGGTGGATGTTAAGTCTGGTAAATAAGTTTTCTGATTAAATAACTTATTTTCTGCTGTGTTTTCATCATGGTCTGTTTTAGTTCTCGATCAAAAGTACTAGTTTCGTTGGCTGTTGGTAGCATACTTGTAGTACTGGGTTGTTTGGTTTACTTCGAATTTTCTGTTGTGTTTGTTGGGTGTGCATTTGGCAGCCAAGATAAAAGCCTTAAAGCTTTTTCAAGCTGCTGTTTTTTGTGGTGAAATCTGAAGTGGGGCATGGCTGAATCTTCCTACTGGGATTTGGTCTGTATGAATTAGTGGAGATTTGAGGTTTGGGCACCATATATTTATCTCTATGAGATGATACAGATTTGGGTAGATAAATAGAATACATATGGTTTAACAGCAATGGAGTAATTTAACAGGGGAATTCTGTCATCATGCAGATGTGTCAGCTGCTAACAAGGATTTTCTGCTGTGTCTGAAAATCTATTCCGACCTTATTTGTGAATGAAAAGAGTTTCCTCCTGTATTGAGACATAGTGGGGTTCCTGGATATGTTTTAGAAAGGAACATATGGTGTACAACCTGAAAAAGGTTTATTTCAAGATTTGGCTCATTGACCCTTTTTGTATATAAGCAAATACGTACAGAAATATGAAGTCTGGTTGTATTCCTCGGCCTTTTTTCTCCTTTTCTTCACAACATATTGACATGTAGAAATTCCCTTTCTCTTGTAAATTGAAAATCTATGAGAGATGTCTTTAAGGAGAACTGTAGGGGTGGGAATGCAGTGGACAGTACATATCCTTCATTTTAAGAAACATGAGCTCTTTCTCTGGGCTGTTAGATTGGAGTAAATTCAACAGAGGGCATATTTTCTAAGAAAATTAGCTGTTATTCAAAAGGGTCAATATGTTATTCCTTAACTTATTATTTAGATGGGTGTACACACTATTTTCCCTACAGAGAAGCAGGTTACTTTTTTATTGCAGTGTAAACCTGCATACTCAAGAATTTCTTTGGCGCAGGGTTTACTTGGAATGTCCATGCTCTTCTTGGATGGGTCCGCTTATCTGCATTTCTTTTGTAGCATGTGCCCAGGCTTCACTTATTGTATTTTACCAGAAGAATTAAACTGATCTGCCCTAGTCCTGCCATCCTACTTTACCTCAGACACCATTGCTTTTTCATTCCTCATGAATTTGCTCAGTGTTCAATTTCCGACATGTTCCAACATAGATTCCATGATGATATCGCAGCCACTGGCAGGTTTTGTGTTACTCTCTAGCAGATGATTTGTATGCACATAATTTTATTAGTGTTTGAGAAGTCAACATTTCCTCATAGATTCTATGGTGATGTTTTTCTTATACTAAAAAAAACATGTATGCCTAATAAACTTGCTAAAATTGTTTTGGTGACTTTGTTTTACGTGCTTTGGTTACTTACCACTCTGGTTTTAATAAGATTTATTCAATATTGGTTAAATAGGATTTGCTTTTGTCTATATGGATGATGAACGAGATGCTGAGTATGCCATTCGGAGACTTGACAGGACAGAATTTGGTAGGAAGGGACGCCGACTTCGTATTGAGTGGACCAAGGTAAAATCGATGATATGGTTGGGTTCCAACAAAATGATTTATCACTTTATGGTCTCTTTCATAGCATAGTTGCTGAGCATTTTGGCATCGCACATAGCACGATCCTAAACATACAAGTATAATACTGGATCCTGACTTTTCTGTCTGGCATGGAAATTTTGGCTTAATCTATTCCTTTACATAATTTTAATATTGTGATTGTGTTGGTCAAAACCATATTCCCTATACCTCCTTGCTATATTTTCTGAACTTATGCATGCAAAGGGTACATATGTTTGTAACTGCTTTGTGATGCTCGACTCCTCTCATTTATATAAGTTGGTATTACACAAGATCAAATGGATAAACAAAGTCACAGGATTTACTTGATTATTTTGTCAGAATTTTCACTCATTTAATCACATTTTATTCTGTATTGAAGCATGAAAGAGGGATTAGGAAACCTGTTGATTCAAGAAGACCTTCAGCGAACACGAAGCCCTCGAAAACCTTGTTTGTTATCAATTTTGATCCAATCCATACCAGGACAAGGGATCTGGAGAGGCACTTTGATCCATACGGAAAAATAGTGAACATAAGGATTAGAAGGAATTTTGCATTCATTCAATATGAATCACAGGAAGATGCTACCAAAGCATTGGAAGCAACAAATTCAAGGTTCTATTTTCCTCGATGACTTCTAGAATGATGTTTGCTTGATTTACAAATTCCAAGGTTTTTGCCTTTGGACAACCATGTCAGCATATGATTGTTTGGAAGTGACTTCAAAGGGAGAATGGCTCTAACTTCTGTAGGAAATTCAGTTTTGATTGAGTGAAAAGCCATGTCATTTGTAGGCATTTCATTGCAGCAGCTTAGTCTAAACATTATTTACAAGAAATTTTTACCAAAAGAAGCTGGTATATGCGGTTGCAAAGAAAATGAAATGAGCTTCTTGGTATTGTCGTTAAAAAAAGTCTTATAAATTTATTCTTGAGATTTAAGTTTTACTCTTTTGAATTAACGTTTTAAAAGAAGAGACAACTACTTTTAGATAATATTCTCAATGGTTTTATTTAGCAAAAGATATTCTGTATGAATCCATCTCAACAATTTGCAACTTGCTTCATATTAACTTTAATTAATTTCTTTTTGAGGTACAGCAAGTTCATGGACAGGGTTATTTCCGTGGAATATGCTGTTCGTGATGATGATGATAGAAGAAATGGACACAGTCCTGATAGAAGGGGCCGTGACATGTCTCCTGAAAGAAGAAGCAATGATCGTGGGCGATCTCCAAGTCCATACCGCAGGGATAGGGCTAGCCCTGATTATGGCCATGGCTCCCGTATAAGTTCTAGATCTGATCCAAGAAGAAGTCCTGATTATGATAGAGCTGAAAGCCCAATCAATGATAGATCCCGTCCTAGTTCTAGACCTGAACCAAGGAGGAGTCCCAGTTATGAGAGGGCTGCTAGCCCAGTCAATGATAGATCCCGTCCAAGTTCTAGACGTGAACCAAGAAGAAGTCCCAGTTATGAGAGAGCTGCAAGCCCAGTCAATGATAGATCCCGTCCAAGTTCTAAACCTGAACAAAGAAGAAGTCCCAGTTATGAGAGAGCTGCAAGCCCAGTTAATAATAGATACCGCAGGTTTGAGCTTTTAGATCCCGAAATTATGAATTTTTTTTTTGGGGGTGTGGTGGGGGGTTGGTTTTGGGGTGTGTTGCAATGCATCAATAAAATCACGTTCAACTATGTGTTTAATTGCTAGAGGGCACCAATAGTATTCATCTCTTTTAACATGATTGATTTCTGTTTGCATTTCCTTCTGATTTGTCAATGTTGTATTTATATGTGAATATATTACATATAGTAGCCCCATTTTGAGTAACCTTTTTATTGTTGATAATGCAGCCGTTCACCCCCACCGCGGGAAAGATCCCGTTCCTGAGAACCAGCAGGATGGAGCCTTGTTGTAGTGGTTAGCTGGTCTTCTCTTTCATTCATAGTTGACAACTGAAGTTTGGTTATTCCTTTGTTGTTAGTATTCAGAGATATGATGAGTTTGAACTTTAAAATGTTTTCAAAGTGATAAATTCGGAAGTTTATTAAGTAGCCAATCATGGTTTATGAGACTTTGTGTTTGATTTCTATTTGTTTTTTAGTTTATTTTCTATAAATTTGAACTTGGAAGTTCTCAGTTGTACGGTAGCTAGTGAGGGTAAGGTCAATCTGTATCATTGTTATTTCGTAAGCCTAGTTTGGCATGAATGTTGGAGGTTGCACCTCAGTTTAAAATACATATATGTCCTTGGAAAGAAGGCTCACTTTATAGATTTGGGAGGGCGATAGAAGTCTTTTTTGGTACTTTGCACAGGGTGTGATTCTTGGGTTTTGTATCCTGGAATTAGATGGGTTAAAATTTTTTGAAGTTTGAATTTGTACCATCTTCGGGCATAATTTAATAAACTTGCTAGTTGCTAGTTGTTTATACATAGGGTTTGGGGTATCAAATGACAGGCAATTTTCGACATTTTTGAAGCTACCTAGGTCCAGCCTGAAACCACCACTCTTGGGTTTGGTATGTTTGGTATTTTATTCAAATTCTCTGTTGGATTCGAATGTTTATGCCTCGTTTTACTCTCTTTTTACGTACAACATAATTTGAAATTAGCATCTACCAGACCACTACTCTCTCATCTCAATGTTACTTGAGAGTTCTGCGTTGACATGAGTCCATAACAGGAGGTGTAACTCAAAAGTACAAAGATCCATCTTGAAAGTGGGTGGCGGTCGGTCGCTGATGTAAGTGGCTCTCACAATACTAACCGGTGTACAGCTCAACCAACCGCTTAGCGCCTTACAGCTAAGCCAACCTCTTAGACTTAGGCGACTGTTGTTATCATAACTCATATAAAGGCAAGCATTAGAAGCGCCATCGTCAAACGCTGATATGGGAAGTCTAGTTGTAGTCCTATAGTGAGGAAATGGTGGAGACAAGTGGAGCGCGAAAATGACAAGAGAACGTGTGAAGGATACACAGCCGACAGGCAACATCGTCACGTCCCCGGCCACGCAAGGCCGAAGCCCAAGGCGTTTGTCTAGATCCACTCGCTCAAACTCTAATTTCAATTTAGGCTCCTCCTCTAATCAGTGGGCCCCATTTATGAATTCCCAAAAGCTAGGCGCTTTGCTTTGTTTCCTGCAGCCATTTTGAAATTGAAAGCCAGCCGACAAAAGAACAAGGACAGTTTACCACCTTAACCAACGACTAGTTGATTACTTTATTATCAGCAAAAGCAATTTACTACTTGATTAAATTAACTCAAATTCAGCAAAAATCCCAGCCACAACCGAAAAAGTCAGTGAGAAATAATACCATGAACTGTTTTTTTTTCCTTTTGAGCAATGATCAGCCCTCATAGTCAACTGGGTGCCATCATTTGGGAAATGTCAATTGTAAAATGGTAAATTTGAAGTTGATGGGTTAAGTGTCCATTTGACAGTCCATCCGAAATGTCAATAAAAATAATTTTATTATTTTTTGAGCTGGTGTCTATAATATTATTAAGAAAATAGAGAAAATTTTAGTGATGCCCCCTAGATTATAAACCTTGTTCCATTTTGCCTTTTGAACAATTCCTCTAATCTTTCAAATGTGCTACCTTTCGTCAAATTTGCTAATTCCTCTGTCAAACTCAAAGGCTTTTTTATTCATTCAAGTTAGGATTTGATTTGACCCACTTAAACCCTAATTAACTTGGCCCATTCTTTCATTCAAACCTCGTTTTCATTTTTTTAATGTCCATTAAAAATACAATTTGAAGGTATAATGGGCCGAGTCAATTAGGATTTAAGTGGGGTAAACCAAATCCCAACTTGAATGGACAAAAATACTCTTGAATTTCATGAAGGAACAACCTAAATTGAAATATTAAGGAGGCTCAAAACCAAATTGAAAGTTGAGAGGGGAAAGTAGAACATGGTCTATATATAGTTGAGGGGACATTGCTAAAAAAACTGCCAATAAAATATAATCACCCCAAAAAAAAACAAAAAAACTGAAAGACAACTACATACATAGACTATTTACAACAAAGTTTAGAATATAAAAATAACTATGGTAAATAAAATAAAATTAAAGAAACACATATCCTAATTCTCAAACCATCACGATTCACCATACATGAGTATACCATATGTTTTATAGTTTACTAAATTAATCTAGCTTTATTGTCAATTAAATTCTTCCTTTAAAATCCTTCCACCTAAATGAATTTGGAATTTGTTAAATAGTAACTTTTAAACCATTTGGAAGACTTATTTATGGTGAATCATGTAAATACTCATGTAATTATTCTTCTTCTTATAATACAAACATAACAATTTAATGTTAGCCTAAATGACTTTGGACTAATCTTCTTGTCTTATGATGAATCGTGTAAAACTGGTGTATTTTTGCTTCTTTTTATAGTAAAAATACAACCATTTATATATATACCTCAGTGACTGAACCAATCTCCTTGTCTTGTCTATTCTTATTTTTTGTTGCATGTTTTTGGCATTGTGATAATTTTGATTCCTAGCTTCCACTATGTTTTTGGCATTATAATTATTTTGAATATTGATTTCTCATGTGTTTACTAGCACATGAGGAATAAAATATCAAGTTAATTCAAAGATTAAAATTCATAATTCAATACATGAAAATCAGGAATTAGATTAATTAGAGAACAATTCATCTCATACCTATTCATTCTTTTCTTTATTCCAAACTTTCCCGATTCATGATTGAATTCCTAAAAGACACTAGCACCACTTTAGTTAGAAAATAGAATAGATTTGAAATATATTAGGTCATGGAAATTCATCCATTCATTTTCATTCCATGTTTGTTTTTTTTCTTTTCTTGTAAATTAGAGTAGTTTAGACCATAACTCGTTAAAAGAAATTTCGATTTGTAATAATGTTTGTAAATAAGCCTTGAGCTTGTGGGTTTATTTTTGCATATCATTAAGGGTTTTTTTTAAACCCCCGGATATATCAGTAATCTTAATGAAAAGAAGTTGAGATGATGCCACATCCATCTTCCACACCACATTCAAAAGATCTTCAACTTCTGTGAACCATATCAAAGGTTATATAGGTAACTTCACTAACATGTCATTTCCCAACGAACTATCCCTCTCACGGAAGTGACCATCTTGAAAAGTCACAAGCCGTCCCCACCTCACACGTGGCTACAATTCCACGTAATCACATCGGTAACGTAACAATTCGAATAATTAAAAGAACATTCAAAATTTACACTATAGGCAACGGTCGGATTTTCTGTCCCACTCGTAGTCACAGCCGTCCGATCCTGCATCATGTTCGACATTTAAAGCCTGTTGCCTGAAGGCTGAAGCATGAGCACACATTTCTCTCTCCACAATACATAGTGAAAAGATACTTCCTTTTCTTAATTATTTTCTTCCATTTAGAGAGAGAGGGACAGAGACATTTTGTCATTTTCATTTAGAGAGAGAGAAATTTGAATGTTAATGGGATTTTATACGTGTATATATTTCTCTTGTCTGGTTGTGTTATCTGGTTGTGTTAAAAAAAGCTCGAAAATTTGAAGTGGGTTCAGTTTGAAATTGAGCATCCTCAAGTTGTTGAAGATTCGTCTTCTATTTTTCAATCTGTGTCTGTTTTTATATGGATTTCGACCGTTTTGTCCTGTTTCTCTAATAGCGAATAGAAATCGTTTCTGGGTAGTTTCTGAGAGAGAGAGAGAGAGAGAGAGAGAGAGAGAGAGAGAGAGATTAAGATCCAGCTGCTCCTTGATTGCTGATTTTGGAAGCATTGCTGATTTGGGCTGCAATTCGTAAAGAGAGGGGAAGAGGGTTTTAGAGAAAGGGAGGGGTTTGAAGGTCAATTTGATCTGGGTTGCTGACACTTGATCACAGAAAAAACAGAGAGGTTTGAAGGGCAAGCTATAGTGGGTTGCTTTTTAAAGAAAAAAGAAGACACGTTTCTGTCTTTCTGAGTCTTAAAGGTTAGTTCTTGGGCTTGTTTTTTCATGCTTTCTTTAACCCCTCCACTTCAGAATGTTAAAAAGCTAATTTCTTTTTCATTTTCTCTGGATTTTGTGATAATCAGTTTTCACTGATACTTCATAGCTAGATATTTATCCCATAATTCAGTTCTGGGTATCATTGTTTCCCTTTTGTGCTTGCAGGAACAGAAGGGACTGATAGCGAGAGAGAGAAAGAGAAGGGGGCATTGTCTCATTGCTTGTGGCTGTCAATGGTGGAACCATTTGAATTTTTAAGAAAAGTCAAATCAACTTGAGGTATTGTTTCAGAATTTTTTCTTTGAATTTTCCTTGAAAATAATTTGTGGGGTTTGGTCCATCTTGCTGAAGTTAAACACACTCTAGTTATACAACTTGGGATAGAGACTGGAACCTTCTCTTCAAAGTAAAGTCTAACTTCCTCTCTCTCCACCCACCTAGCTTCATTTATGAGGAAAAATGGCAACAAAGCTAAGAATCCCAACTTTCCCAGTCTCTTTCCAAGAAATCTTGACCCTTGGATGTCGATCAAAATCAAGTTAGTGAAATCCAGTAAGCTAATATGATATCACAGTCACCATGGTCATGGTTGAAAAAGTAAATTTGTAACAAAAGAAACATGTGCCAACTACGGCTTCTTAATTGGACGGCACTGCTTAGCCTTTAAAAGCAACTTCCTTTATTGTCATCAACAATTTCATATTATAAAGTTCAATGATCATTATAAATCTTATTTTTTCGGATTTTAATTTCGTTTGGGCATTTAATGATCACTTACCAACAGTAAGATGGACTCCTTGGGCATCTTTTAGGTATTTTCATATGGTTGGTCGGATATGGTTTTCAGCAAAGCAAGCTTGCTGTGATCATACAAGATTCTCGAAGCTCTTGATGTTGGCCCAATTGTTTTATTATAGCTGATATTATTTAATTGCAGCCCTGATACATAATTTATGTTTTTATGATTGCAACTGCTCCACTGCCTTTTTAGTTTTATATGCACATATCTTTACTTTGCATTTTCTTATCCGTTTAATCCTTATAGGGCTTTGTTTTCTTCAAATTTCAGGTGGTTGAGCTCTGGTCGCCAATTTGATCAATACCCATATTGAAATCATGGTGGAGAATGGTGGCAATGAGGTTTTGACTGGTACCCGCTCGGCTGAAGAATGGTTATCACATGCACGGGAGCTTGTTCCATTGGCACTGAATAAGGCAAGAGAGGTTAAGGGATTTCCAGGTCGGTGGAAGATGATCATTTCAAAGTTGGAGCAGATCCCGTCACGTTTATCAGACCTGTCTAGCCATCCATGCTTTTCCAAGAATGCTCTTTGTAAGGAGCAATTGCAATCAGTATCTAAGACACTGAAGGAGGTTATTGAATTGGCAGAGTTTTGTGTGGGGGAGAAATATGAAGGAAAACTTCGGATGCAGAGTAATCTTGATGCGTTGTCTGGGAAATTGGATTTGAATTTGCGAGATTGTGGGCTTTTGATCAAGACTGGGGTGCTTGGTGAGGCTACTTTGCCTTTAGCTATGGCTGGTTCTTCAACTGAACCTGAGGCTGCTGCTCATGGTAACATAAGGGAACTGCTTGCACGGCTTCAGATTGGGCACTTGGAGGCAAAACATAAAGCTCTTGACAGTCTTGTTGAGGGCATGAAAGAGGATGAAAAGAATGTATTGTCAGTTATGGGTCGTAGCAATATTGCTGCTTTAGTCCAATTGCTCACTGCAACATCTCCTCGTATCCGTGAGAAGACTGTAACTGTAATCTGCTCGCTTGCTGAATCTGGAAGTTGCGAAAATTGGCTTGTTTCTGAAGGGGTTTTGCCACCTCTAATAAGGCTTGTTGAGTCTGGCAGTGCAGTGGGTAAAGAGAAGGCTACAATTTCACTTCAAAGATTGTCAATGTCAGAAGAAGCAGCCCGTGCAATTGTTGGGCATGGTGGGGTTAGGCCACTGATTGAGATATGTCAGACTGGTGATTCTGTTTCTCAGGCTGCTTCTGCTAGCACTTTGAAGAACATATCAGCTGTCCCCGAAGTTCGGCAAACTCTAGCTGAGGAAGGGATTGTAAAAGTTATGATTAATCTCCTTGATTGTGGAATTTTATTGGGTTCCAAAGAATATGCGGCAGAGTGCTTGCAGAATCTCACTGCAAGCAATGACAATCTAAGGAGGTCTGTAATATCAGAAGGTGGAATTCGGAGCCTGTTGGCTTATCTTGCTGGTCCATTGCCACAAGAATCTGCAGTCGGGGCATTGAGGAATTTGGTTGGCTCAGTTTCTATGGAGGTTTTGGTTTCTCTTGGTTTCCTCCCATGCGTGGTTCACGTGCTTAAATCCGGTTCACTAGGTGCACAGCAGGCTGCTGCCTCCGCAATTTGCCGGGTTTGCAGCTCAACAGAGATGAAAAAACTGATTGGTGAAGCCGGGTGCATTCCTCTCCTTGTGAAGATGCTTGAAGCTAAATCAAACACTGCCAGAGAGGTTGCTGCCCAGGCAATTTCAAGTTTGATGACCCTTTCACACAATTGCAGAGAAGTGAAAAGGGATGACAAATGTGTGCCAAATCTGGTCCAACTGCTTGATCCCAGTCCACAAAACACAGCAAAAAAGTACGCAGTTTGTTGCCTTGGATTGCTCTGCTCAAGCAAGAAATGTAAGAAGCTGATGGTCTCATATGGAGCAATTGGGTACCTCAAGAAGCTCACAGAGATGGACATTCCCGGAGCCAAGAAGCTACTTGAGAGATTGGAGAGAGGGAAGCTGAGAAGTTTCTTCACAAGAAAATAGAGGGAAGAAATGCAAATGTAGCTCTTGTAAGCCCTTTTTTAAAAATCTCTTTCTGCATATGTAGTTGTTTCATGGTCTATATGAAACGTAGTTTATCGTATTGAACTGGAATGCGCAAGCCTGGTAATATATGTTATGTTGTCTATGTTCTATTATTTAAAGTAGAAAATTTTATGAAAATATAATCTCTACAAGTCTATTATGCTTTCCAAATTTGGAGCTTTCTGCCATTAATTTGTAAATGTTTCTGGGATGCCATAACAGCTTATCCATCTCCTCCAGTTCTTGAAATTAATCAACTCCAAACAACCTAACAGCTAACTAATTATGATCTGATGTTATGTAGCCGATCAAATCAGATCAACGATAAGTTGAAAAGGTGATCAAATCAGATCAGGTCTATAAGATCAAATCAGATCAGATCTTCAATTCCTTCAATCCAAATATCCAATGGATGATATGTAGCGGATCTATGCAGATCAACGATAAGTTGAAAAGGTGATAAAAGAATATCGAATTTGTGGTATAAAGAAAGAAAAACAATTTGACTGCGAAGTAGGAAAGAATGAAGAAAACCCTTGGTGCCCAAGCAAGCAGGCATCGACTCTATAATTACGTCTATAACCCACCCTTCTTTTCCACCAACCGCCCTTCCTCCCTCCCTCCCTCCCTCTCTAAGAAAAGAAAAGAAACAGAGAGAGAAACAAAGGGTATTCATTTCATTTGAACCCTAAAAATCAAGAGAGAGTGTTGAATTTGAATTAGAGGAATATTAGAGATGATGAATCAAAGCAAACTAAATTAAATGTTACTAAACTAATTAATTAAGATTCTACGTACGAGATGATGAATCATCTGATGGATTCATCAATCCCTCCAAATATCTAATGCACTGATCTTCATCTTCATCTCAGTTTAAATTCAGTCGACCACACAGAGGTTCTGATACTCTTTGTCAGCTATGGCTGTTTCCATGAGATGGCGCCGGCCAATTTCCCCACCATTGTCCAAGAAGGACTTGATCAATGTGTCGGAGATGCCAGCCAACAGTGTCACCCCTGGATGAGGTTCTTCTATACGGGACATCCACCCCCCTAAGTCGTAAATCTGCCAAAGCAAAATGTGTGGCATCGCATCATCCCCATACCCTTGCTCCTTAAATTTGCTCCGCGTTTCCTCGTACAGTGTCTTCCAGGATGTGCTGCAGCCACCAAATCTTACGTGGTCTGTGAACACAAACACCTTCTTGATCATCTGCTCTGCCTTCAAGTTCTCATTCACAGCCACTTCCAGTATCAAATCACACACCTTCTGAAAATCAACACCCTGGTTGTGCTTGCTGATGCATGTCCTCATCATGAACTCGTACTTGGACTTGAGATCACCGCCTTGTAAGGAATGCAGCAGCGGCAGCTCATCGGGTAATGGACCGAGACTGATCACCTTTTGTTTCCATGCCGGCTCTTCAGTTAGTTCAGACACCAAAATTCCCAAGCTCGCCGCCAATTCTATGATTGGTACGCCCATGAAATCGGTGATGTTACAAACTGCCAAGCAGTTTTTATATTTGCCCGACCTCCCCTGCTTTTGCTTTAGGTACATGTCCTCCACCATTGCCTTCCACTGAATCTCCGCTGCTTCGCCGACATCCTTATCTTTTACATACCTTATGATATCATTTGGAAGCAAAGCATTCGGCTTTATGATGCTGCTGCCGCCTGCTTTCACCTCCTCCAAATACTTCTTAACCACACAGGGCTTCCGAATGAAATACACTCGTCGACGATGCTCGTCCAAGGGCTCCAAAAACTCCTTTCTAAGGAGTTCCCACTCTTCTGATTGATCCGACTCTGGCGGGAAAAGTCTACTCCCAAGGCTTTCAAACAGCAAAATGGCGCGTCTGGTGTGGTCGTCTTCGCTGTTGTTGGGAGTGCAACAGGCTGCAGCCCCGGTAACAAAAAGAGTAGTACAATCTTCTTTATCATCATCTTCGGATGGCGGTTTCAATTCCGATTCCATCCTTAGCCTGTGTTGCTTCAATTTGTCAATATCAGACTTCAACTGCTCCGCCAAGAGGTCCATAACGCGGTCATGTAATAACTTATAGCCCCGGTCACGGTGAAGCCTCTGCGCCGCAGTATCTTGGCCTTGTTGTAGAAGAAGGCCGTAGAGAATCTCGACAAGGTCCCACAAACGAGCTAACAAGCCAGAGCTGGCAAAGGAGGGAACATTGCATAATAGCGTCTTGGGGTGATTGTGGTGGAGCCAAAATGCGGCCGTGTAGAAGGCCTCCGGATAATGTTTTCCGGTTTGAACAAAGGCAGAATTGAGATTAAAGATGAGTTTGAGGGTGGTTAGCGGATTGTGGGACCACGCCACAGGCAGCAGTTGCTTCAGATAGTTAATGGAGGCCTGCTTCTTCTGCAGCTTTTTCATGGTTTCTTCATAGGTTGGCTCTGGTGGTGTCACGTGGAAAAGCCAATCGGTGCTGCACCAGTCTGGCGACGTCACATGGAAATACAGATCATGACAGGGATCATCGTAGGAAGGAAAGGAGATGGAGGAGATGTTCTTGGCCATGGCCATGTCAGTGCTGGAGTTTGAAGCCATTAATCTTCGAGATATTGAAGTTGGAAGTGCAAGAGCAGGAGGAGCCAATACTTTGAGAAGCCTGGTGAAAGTTGAACATACTTGCAAAGACACCGGTTTCTTCATCTCTTAATTGCTCTGGTTCAAATTCAACACTCTCTCTGTGTTTGGCGTTAAATTTCAACACACAAAAAAGAAAAATAATTAAATAAAATTGATTGCATGCCAAAGAGAGATTTGGTGGCCATTAAGAGTAGATTGCAATCAAAATTAATTGATTGAAATCAAAGAAGACAAGTATCAAGAGAAGGCTTGCAAGGAAAGAAAAAAGATGTGAAGGAATTAATTCTCTGTGCTCGTTTAATTTGCATGCAACTTTTATGTGACATGTATAATTCATTCTTTTTGTAAGTAGGAAGACAATCGTTTTAAAACCAAAATTTTTAGTCAATCTTTGAAGCGTAGTTACACCACATAGAGCAACACCTCAGACATAGATTTTGCTGAGAGCAACAGTCTCAATTATGAATTCATAATTATTGAATTTGTAACATAGAAACAAGAAAAAAGACCCAAAAAATAAAAAAAATTTGAAAACAGCTGCAACCAAATTGAAAGCGCAAACCAAATTAAACTAAATCTTACTAAAGTAACTAATTAAGATTATTCTACCTACGAGATGATGAATCATCTGGTCAAAGATCTTATTCATTGATCTCGCTTTAAGTTCAGTCGACTACTCTTTGTTAGAAATGGCTTCTTCCATGAGATGGCACGGGCAAATTTCCCCACCATTGTCCAAGAAGGACTTAATTAATGTGTCGGAGAGGCCAACCAACAGTGTCACCCTTGGATGAGGTTCTTGTGTACAGGGCCTCCATGTCCCTAAGTACATAAATCCCAAAGCAAAATGTGTGGCATTGCATCATCCCCGTACCCTTACTCCTTAAACTTGCTTTATGTTTCCTTATATAGACAAATTCAATCCATCATACATTATACATACCCGTGAATCCTTTGTTGATCTATTGTGAATCTGAAAATTGAGAAGCACAAGAGACATATCGATGGTTCTCAACATTTTTAAAAACATGGAGAGAGATAGGAGCTGATAGCCCCCATATTTATTGGCAAACTAGGAGTCTTGTGTGTGCGATCGTAGGTTGTATTTTCATTGATGGATCTTTTCTTTTCTTCACAACACCTACCTACTCTACCACTATATAGACTGTAGTCTATTGTCTATTTTAACAGTATGGGTCATTTTAAGGTCCCATTAGTGAGATTGGGCCAGGACTTACCTAGCTTTCAATTTGCTAATGGCATGTGCTAATTTATATAGCTGCATTTTTATTTTGATGCATCCATTCACATGGGCCTACAAGACTGTATTAACTTCTTGATTAACCATAATTCTGCAATTTTACTTTTTTGTCAACCATGGTATAGGGGAAATATTAGTAAGATAAAAAATATTATTGTTCCATAACGTGGTATTTTCTCACTTTAATTTCAACTAAAATGAATTTTGTTTGACAAGTTCAAAAAAGAAAGCACACTGCTTCGTTCTTACCTGGAAGGAGGTATTTTTACAAATCAAAGTTTGACACATATGCAAAAATAATTTATCAAAAACATAAAAAAAAGAATCTCAATACACATGTCAAACTGTGATTAGTAAGAAGGTAGAAGTTCCTACTTCCGAGGAAATAAGACAAGTCATAAAGTAATACATTCACAAGACACCCAACAGCCCAAGGAAAAAGTGCAAACTACTCAAGACACCCATCAGCTATGCACTACACCTCATTTGAAGACTAAAGAGCCAGCTCACTCCATGCTAACGTTGAGAGGATATAGATGAATATAGCATATTCCATTTCTATAGACTTATTCTAGAGATTTCTTGTATAGGACAAATATACACACATTATAAATGTACACAATATGTAAAGAGAAAGATTGAGACAACGAACATAATAAAAAATTCATATTCAAAATTCTAGCTGAGCAATCTTCTTCCTTTTTTTGAAAACTTCAGTCCGTTATTTTCTCCATAAATGAATATATCCCTTCTAGTGTAATTTCTCACAGCAAGTATTTTCCCAATAATAATAATAATAATAATAAATGGACTGGAAACCAAGTTTCGATCAATCTAGATACAGTAGACGGTAGACCCAAACTTAGACCGAGTACAAAAAAATTATCTAATCATTGGGATTGAGATAATTTATTTTTGTTGGTCGAGTCTGGATCTGGATCTATGTTGATCGACTGAAAGTTGGGTTCCAACCCTCCATTATTTTTCTTCCATTGGTTCCACTTCCTTCGTATCACTCACTGTTTTGTAAATGGTGTTTGTTTCGTGTTCCAGCGAAATCCTTTCATGGTGCCAAAATTAAGAGCATCAATCTATCTCACAAAGGATAGCCTTTAGTTCATACAAGACACTGTATATGCAGTCCTTTTCCATGTTCTGCAGATTATTTTAAATCATAACATTTGCCGAAAGCAATTAAATTTCTTTCTTTTCTGTTCTCCACCATCTCATTCTCATAGTTTTGCTAGCCTTATGCAAATCCTGTCAAACTATCTTAAACATTTTCTTATCAAAGTAATAAAATATTTTTATATCCATGTATACATTATAATCAGACAGAGACGTGCGAACTAAAGCCTAACTAAGTACAACCAATGGCAACCACATTTATTATTAATACCAATAAGAAACCATGAATAAGGCTAGCTAGGAATCCATCTTTATGCCGAAACTAAGTAAATTAATATGGTGGCCAACTGCCAGATAAATAATTCCAAGATCCATTCAATTACTGAGTCAAGTTAATTGAGGACGGCAGTGGGATCGGTTGGATTTTCCCCCAACATCTCTATCCTGATTATCTCAATGAATTGAAGTCGAGTCAATAGTTGCAAGTCAGTTCGAGTTATTAAAAATGTAGTCAATAAAGAAAAATAGCAAACTTATTTGTTAAGAATTGGCCGGCATTCTAGTATGTACTATTTAATAATTTGAAACTTATTTGTCAAGAATTTGCTCCAATATAAAATAAAACAAAGTTGGGTTCCCTTAACCACACCTTCAAAGCTTCTCTCCAATATAAAATAGAAATGATATTGAAATATAGGGGCTTGGCATATCAGGTAATGTGGAGAACGTGTGGCTTTTGGGCTTTCACACGTGGGCTAATCCGCTCTGATATCATGAAGAAAGTTGAGGTTCAACCTCAAAACTAATTGACAATGGGGGAGTAACTCAATTTCTTATAAGCCCTCACTAGGTTTTTTAACTCTCAAATGTGGGACTTTTTACCTTCATATTCTCACAGTTTAATGATTATTGTACATTTTCAATAATCAATTCTTTGTAATTATTATATCTTATGCAATTGCGGAAAATACCACACGGAAACCAGTCAGGCAAAGATAACCGCGAGCAGCACCATCTAGTTCACTTTAATCCAAAGAAACCACCGGAGGATGCCTGAGAAATTCTTTCATGGTGCCAAAATTAAGAGCATCAATCTATGTCACAAAGGGTAGCCTTTAGCACCCGCCAACTCATCACTTTCTCGTTACTTTCTTAATTTTACCTAACTTTATGCATAGACTATAACTCAATCAATATTCTGTATTCCAAATTAATAATTCCATGATTCATTCAATTACTAAATGAAGCAGATCATCACATTTGACGGACTCCTTCTTATGGTTTTGTCTTATATGAACATCTTGCTCTGTTTTAGCTTTTCAACTAATTATATGCATATGCTTCAGTGTGAAGGCTTTCCTTTTGTTTCTCTATATATATGGAGAAGAACGGAGACAACCATATATCAATGTACTTTCAGTGTTTGCATGTGCAAGTGCTTTGGTTGTGCTCCATCTTCGCCATTATATTATATTCCATTTCATAAACCCTAAACAGTTGTGCCTATTCGACATATATTCCGTTGGCATTTGAATCTATTAACATGCAAGGCCACGGAAGGTGCTTCAAACTCTTTCTTGCATTTGCTCTGCTTTTGCTACAGTACGCCCAAGGAGGAGAGATGGACCACAATAAGAGGGATACTAACGTGACCAGGAGGTGCATAGAGAGGGAAAGGCAAGCACTCCTTGCATTCAAACGTGGCCTGGTGGATAAGTCTGATTTCCTCTCTTCGTGGGGTTCAGAAGCACAAAAACAAGATTGTTGCGGATGGGTGGGAGTCTCTTGTAGCAACCAGACTGGCCATGTTCTTCAACTTGATCTTTCAGACGAAGTTCAAAGCGAATTTGACAAAGTTCAAGGTAAGATGATTAGTCCTAAACTGATTGAGTTGCACCATTTACAACATTTGGCCCTTCCTTGGATTGATTTCAATGGGAGCCAATTTCCATATTTCATTGGTTCTCTAACCAATTTAAGATACCTTGATCTGTCTTGGACTCATTTTGGAGGTAAGTTTCCAAGTCAGGTCGGAAATCTTACGAACTTGGTGTATCTGGACTTAAGATATAATAGCTTTACAAACGTAGAAAATCTCGATTGGCTTCCTCGTCTCTCGTCGTTAAGATATTTGGACTTGAGTGAAGCGAATCTCAGCAATGTTTTTGATTGGCCGGAAGCCGTTAATAAGCTTCCTGAACTAACAAACTTGACATTAAAGGAATGTGATCTTCCTTCTCCAATTCTTTCCACTCTTTCTTACATAAACTCTTCTAAATCTCTTGCTAGCGTTGACCTTTTTTACAACCGTTTGAATAATTCTTCAATATTCGTATGGTTGTCCAACTATAGTACCAGCCTTGTTCATCTTGACCTCTATGGGAACCTTCTAGCCGGTTCAATTCCTGATGTTTTTGGAAACATGAGCTCTCTGGCACATCTTTGTCTCTCTAATAACCAACTTGAAGGGTCATTACCTAATCTTACAAACCTTTCGTCTTTGGAAGACTTGTTTCTTCGTAACAATCAATTAAGCGGAGTAATTTCTGGAACTCATTTCTCAAAACTCTCCAAACTACGGAATTTGGATTTATCTTCCAACTTGCTAGTTTTAGACATCCATGCTGATTGGATTCCTCCTTTCCAACTGCACTCCATAAATTTGGAGTCTTGCAAGATGGGTCCGCATTTCCCAAAGTGGCTTCAAACTCAAAAAAATATATCATACCTTCGTATTCCTAATGCCGGAATTTCCGACATCCTTCCAAGTTGGTTTTGGAGTTTATGTCTTACTGTGGGATATATGGATCTCGCACGCAACCAAATTAGAGGTGCATTTCCAAATTTGACATTGGAGTTTTCATATTCCCCAGAACAACATCTGAGTTCGAACAAGTTGGAAGGTACAATCCCCTCAATTCTATTAAATGCCCCATATATGGATTTGAGTTCGAACAAGTTAGAAGGTCCAATCCCCTCAGTTCTATTAAAAGCCTCATATCTGGATCTGAGTTCGAACAAGTTGGAAGGTCCAATCCCCTCAGTTCTATCAAATGCCTCACATCTGGATCTGAGTTTGAACAAGTTGGAAGGTCTAATCCCCTCATTTCTATTAAATGCTCGACATCTGGATCTGAGTTCGAACAAGTTGGAAGGTCCAATCCCCTCAGCTCTATCAAAAGCCTTATATCTGGATTTGAGTTCGAACAAGTTGGAAGGTCCAATCCCCTCAGTTCTATCAAAAGCCTCACATCTGGATCTCTCTAATAATAAACTTTCAGGGTCAATTTCCTTCTTGTGTTCAAGTGCAGCTATTGGTTTATTCTTTCTTAACCTCTCAAGCAACAATGTTTCTGGACAAGTTCCAAATTGCTTGACACATTTGGAGAATCTAGTCATGCTTGATTTGAGTTACAATGTTTTGTCCGGGAAAATTCCTACAACAATAGGCTCTGTATTTCGTATTGAAACACTCAAATTAAGAAGCAATAGATTTGTGGGACAATTGCCTTCGTCATTGAAGAATTGCACAAGTTTAGTCGTCATTGATGTTGGCCTTAATAAATTATCCGGACAAATACCTGAATGGTTAGGGGTTAGCTTAAAGTATTTGGTTATCCTGATGCTTTCGTCTAATCACTTCAATGGAAGCCTGCCCTCACAATTATGCCATCTAACACACATTCAAATTTTAGATTTCTCTATGAACATCATCTCTGGAAGCATACCCAAATGCCTCACCAATTTAACTACTCTGGCTCAGAAAGGAAATCCAAGTCTGAACATCTCACATTCTTATGTAATTTCTCATCGTCGTTGGGGAAAATTGTATAACGATGATGCAACCTTCATGTGGAAAGGAGGAATGCAGACATACAAAAGTACTTTGGGGCTTGTGAAGAGAATTGATCTGTCAAGCAATAAATTAACAGGGGAGATTCCAAGTGAAATCACTCAGCTTGTTGGGTTGGTTTCTTTAAACCTATCGAGAAACCAATTAATTGGTCAAATAACTCCAGAGATCGGAAACTTGTAGTCATTGGATTCTCTTGATGTGTCACGAAACCATATAAACGGAAGAATTCCAACAAGCCTTGCTCGGATAGATCGTCTTGGTTTCTTGGACTTGTCATATAACAACTTGTCTGGCAAAATTCCAGTCGGGACTCAGCTCCAAGGCTTTGATCCCTCTTTTTATGTTGGGAATCTTCAACTATGTGGACCTCCACTTAAAAAGATGTGTGCTGATGATGTGAAAAAAGGTCCAAGTGAGCACATTGACTTCATCAACCAAGAGGACAATGATGAGCTAATAACACTGGGATTTTACATTAGTATGGGGCTTGGATTTGCTGCTGGATTTTGGGGAGTTTGCGGCACCTTGATATTTTCAAGGTCATGGAGATACACATACTTGAAGTTCTTGAATGGTTTAAATGATTGGCTTTTTGTGAGGATAGCTTTGTTGAAGCGGCAATTGAAGGATGCTTAATTACTAAAGATCAACGGTAAGTAATCTCTCTTTCTCTCTCTCATTGTTTATTATTATTTTATTGACTTAATCAACATGCATGATTAATTTGGTTTTTCTAATTTTTTATATATATATATTCATGCAAATTTTTTTTTTTTTTTTTTTTTTTTTTTTTTTTTTTTTTTCTTTTTTTCATCTTCGGATCTGTCATGTCTTCCCTTCAATCAAAATGGTGCAAAGTTGCCATGGACAGTTGGAGTGTCTTAACTCCTTAATAAGAAGATTAGTGGGTGGGTTGGCCCGGAACTGTTTGTTTTGGTTTGTTGTCGTAATTATTCCCTGTTTTGTTTAGATGTTGTCGTTTCCTTTCTTTTGTAATATATGGGCGCCCTCTTTGTTTTGAGTATAATACTGAAGCTCCCAGTGTCACATCCCCGGATCGGCTCCGCCGTAGCACGATATTGTCCGCTTTAAGCCCCCCCTCTCTGCCCTCACGGTTTTGTTTCTGGGAACTTACGAGCAACTTCCCAGTGAGCCCATCTTGGGATTGCTCTAGCCCCAACTCGCTTAACTTCGGAGTTCCTATGACTTCGAAGCCAATGAGCTCCCATAAGGCCTCGTGTTAGATGGAGGCGGGCATATACATATAAAGCATATCACCCCCTCTCTATTGGTTGATGTGGGATGTTACACCCAGAGCATTACTTGGCAGGTTAGTGGCCTTCGCCTTATTAATATGAAACTTATTGGTCAAGAATTGGTCCATTGCCAACGGAATCCAGTCTTGTGAAAATCCACTTTTCTTAGTATCGCTTGTACTAAAAAAAAGTAGAAAACCAATTTTTATTTTCAAAATTTGAGGATGCATCTAATAGCTTAATCAAAAATAGTTTTAGAAAACAAAAACAATGAAACCATTTTTGTTAGGTTTAATAAACAAATTGTTCCAAAAATGATTGCCCAAATCAAGCACAGTAATATAGTTATAATGAAAGTGGATTTTTATAGCCGGAGAATATGATAAATGCATGCCAGCAATTAATAATAAAATCCACATATTCTCAGTCCGCACATATGAAGGATTTTTTTATATTCCTTTTTTGGGTCAACTCAAATCTCATCACATATTTCATGTGGGAGAATAAGGCAAAAAAAAAGACACGTCCAACTTCTTTTATTTATTTATTTTTATTTTTTTTGTCAAAAAAGACAAGTTGAACTAAGGGCTAGTTTGGCATTGCTGTGCTGTGAAAATAATCGCTGTCAGATTTGTTGTGAGAGAAAGCAGTTTGACGTTTGGTAAAATTTTTGTTAAAAGTATTGTTGGTATTGATTTTATGCATAATCAAAAAATGATTGCCGCACAATTATTAAACCCAACGCCTCTTCGAAACTGATTTCTGCGTAATCAGAAAATGAAAGCACCTCATTACATGCTTTTCCCTTATAGCTTTCTCTCACAGCAATTTTTAACAATAAGTGATTTTTTTTATAGTTTACCAAACGGGTTGGGCTCCTCAAAATTTTTAAAAAATCACTTATCACCCAAAATAAGCAATGTCAAACTGGCACTAATTCAAAGAATTTACAATAAGTTATTTATGTTTATAACTGAAATTATTAATTAAATGAAGATAATATGATAATTCTCACTTTTTTATATTAAATTTTTTAAAATTAAATAAGATAATGAGTCCTATTTTTATGGAACACAACAACCCATTATCTTTTTTAATTTTAAAATAAAAATATAAAAAAATAAAACCAATTGGCACACGCAAGGGACTGGTAATAATAAGTTATCAATGTTATCCTCTCATTTATTTTTGAAAAATTAAAATAAAATCCATCATACAGGTAATTATATTACAAATTTATAAATAAACCTAATCCTAGACATGTATTTATAAAAAAACCCAAGCACTATTTAAACATAGAAACACACCCAAAATCAACCCCAAAGTCAACTTTTTGGGTGTGTTTATAAATGAGTTTTGAGTGTGTGTAATGATGGGTTTTGGGTGTGTTTATATGTTTAAATAGTGTTTGAGTTTTTTTTATAATTTCAACCCCCATTTTGGGTGTTTTAGTAAAACTCCCTAATTATATTCAAGGGCTAACAACATTTTAACCTATGAAGGTTTGGGGTTATTCACATTCTTTTTTATCCTTCCCTTTCATCCTTCCTTTTACGTACTATCAAATTTCCTACATTCTTTTCATCCTTCCTTTCACATGCTGACATGTGGATGTCACAAATGCTATCTGAAAATATTATGGTCTAAGTAGTATTTTAATTGAAGTAACCAATATATTTAAAGAATATACTAAAAATTAATAAAATATTAAGGGAGCTATGATTTATGGAGACGGTAAAACTATAATCCAACACTATTTTTAGAAAAATAAAATAAAATTGTGGATTAAGTTTTATGGATGTGTTATGTTTAGCCTTCAACTACTGGAGATGGCCTAAGTATAATTTTGTGCTCTAGAATCACTTTTACTATATATTTATTAAAATTTATAACAAAAAAGGTATCTCCAATGTAAAGTATGAATAAGCATCGACATGAAAAACATGTCAGTTGGGTTATGTTTTGGGATTGAATCCAATCCGACTAATAATAACATCAATCTCATTGATTGGACGGTGGGCCTCTCCTTAAATTTGAGCTTTGGAGTTTTGGCCTGAATTCAAATCTGGGCTATTAATATAGACCCAAACAAATGGATTTGGAGTTAGTAGGCCCAAATTCCGATTCACTCCTACCCAAACAAACGGCCTAAAAATTATTTAAATTCTCAAATTTTTTTCAGCAAAAAAAATTAAAGACTTGCAACTAAACATAATCAAATAGAAATATTGTGCTCCCAACGACCAAGGGCGGAATTACAATGTGGGCTTTAGTAGTTGTTGATGCCCAAAAATTCAAGAGGTTAAGCTCAAATTAATTCATGGCCAAACACAGATAAGAGGGTATAAAAAGGGCTTAATCGAAACAAAAGAGAATTTGTGGGACCCGCTAATACATGCTACCAGCCACGTGTCATGCCAAGCAAGCATATACAAAGGGGCCAAGAGTATGCCAACATTACAAGACCACTCTCACATATCTCTTCGATATTACTTGGCCCAATTATAAGCCTATCATGGCATAATAAAACTCAAGCACAAGCGTATGCATCATGCGAAAAGAGCCATTATTCTAGCACTAAGCTATGTCACAAGCCTAAGTGGGCCCAAGCCACAAAATTAACCGGGGCTTACTAAGAAGGTTGTGGTATAGAAGGGAACAAGCGATCACAGGGCCCATTGAGGGTTCGAGGAACGCAAGTTTTAAGCCACTTGGGGGCATTGAAACTCAAGCCCGTTCCTAGAACCCAAATACATGGGTTAGCATGAGAGAGAGGAAAAACAATCCAAAACTTTAGGAAATCACCTAGTAGCCCAGCCCATATCAATAGATTGCTTAAAAGAATAAAACTGTTTCCAGCAGGCTGACGAAACTTATTGCACGCTGGAAGCAACAAGCTAAAAGACCCAATACTATGTGTACAAGCCCAGCCCAGCGACTTGCAAAAGTCTGGCGCTAAGTCTCATTCCAGTAAGAACTCCAAACAACGGTCAAGAGGGAGCCATGGCAGGATCAGAGGAAATCCACGGGGGTGAGAGGAGTGTCCATCAGATAAAAGGCTTCATCTCTCATCTTTTCCTTTGTAAGCTCTGTCTTGAAAAACCATAAGGAAAGCAGGTGGCGCCTTCCCCTTTATGGGAAGGTCCAGCTGCGTCAAACCATTGGAACCACAAAGGGTTCCTTACCCATGCTTCTTGGATGGAGAAATTCATCAAGGAGGATAAAGTGGAAAAGGGCAATGAAAAGAGGAGAAAAAATTGAGACAAAATTAGGGTTCCTCGTGGCTATAAAAAGGGCCCCTTCTACCCAGAGAAGATCATCATCCAGAGCTTGACCAAGCTTTGTCAATCAACCTGGAATTTACTCAAGCCACCCAATCTTTCTTCTTCGTTTGTTTTCTATTCTTCCTTTAGGACAGAAATCGTTCTAGTTCTTCTCTGTCTTACTTCAGATTTTCACTCCCAGTAGGAAATCCATGCTTCTCTCTCTCACTCAAATTACTAAACTTGTGAAAGCTTAGCTCCCATGCCACAAGCTGCTTAAGCTAAGCCATTGATTGATTTTATCATGCTTATTTGGCAATTGGTGAAGAGAACCTGAGGGTGTTCTTCTAAGGTTTATAAAATCTTCCAAAAACTCATTCAGGAGCTTGGTTCCAGAACTGGGACACTTGGGGAATTTCTATGCGTTTTCTTCTTACGGCAGCCCAAGCCCATTCGTCAGGCTACTGGAACAAAAAGACTCCTACAATAGTCCATTGATTTTTTAGTGGAAAAAAATAAAAAACATCAAACCTATATAAGTCAGTATCGTAATCTAAAAATAAGTAAAAATACACAATTTTATACATTGGCAACACCAATAGAATAGTTAGAGGTTTTTCACGTTTGTATATAGTGTCAAAGACTGTCTCAATACCAATAACCCACAATAAGGGTAAAGTCCCTAGCTCTAACTCTCCAAATTTATTTATTTTTGATTGATTTGTCTCCAAAAGAGAACCATTTTTCTAAATTAAACTTCCTTTCATGAATAATATGGCTCTAATTTCATTTTTTTTCTTGTGTTTATAACTAGCGTGATTTGTACTAATGTATACTTTTATTTATATAAAGCCTATAGAAATTGTAAGTAAAAAAAAATTCATCATTGGATTTTAAGCTAATAACTTTAGCTAGCTCATCCGTTGATAAATTCCTAATTCCGCCCTTGGACAAATATCATATGCAACCACAGTAGAGACATGACATAGCTAATGCATTTGAAAATGAATAGAGGTGCGCAACCGAAACATATTAAATACCTCAGAATTTTTTTTTAATAAATAGAAATGGCAACCTCTCATTGATTTATGAAAATTTGAAATAGAATCCAACCTAT